AATGATTAAGTCTACAGCTCAAGACTGTCGCAAGTCCCTTAATGATAGGAGTGTCATCTACAAATGTAGTATGTCTTCTCTCTTATCTAAGACAAGGCTTTTTCCAGCTTCACTCCAAGGATTCAACCCTTGGCTCGCCGTCGGTTCTTCTGTTTCCAGCAAGTGTGTTCAGAGTCAGATCCTGCAGCCTTCATCGGGAAGCAAGCTACACGATACCTTAGTGTTTCTAGAAACTTGTGATTGTGGTAAAACATCATGTGCTATAAGCCCGCCGTTGATACTTCATCGTAGAATACGTGGCGGACGCGAAGCGTATGCTTCGAGATCGTGGCTTACGACAGTGCCCTCACTGCAATCAACCTTGAGAAAGAGCTCATTCCTTCGCGCTGACGTTGATTTTCCTGGAGCACGAAGCCTAATGTAGGAGACTCTTGGTCATGTTTTAGAACAAAGAGTCTGGCCTGAAGCTTCGGGCATAAAACTTGCGCGTATATTGAATCTCTTGAAGTCTTAATCTTCAGAATCTGAACTACGGGCGAGTTTCTCAAGTTTTATGCAAGACATCATTCAAGACGACGAGGTCTCGGATCATTGGAATCATAGGTGAGGACCGCCTGGATTTGGCTTCGACGAGAAGACATACCGACCCATACAGTTCCTCTTCTTGGCAGAAAAGTAATCTGACCCCATCTTATGGTTCTCCAGGCATCTCGTGCTGTACAGCATTTCTTCTGCCTTTTGAGGCATTGCTGTAGTATACAGAAACGGTCCTTGCGTAATGGAATACATGCGTGCCCGCGATTTCTGTATAGACTGCTATGCGTGGGATTTGATGCTCTCTCGTGGAAAGAATGTGGTTCAAGAATACCTTCATTTGGTCTACTTCAGAGAATGAAATCCTTTTATCTCCTTTATAATGAAGGTGCCAATGAAGTGAGCACTCAACTAAGGTCTTTGCCGATCAGTGAGCATTGCCCATAAGCATAAACGTATTATTGGCCGAATATTGCAGCCTTCTTGAGTGCTCGTCTCTGAAAACATAGTTTTGCATTCTTGCGCTGAAGAAAGCCGCATATAGGTGCAAACACTGAAGCCTAGACAGAGAGGTAGTTCCAAACAAGGGGTGTACAGCTTGAAGTCGTCTGTGTCCGAAGTCTCTACTATAACAATAGTATTCCCAAGATGAATAACTTGAAGGGAACACGCAGTCAGTCCGCTTGAATGTCGAAGGAGAGACGTAAAGTTTCACATGCTCCATCCATGAAGTCAGGTCTTAAATGAAACGACACAATGTCTCCGAATGCTGATATTATGTGCTGTTTCGTTCTCTCGAGAGCGGACGATCTCGTTTTTATGCGCGCCATTAGGTACACCCTTGGTTGCAATGGGTGTCAGACTTAAAGCTGCAAAGCATCACTGGATATAAAACACATTAAAGCTGCGTCTGCAGCTTATTTCTCGCGCAAGATTGAGTGTCGTCTTCTCCCAAAGACCAACTCAGAACATGGGTATGAAGGGCGCATGTTAGGAGTGTGCATCTAAAGCCGGGGTCATTGCGGGGACCCTATCCAAGAATACAGTCGAATAAACGAAGAGAGAGGTTGAAAAACGGGCACGTCAGGATAGGTGTTGATGTGGTAAAGACGGGATAAGTATTAGTTTTGAGTGTAGATGAGCTTGAGCGATACGTGCCGAAAAGTCAGAAACAACCTCTCGATTCTCTAAGCTTCGAAGCAATTAGAGGAGAGCATGGCTTAATATGAATTGCCACGTCAATGACGACGCAGGCCTCCCTTCAGCGCTGCGACTGATCTCAACGAGGATCATTAGACGCAGGCATCTTGACGAAATGTCTTCCTGTACGATTTGCAGAAGAAAATAAAAGTCTATGCGGGAGAAGAAGTTGAAGCCTGCAACAACCAACTGTTGTTGAACGCTCTTGCTGTAGTATGTGCTACGACTCGGAAGATGGGGCTGAACGGGGTTGTAGCCTGAGTCCACAGCTCTCAAAATCCGCAAAACACGGTCTCATAATCAAGATGTCCTTCTCCAGAGTTATCGGAAGAGTATTTGCCAGCTTCGCTGCTGTGTATTCCTTGATTGCCCATCGTCAGAGTACGTCTGAGCAAAGTCAACCCGCATACTAGAACCGGTGAACTAACTTCAGTTGCAACCAAGCTTCCGTGCCATGGAGCCCAACTTCTGCCCAAATTACGATTGGCGTTATGGCATAACTGTGACCCGCCCTCTCTGGGTTATTTATTCCAACCTGGGTTATGGAGTTGCCGCTCGCATCTGCGGCCCATGCGTGTCATGATTCCACCCACATGTGAGCTAAGTGGTGACATGGGAAACTTCATTTGTCTGTAGCCTCTGAAAACATCCTACTTGAGTTGTCATTTCCTTGAATTAGATACTGGCAGTCTAGAAAATTGGTTAGGTGAGAAGGATATGGAAAGGTCCCTAGAGACATGACGCGTGGCTTATCGAAAAGTATCTTTCGTTTGTTCAACCGCACATAACAGCATGTCAGCGGAAGTCTAACAGAGCATGCAGAGCACGTACCAGGACCCTGAAGAGTCAGTTCCAGGCACAACAGAAACAGCGACGGGAACAAGTTTCATCAAGCACGTGCCAGGCATGTCGTCAGCGTCACATGTTTGATTGAACGCGTCATCATTCGTGACTTCAGGTGGATGTTATCGTGGGCAGCGCGTTGCGTAGTATTTTGTGGTACGGGGTGAACTTGCATCACGTCGCCAGCGGGATTAGGCAATAATTCTATTGATTCATATCATCAGATTCTCCCCAGAGCAAGCTATCACGCCGCATCATTACAGCTCGTCTCCTCACACACAAGGTATCAATTTGGTCACTCTTTCACGCTCGCACTTATTTCTTCTCCAGCTCCTCGAGGATGGGCTTCTCGAGGCTCTCGGGCTTGGTGGTGCTCGCCCAGCGGCCCTTGACCTGGCCATCACGACCGATCAAGAACTTCTCAAAGTTCCACTTGATGCGCTTGAGGCCCATGATGCCGGGCTTCTCCTCCTTGAGCCACTGGAACAGGGGGTTCGCATTGTCGCCATTGACGTCGGTCTTCTGCATGATGGGGAAGGAGACGCCGTAGTTGACCTGGCAGAAGTTCTGGATGTCGTCGTCGGAGCCGGGCTCCTGGCCGCCGAACTGGTTGCAGGGGAAGCCGAGGATGACGAAGTCGTCGCCGTGCTTCTCCTTGATGTCCTTCCACAGCTTCTCGAGGCCGGCGTACTGCGGGGTGAAGCCGCACTTGGAGGCCGTGTTGACGACGAGGACGACCTTGCCCTTGTAATCGGCGAGGGGGACCTCCTGGCCGCGCTCTGTTGGGGTGGGAGATGTGGTCAGCAATGCATGATTGGGGTGGGATGCAGGTAGGCGGCAATGTCAGGGGGAGCGCGCGCGTGGGAGAGGTTACGTGACGTACTGTCAAGCGGCTTGAAGTCGTAGAACTTGGTCGCGGAAGCCATTGTCGCGAATGTTTTGATGCTGTGGTTGTGTTGTTTTTTCGCAAGAAAGAAATTACCCCGCTATCGGAATGTCGTCAGTATGCACACTACAGCGCCGGTTCCGCAGTGGATTGCGGCAGGGCGGGAAAACACACGTGTGGTACAGAGGTTGGGATTAGTTTGTTTGCGAGGTTGGAAGAAGGCGGGAGGTCAAGCTGCGGAGGAAAAGCGTGTTTAAGGGAGGGAGAAGTCGGGAACGTATGTGTAGTAATGCGACGAAACATGCCACGCGTGACGATGAAATGCATCGGTAGGTGAGCAACGGTAGTACTTGTATACATTTGTGTTGGATGTTCGTCCTGCCGGGACGAAGTTTCAATCCGGTTTCCAATGGGGCCCGGACGCACGGGGCGTGCACGCCTTGCACTGCCGCTGTGTCTGTGATGGAACCCTGGACTTCTATTTGCATTCCATCGCCTTCAGCGTTCGTTGGCCGCTAAACTATTTACACAGTTGGAGGGGCCCAACAACTACTCAGTAAGGATGCAACTGGCCAGGGCTGCTGTCGGCTGTGACGGGGTCTCGGTCAGGAGTGGGGCCCGGCCGTTGCGATTGAGGCGGGAGGGTCCTGTCGCTCTTCATCGACCTCGGTACGGGACCCCTGACCCGAGCTTTTTTGTTCGAGCTTCGCTCCAGCCTGCCCCGGACGTCGACAGTACGGATACGTCGCAGCTTTGGTTTCTGGGTGTTCCGGATTACTAATTGCAGCAAGTGATGGCCAAACGGTGCTGCTATTCATTACTCACACCTACAATGTTGCGCCACATCCTCAATAGACATGGTGCGATATGATAGAATCAACAAACTTCACTCCCAAAGACCTCCCATGCCGGCGAAGCTGTCATGTGAGAGTGGATCCAATCGGCCCAATGCGTTGTCCCGGTCGCCGAGTCCGTTGCGTTCAGTCTGGATCTGGACCGGGTCCCTGATGCTCTTCAATTCCTCTCTTCGGCGTAGTCACGAACAGAACCTCTCAGCTCCGGGTCTTCCGTCCCGGCCGATGACTCCAACTAGAGGCAACTAGACCGAAGGTGCACGGCATCCCGCTCCATTGGATCGCCGCCCACATCCCATTGGACTAAGCTCAATCCTCCTCGGCGCCGACCTGCTCATTGGACGTAGAGCTGCGGATCAATAAAGCACCTGCCCCGATATGACTTGCGCCCAACAAACTCCCGCCGAGGTGATTTCCAGATCTGGACGGCTTGCATCCCCATCTTGCAGTCACCTCAGCCAATGTTCTCGGGCCAATTACTGACCCGAGGACGAGCATCGCTCTCAATCCCGCAGCTTGTTCCCGTCTCGAACCACTCAAGTCGACTGGTAATTGTTAATTCCGCCCTGGCCAACAGCTGCACCCCGCTGCTGCTTTATCGATAACGGAAATCTACCCCGCCTGAGCACAGCACCACACCACCGAGCCCGCAGCTCACCCGGCCCCGCGGTGACGACACCGAAATGACATCCCCCGTCAAGAAGCCTCCGTCAACGGCCAAATCCAAATCAAAAAAGTCCGCCCTGCAGCAACGCGCCAAACTCCTGCAAGAGGCATTGAACCTCCCTCAACCTCCAACAATGGACCCCCAAGCAAAGCGCAACATCGTCATTGTCGGTACGTCTCCCACCACCTCCCTCCCTTTGCTCATGCGCCCCTGAAGCTAAGCACCGTCCACAGGTGGCGGCATCATCGGTTCCACAACAGCCTACTTCCTCACCCGCCACCCGAAATACAACCCCGCCCTCCACCGCATCACCGTCCTCGAGGCGTCCTCCGTCGCCGCCGGCGCCTCGGGCAAGGCAGGCGGCCTGCTCGCCCTCTGGGCTTACCCCTCCTGCCTCGTGCCGTTGTCCTACCGCCTCCACAAGGAGCTCGCTGAGGAGCACGGCGGTGAGAAGCGATGGGGCTACCGCCGCGTGCAGTGCGGCAGCTTCGAGGCGCGCATATCCAAGACGAAGCTCGAAAAGATCAGACAAGCGACCGCCGCCCTCAAGCCAGGTGTCATCGCACCGGGCGCAAATGACGAAGCGCAGGAGAAGGACTGGGAGAAGCTGCCCAAGCAGGACGAGAAGGCCGAGGCGCTGCTCGAGGAGTCGGTGCTCCCCCGCGACCTGGACTGGATCGACCGCGGGGCTGTGACGTCGTACGCAGAGATGGGCTCCCCCGGCGCCACGGAGACGGCGCAGGTGCACCCCTTCCACTTCACGACCTCCATCGCGGCGCTGGCGCAGGAAAAGGGCGTCGAGGTGCGGACTATGGCGCAGATGAAGAAGATCCATTCTTCGAACAGTGTTGGTTTGCACAGCGTGGAGTACCTCGACCGCGAGTCCGGCGAAACCAAGACGATTGAGGATGTCACAGACGTAGTTGTCTCCGCGGGGCCGTGGACGGGGCGGCTGGTCCCCGGATGCAAGGTCACGGGGCTGCGAGCGCACAGCGTAGTCTACAACGCCGACGTCAGCCCGTACGCCGTGTTCACGAGCATCGAGCTTCCCGCGGATTTCGTGCCGGAGCACCGGGCGAGCAAGGGCCAGAAGAGGAGGCACAAGAGGGTTGTCGACCCGGAGATCTACGCGCGACCCTTTGGTGAGGTTTACGCTTGTGGCAAGTTCCTTCTCTCCTCCCCCTTATGCATCTGGACGAATGGCTGACGGAGGCGTGCAACAGGTGAACCGGACAAGAACGTCCCGCTCCCAGATACCGCGGACAAAGTCCAGGTCGACGAGGCCAACTGCGACGACATCATATCCTACATCGCCACCTTCAGCCCCGCGCTGGGCGCCGCCCCGATCAAGGCCAAGCAGGCGTGCTACCTGCCTCAAGTCGATTATGGACCGCTTGTAGGCCCGACGTCGGTCCCCGGGATATGGGTCGCGTCTGGACACACCTGCTGGGGAATACAGAACGGGCCTGCGACGGGCAAACTGATGTCGGAGTACATACTGGACGGCAAGGCGACCAGCTCCGACATTTCCACCCTAGACCCCAGGAAATACAAATGTTAGACGGGCATTATCACGAGTCCTTGAGTGGCACCCGTGGTAGGGACAGAATACGGCTGGGCGAGGTTAATAGACACTAGACAGCATGCGATGAATGAATGATTGATGACGTTAAATTTACCCTTAGGACTTGGAATTCTGAACAGCTGCATTAAACAGAGCTTCGTCCCTTGATGTCATTTACTCTAAATCGAGTCTCAATCATGAGCACAGCCGAAGCACCATGACTTTAAAATCACTATTCGGCGCGGAAACATTAAAATCATGATTTCATAAATCTATTAACGAGTCCTTTGGATGCTAGTCATCAGGTGCACCGCTAGCCTGACCTGCACAGGCCCGGTGAATGCAAAACCCATCATCCCAATCGTAAATATCCCAGCGTAACTCCCTGTTCGAACTATCGACAAAATGCCAACCCGAATGGTTTATTTTTTGAGCGAACTCTGGTACGGGGCTACCACGACCTCGGGGTATCATCGTCCCGGGTATTGACCCGAGATCGTAGCCCGGACCACCACGGCCGTGATCGGTGGTCACTATGCCCCACCAACCTGCCATGCCGGAACTGGTCACCCGCACTTGTGTTTTTTTTGTGTAAATTATCATAAGAACATTGAGAGAGTCTATCGTTTAAAGGGACTTCTCAATCTCCATGACCTCACGGATGCCCTCCTCAATGGAGGTAGTCCTAGCCTGCTCGAGGCGTCTGAGAGGACGTCTGGGGTATCCACCGTAGCCAAAGTAGCTGTGGATGGCGCCCTTGGTACCGGCAATGGCAGCCTTGGTCAGAAACCAGTCGCCGCGGGAAAGCTTCTTCTGGAGCTCAATGGCCTCGTCACGCTTACCCTCGGCGTATAGGTTCCATACCTTGACACAGACCTTGGGCATGACGTTGGCACCGCCGGCAATGATGCCGCTGCCGCCGCTGGCAAGGGTCTGGGCAGTGAAGTCGCACATGCCACCAAAGGCCATGTAGCCAGAGCCCTCAGACCAGGGGGTCTTGGCGTCGGTAGCCAGTGCGACACGGGTGAGCTTGCCAGTGTTACCGCACGTGAACTTGGTGCCGATAATGTTGGGGTGCTGGGCGAGCTTGATGAGGAGGTCGCTGTCCATGTCGATGCCGGAGACGGCGCCAGGGTAGTTGTAGAGGACGAGAGGGATAGGGCTCTGGTCGGCGACGGCGACGAAGTAGTCGTAGATGGTGGTCTCGTCGACCTGGGCGCGGTAGTATGAAGGGGGGAGGATGAGGGAGGCCTCGGCACCAGCCTCAGCACAGGCCTTGGAGAGCTCAATAGTGCCGCGAACACTGCTCTCGGTGGCACCGATCAGGACGGGGACGTTCTGGAAGCCGGCGGCGTCGAGAGCCTCACGGGTGGCCTTTGTGACGGCAACCTTCTCCTCTCGTGTGCAGTGGACAGCCTCGCCGTTGGAGCCCATAACAACCAAACCGGCGAGACCGGCCTTGGCCAGACGCTCAGCGTGCTTCTTTATGGTAGGGATATCGATATCTTCCGTCTCAGGGTTGAAGAAGGTCATGGTGGGGGCGTAGATGCCGACGGGGAGGCCGCGGCGGGCGGCGTTACCATTGGAAGCAGTCATGATGGGCTGAGAATGTGTGTGAAGAAAGGAGAGGTGGTGAGAGACTGGCCGGGAGTAGAAGGCAGGCAGGACAAGCTTGGAGGGGTAATGAGGGGTGAAAGGACGGGAGAAGCAGTGGGAGGAGGCGGAAGGTATATTTATACGAGAGGAGAAAAAGAGGCGGCGAGGAAGGTTTGTCATGAGCTGATAGGCTTGCAGGCGTCTGCCTGCGTGGGGTGGGATAAGTCTGGAAATAAATATTTGACGTGTCGCGAGGGACTGCTCGTGTGGACATTGGCCCGAACTATCGAACATCGTGTTGAGTCGAGGCCAAGACCGGAGGAGCTAACAGCATGTACTACGGGGCCGGCCATCCTGGGATGGGTGCTCCCTTGCACCCCGGTTGGGGGAGGGGGGGACGTGGATCGGAAACTTGAGGAGCAGGACGCTAAGAAAGATGGAGATTGGGGGTGGAGGGGCAGTCTGGAAATCCATCGCCGAAGCGTTGATGTTCCTGAATTGTGATGTTGAACATCGGGATTGTAGTCAGCATCTAAGCGACCCAAAGGGCTTCGGACAACGCAGATGTACCCCGGCCTTGGGTGTAACATGGCAGATTGTCGAGACGGAAACCGGCAGACTCATGTTAGCTTTCAAAGTGCCTTCTATTTCCCTACTGCACAAAGCCAATGGTACTGGCCAACACTTGACGCTGTGACATCCGGGGAATTCCCTAGGGATGTCGTAAATCGCGGGGGCTTCTTGGTCTTGGAGGAAAGCCGTCACAAGACGAGCAGCATCCGAGACAACAAGGGACTTCCCTCGATCCCCTCAAATGCCCCGGGCTGGCCCAAGCTAAGGCCAGATACCCACGTCCATGGTCCGTGGGCCCCGGTAATAGACGGTAGCGACGATGCATCTAGCTGTATCTGTGGCCCTGTGTTGGCCGTGGGATCTGCTGGAAAAGATAGATTCAGATTCTGCACCGCGCATCGAAGTGGTTTGCGCCAATAGAGGCAGATGTTTCCCGGCCGGCGCGGCGAGATCTGCGCTGAGGCAGCCCGTTGCGAGTCCGGGCTGATGGTCCGTTCAGAAATGCTGCGTTGGAAGCGAAGGGAAACGGTAAATGAAGACGAGGTTGCCATTGGAAGAGAAGCCGTAGTGCCACACATCGCAAGGCTTGTCGGGCCCGGCCTGGACATTAGCGTGGAGTGGGACATGCAAGCTGCAAGACGGAGGTGCCTGGCCATCTTCCGGCCATTGGCTGCCGCGTCTCGGTGTTGCTCGCCTGAGGTGCATGACATGAAATTTTTGTTCGTCACAGGTCTTGATCTGTTAATGAGAAACCACCCGCGAGTTGGTTGACGCGAAACCCGACTTCGCTGCGGTGAGTTGCAGGGCTGCCGAGCCACCAAAGCAATAAGAGATACAGTTGATCGATACACTTCTGCGGTCAGCAAAACATGCGTCAAGCTGACAACGGACAGAGAAGCAAGCAGAGCGAGTCCCCTTGGTCCATGTTTCAGTGCCGCAACTGACCGGGCCGGGTTGCAGACCGGCTCAGTGACGTTGATGGCTGGTAGCCGGTGTGCAAAGTCAGAATGGGCAACAATTGTTGAGCAAGTAGAATACACTGCGGCGCATGGTCTGGGGACTGCTTGAGATTTTGGACAAGTGCAGTTCCACTGGAAAGGTGTCGAAGTCGGACGGAATCGCGGTGGTGAGTGGTCTGCTGTTGGAGGAGAGGTCGGACGTGATGGAAAATGGAGATGCTCTTATTGGACGGAGAAATTGCGAGGAAGATATTCCGCCAATGAGAGCAACGCTTGATTTTCTGGCAAGGCAAGTGGGGTCTGGCGCATTAGTCCGAGGGTTGGAGAGCAGGAATGGAGGGGCACGAGGGGCATCGAGCTAGCCATGACAAGCCTGGACCTGTCCTGACGGGAAGATATCCGCAGACGACATTTGCACCAAGTATTCTCTTAGCGACTTGAAGGAACTGTCCTGTATTATCTTCCTGGAACACCAAAATTTGCAGGTACTTTGGCCTTCTGTACCGATTCTTGACGCTCATGGCACCTAAGGTACTGTGTATGTAAGGCTCTGAGGGTTCTCTGTGTGAAGCCTCCCGGTACTGAAACACAACCTCACGCGCGGAAACCTGCGGGTGGTCGCTTTTAGCCGAAAAGACGTTATTAACTGCAATAAAAAAGTATGAGATGTTTCTTTTACTGAGTAACAAAAATAGAAGACCATGGAAGAAGTAACATTGGCTCGCAAACACTCGAGACAGTTGATGCAACAACTTTGCAGCGGTCAATCGCAGAAAAGCGGCATCAACTGACTCTGCCGTCTTCAACCGTCCTGAGCCCGATGCCCTGTTTACTAGGTGCCTGTCCTACACATATTTCACAGTGAAAGACACATATCCTTGGCCAACTTCGCGTCTTAGCGCACTCCGGAAGACGTTCGAGGGACACACCGTTCCACGACAGCGGGCATCCATGTCACGGGGCATTGCGGGGCAAACGGGGTGGAGGCTGTACGTGGGGGCGGGGAATTGGCCATAGCAACCGTGACCGCTGCAACATTTGGGCTCCGAATGAGCTACCTTTTTCTCTGGATACGGGCTTCACTTTTCCCATCTGCTGACTTTTATCAATTGCGAATTGGTATAACTTCAAACGAGGGCTCGCTCCCGAATTGTTCCAAGAAATTGCTTGTTACTGCTAATACCGAGAGTAATTCTCTTCGGCCATTGAGGATCTCTGTGTTGATGTTCTGAAGGCTTTGGCTCAAAGCAAACATGGCCGAGGGCATTACCGGCGTGAATTGCTCCAACAGGACACAGTTCTTTTTCTCACTCGCCTCAATGAGTAAAACCGGCATAATTCTCCATTGGTTCCAGCCACTGCGTAGCTTGAGAGCAGGGAATCCGAGCCCCATTTCAGCCCCACTGCAGAGTTGGAGAAGCCCCTCCCCCTCCCCCTCCTCCTTCCCCTCACCCCTCCTTCTTTTCTGCCCCTCCAAGTCTCATCATCTTCAGCGCCTCGCCGCAAAGAAGCGCGCTGCAGACCTTTGTGGGATGTCATTTCCAAGGGTACCAATTGCACACAAGAAAAAGATTTCGCAGATACAGGTTCGAAATATTCCGAGCCATGCCACGAGTTGGCGAACTGGGCATGGCCTTGGCGTGAACCTTCATGCGCCAGCTACTGGGGGCTCCGTGAACCGGCGCCTGGGTACGATGCGACGACTTCGGGCGTGCTCGGTATTGACCATTCGGGAGCGGCACCAAGTCCCCAGTTATTAGCTACAATGCGTTTCCCAGCTACCATCGAATACATCCACTGGTCCAGCGTTGCGCCTGGTCGTATGCCTGACTTTTTCGTCACTGGTGACGAAGAATGAATGCAACGCCCTGGCATCCTCCAGTGCTTTACATACCACTATGTGTCTTCCAGGCCACATCTGCACAACTGCGCAGCGCCGAGACCAACGTCAATTAGGCAAAATCGTCTAACGATACGCACCTACGGATACTCTACGGAAATCTCACGGAAAGGTATCAGAGCAGTCGGGGACTGGGAAGCTGGTGCACGGCGGCGTGCGGGGCAGATAAATCCCTCCAATTGTCTTTTCCCCTCCTGCCCCTCAATTTTTCCGGGTCCTTGACGTGGAGGAGCTACCTCGTCCTTACCAGACGGGAGCTACCCTTGAAGACGGCTGGAGACTGGAGCCTTTGGGGCGAGCTTCATCCAAAACATCCCTGGCCCGCTTGCCGCTGCCCATTGTCACGTCTGTCGCGTACTTTTTCCTTCGTGGATCGCCCGAGCTCACGCTGTGCTTGGCCTAGGAAATAGTTCCCTTAAATAGACCGTGGCCCACGCGCTTGCTCTCCAGCTTTAGGATCTCGTCTTCTCCATCCCCAAACTTTCCTCCCCTCCTCACACAAATCTTCCAGCCATTGAATCCTCAGAATCGGTCATAATGGAGCCGCTCAACGTCTTGATGGTATGTTCTATGCTTCTGGCCATCCAGATCACCTAAAGCTGACGTTTTCCAGGTCGGTACCGGCGAGTACACCACCGGCTTTGTCGGCGGTGGTGCCTCTGGCTCCGACAAGAAGGTTGGTGTTGTCGGTCTCACTCTCTTCGACCTGAGGAGGCGAGGCAAGGTCAACCAGCTGGGCATGGTCGGCGTCAACGGAACCAAGTTCCCTGCCATCAGTACGTTTAATCCACAGAGACCACGGCCGTCAGTCATTAACCAGACGCAGGGGAGCATCTCAACAAGAACATCACCCAGGTCTATAACGGCCTCGATACCTCCTTCGACTCATTCCCTGCCAACGACAAGAAGGACCCCGACTCCTACAAGACCGCCATTGACGCCCTGAAGCCCGGTGACGCCATCACTATCTTCACACCCGATACCACTCACTACCCCATCGCCCTCTACGCCATTGAGCGCGGCATCCACGTCCTGCTCACCAAGCCCGCTGTCAAGGAGCTCGAGCACCACCAGGCTCTCATCGAGGCCGCCGAGAAGAAGGGCGTCTACGTCTTTATCGAGCACCACAAGCGTTTCGACCCCGCTTACTCCGACGCCCGCTTCAAGGCCCAGAAGCTCGGTGACTTCAACTACTTCTACTCTTACATGTCTCAGCCCAAGTCTCAGCTCGAGACTTTCAAGGCCTGGGCCGGAGTTGACTCCGACATCTCCTACTACCTCAACAGCCATCACGTCGACATTTGCGAGTCCATGGTCACCCAGCAAGGCTTCATTCCCGTCAAGGTCTCTGCCTCTGGCTCTAAGGGTATTGCCACCGATCTCGGCTGCGACCCTGCCACCGAGGACACCATCTCCGTTCTCGTTCACTGGGAAAAGAAGGGCGACCCCAGCAAGAAGGCTACTGGTGTCTACACCGCCAGCTGGACCGCACCGCAGCGCGCCGGTGTTCACTCGAACCAGTACTTCCACTACCTCGCCGCGAACGGCGAGATCCGTGTCGACCAGGCCAAGAGAGGTTACGACGTCGCTGAGGATTCCGCTGGCCAGCTGATGTGGTACAACCCCTTCTACATGCGCTACGCCCCCGACGAGGACGGCAACTTCAACGGCCAAACCGGCTACGGATACATCTCCCTCGAGAAGTTCGTCGACGGCTGCAGGCAAGTCAACTCTGGCCAGCTGAAGCCCAAGGACCTGGACGCCAAGGGTCTGCCCACTCTCAAGAACACCATTGCTACCACTGCCATTCTGCACGCCGGCAGGAAGAGCATAGACGAGAACCGTGATATCAAGATTGAGATCAACGACGGTGTGTGGAAGCTGGTGTAAGTGGGTTTTATGATGAGTGATGATTTGTGGATATGTGCATAGGGATTTATATACCATCTGCTTTGCGGTTCAATAAAATTTAAATGATGATCAGAGGACTTCACGTAACTTGGATCGTCATGTTCTCCCAACTGTGAATTGGCTCTCCGAAGCTGTCTGCAATATCGAAAGACAGTTAGGGTACGTCCACAGGCGAAGGACTTTGCAGAAAGAACGAACGTGCTTTTCTCCGCCAAACTTCACATAATAGGGAGAGCAGGTCCCTCACACGCCTACTTATCCACAAATAAAAGGACTAACACTCGAAGGCCAAGAATACTATCCAGGACACCTTGATGGCATTATCGGTGAGGAACCAATACGATCCTGGCAGTCGAAGTATGTAAGTGCCCTCACGTGATCGTCAACGGCCGCCAGTCTCACACATAATCTCGGCATAGGCACCCGCGGAGCAAGCTGCATGCCAACCTAAAGTCTACCTCGCAAACGGTCTCGGGGAGGTCTGCCGCCCGAGGTACCTCGGGTCCTCGATAGAACACCCTAAAACCCAGTCTCAGCATCTGGTGTTTAGATATGGCGGTTAGATAACAGCATCCCCATACAAACCGGCCAGCTTGACCAAGACGCGATGGCTAACATGGATCTAGACCAAGAGATCAACACCCACCAAGATGGATGTCGAATTACCCAGAAACCGGACAGGCGGTCTTCCTGCTCGCGCCCTGCAGGAGCTCTGCCCGTCTAAAAACCCGTCTCCCTGATTGAGGGGTTACATTACCCCAAAAGCCGCCCGTCTCAACGTTCAATTGACTTCCTATCTCCTCATTGAGCCTAGCGGGCCAGCAGATACGAAAGAAAGTTGCCCAGCCTGCGAGCAAATTTCACTCGTGTGGCTTGGCCCCTGGACCATCCCCCCTCGACGAACAAGCCTGTGATCAAGGCCACTTGCAACAAGTACCGTTCACGGCTCGTGGAAGGATTCTTGCCAGTGACGACGGTGGCTTGTCCGTCGCATCGTTCCTGTCAAACCCACATCTCCTGGGCATGGCATAGCGAATCATGGCATAGCGAATCAGTAACACGATAGAGTAAACTACACAGAATAGGGAACAAAACAAAAGCATAGCGAATCAGCCATCCGGTATGCACTTGATCCATTGACAAGCGCCGTAAGGCTGCCTGACACCATGCCCTATCCAACAAGAAGCTTGGACATCAGAAATTCAAAGTTTGGGTTCCGATTTACTGTTCCCTCGAGGTGGAGGCTGCGCAATCATCCCATCTCTACCTGCGGAAAGATTTGACCGCGACCCCCGCCAGCATCGTTTCGACACCGAACCATCCGTGCCGAACCCCCAAAGTTTCGACGGCCGGCCCAAGCAAAGTAAAGCTTCATCTGCAGTCTGGTCTCTAATACTCGACCCCGCGCGTCTACATCTGAATGAAGACAAGGAGGGCCCTACCAAGGAATAGTCCGGACGGGGCGACAACGTTTCCCGAGGGGCATCGTTTATTGTTTGATTTTGTGACTCGGCGATCTCATCCAATCACGACGCCGACAATTGTCAATGTCCAACCCTGGGGTCCTTTTGACAACGCCCCCCTATCTGGAAACTACCATCGTGCCTCCTGGGCAGCAGGGCGCGCGTAGATATCTAAGGACGAGCAAAGCAAGGTTTCAAACTTATCTCCTCACCCTTGGGCGAGAGCTACGGCGTAGAGAACTCTGGTTGGTTCCTTGCTGGCGGCCGACGTGCGGCATGGGTGACTATTTGACATCCCGTGCTGAGTGGCGTACGGCAGAGACATGGAATGCCTCGTTTGCAATCAAGTCTTCTTACCCCAGGAACATAGCTCGAAAGTACACCATGACATGTGGTAGATGGTCTGGAGGCTGCATACTATGCAGTAACTTGTGTTGCTGGCAGACCCGTAGAGGAGCTAGCGGGCACACATGGCTTACACCCCACCGTTCCAAACATCTGACGGGGTTGATGCAGCATCATACCTAGATTGATGATCCTGAACTGGGCTTAGAGCCGGTAGGGTATTCGAGGTACCCCTGACGTTGACTGGTAAGATAGAGGGACATGCTTTGAGCTTGTTTGTGTCTCGAAGCTATCTATATAGCTTGTCCCAGCTGCTTGTTTCCGAAGATCCAGATATTGGTCGTTAGAGAACAGCATCTTTAGACCACTGTTTTAGTCTTAGTGTTACAAGAGCATAGATAATACCAACACTTAGTCCAGCATCATGGGAAGCCTCCAGATCCCTTCATACGACACCGCGTACTGCACGGTAAGCATCACACCCCTCTCTCATAGACATCCAGTGACTAACACACCAAAGCTGGTAACAAACGATGGCTACGTCGTCGGTACGCTTATCCCAACTCCCCTCCCATCGTCCCCAAACTAACCACCACAAGCCGCCGCCGTCCTCGCCCAGTCCCTCCGCAAAACATCAACCCCCCTCCCCCTCTGCGTCCTCGTAACCCCCTCCACAATGTCCACCAAAGCAATCTCCCAGCTCCAATCCGTCTTCGACCTCGTCATCCCCGTCACCACCGTCACGGCCCTCACAAAGGACAACCTCTCCCTCATCGGCCGGCCTGACCTGCACGCCACCATGACCAAGGTCCAGCTGTGGTCCCTGACGCAGTTCACCCGCGTCCTCTACCTCGACGCCGACACCCTCGTCATGTCCAACCTCGACCACCTCTTCTCCCTGCCGCTCGACATCCCCTTCGCCGCCGCCCCGGAGATCGGGTTCCCCGACTGCTTCAACAGCGGCGTCATGCTCCCCCGCCCGGACATGGCCACCTTTGCCGAGCTCACGGCCTTCGCGACGCACGTTGACTCCTTCGACGGCGGGGATCAGGGTCTGCTCAACGTCTTTTTTGGTGATGGCACGCGGAACCACCCGTCGACGCTGCTGCTGAAGAAGTCCAAGGGTGGGCCGGGGAAGGAAGCAAAAGAGGGCAGCGCAGAGAGAAACTGGTACCGGCTGAGCTTCACGTACAACATGGAGATGCACAAGGTGTACCGCTTCTACATCCCCGCGGCGCTGCGGTACCGCGACGAGCACAAGATCCTGCACTTCATCGGCAAGGACAAGCCGTGGCACTTTGACGAGGGGAGGGTCGAGATGGAGGAGGACGCGGGGCCGTACCAGCACTTTTACGCGGACATGGTCGGGAAGTGGTGGGATACGAGGAGGTCCATCCAAGCTGCCATTTGACGTTGTTCATAGACTGTCGATGATTCAAACACTTTTACTATACCCTCTCTGGAATTACGTATTTGATGTGAAAGCTCAACCTATATGCACTTAAAGCATACGCTTCTACATCAGATACGTAACTCTAGAGAGGGAAAATTCTAAACTGAAGCCTAGTAATGGGGTAGTGTAAGTTGTGTGACGATGACATGCGATCCTGAAATCGGCACCGTAGAAGAGTAGGCCCATGTGAAAAGTAAGAAGTTCTCTTAGAACATGCTACTCTGCCTAAAATTTAACACAAATCTTGCGTGATGTATCGTTTTTTTTTGTTTCTTAGAGTGAGATGATGGAGCTGTAAGCTGCTCACCGAGCCATCCTCGGTCGGTTTCGGTGTGTCGCAGAGAGCTGGTCCGAAACAGGACTAGTTCCCACCCGATAAGATAAGAACCTCAAAAAATTCAAGGTCAACTCCCAAGCCAAAACCTCAATACCAATCGCCATCGCCTCCAACCTGTAAACCCATCACCATACCGCACCCGTCGCACAACCTCCAGCAAAATGGGCCGAGACCTCCAGAAGAAAAAGCGCCGCGCCGGCCAAAAGACCAGGCAGCCCAACAGGCCCAAGAAACTCCTCAACCCCCTCGGCAACGACATCATCGCAAAGAACTGGTTCGTCCCCCCCATTCTTCTCCCAGCCCGCGCAAGCACAGCTAACAATTCTTTCCCCGTCCAGGAACAAGAAGGAGACCCTCACGCAAAACTACCGCCGCCTAGGCCTCACAGCCCGCCTGCGCAACCCGACAGGCGGCGTCGAGAAGACGCTCTCCCAGGTCGAGCGCCTCAAGTCCGCCAAGCCGGCGCCGAGCCCCTTCGACATCGCCCCGATGGAGCAGGCCGTCGTCGACGAGGCGCGCATCGAGCGCGACGAGAACGGCAAGATCGTCAGGATACACTACTCCAAGTCCAGCCGCGCGAACCCGCTCAACGACCCGCTGAACGAAATCGAGGCGGACTCTGACGAGGAGGAGGAGGAGGAAGAAACTGAAGAGTGGGGCGGCATCGACGACGAGAGCCGCCCTGAGGTCATTCGTCTGCTGGAGAAGGAGGCGTCGAGGGGAGAGCTGAAGAAGCCGAGGCACATGAGCCAGCAGGAGAAGGAGTGGTTGGAGAGGTTGATTGCGAAGCACGGCGACAACGCGGAGGCCATGGCGAGGGACCGGAAGCTGAACCCGATGCAGCAGACCTCGGCGGATATCGCTCGTAGGCTGAGGAGATTTCACGGAAAGGCTTAATCGGAAAAGAATGCGTCTAAAGGGGTTGTAGCATGGCGGGGAAGCCTGGAAGATATTCCCTGGAGTTACGGCGTTTTCACCAAAACAAAAACCTGCAAATATCACTTCACTTGGTACACGAAATGACTATTTCTAAATGTATCGTCATGCCATCAAATTGATGTCTACCTAGTTCATGCCTGGTATCTTCTGTGTGAATACCGTTACAATGGGACGCCAACAACACCCCCTAAGCCGAAGCCAAAAGAAAAACCCAAGCTGTCTATGTGAACACGGGACTCGGTCCCCGAACAATTTGGCAGGCCGTGGCCCTGCCGCTGTGTCTCAACTCAACTCGTTCCCCACTGGGGAGACGTTTACCTCATGGTGCGGTCGTAGTTACCAGCAGGGAACTGAGCGGGCCTGTCGTCATCGTAGGCGGGCGCGGCAGTGTAGGGCTGGATAGTAGACGAGGAGTAAGGGTCATTTGCAGGCGAGGCGGTAGGGTGCGGGTGCGGTTGCTGGGAGTGGTACTCGGTCTCGCTGTCAAACATGGCGGCGTTCTGGCGCGAGGGGAGAGAGCCGTAGCGGTTCGGGTCGTCGTCCTCGGGGCCGTAGTTGACACCTCCGTAGGCGGAGTTGCTTCCGTAGCGGTCACCGTAGCTGCCAAAGTTGCTACCGGCGCCGGTGGTGGGATGGTCGTCGGCGTGGTCGTCCATGTTGACAGGGGCGTAAGCCTCCTCGTCGTGAGGGGCCATAGAGAAAGCAGCCTTATCGGGGTCGATGTTGTCGCCGGCGATCTTCTGCTTGTCATAGCCCGGAAGACTACCGTGGAACTGGTAGTGCTTGAGGGTGTAGAGACTGACGAAGGTGCTGACGCCGAACAAGAGGCTTGGACTTGCCGTTAGCAACAGGACTGGCAAGCATGCGTCGCAGAAACTTACGTCACGAAAACGCCAAGACCGACGATGGCCTTGCTGAGGTTGCAAGCATCACCGCACTGGTTGGCGGTGTTGTAGGCAGCCTGACTGGCGAAAGCGGACAGCCAGATGATGGTGAAGACGGCATCAACGATGACCATGGCGTAGGGGTTCGCAAGCTTTCGGGTTCTCGGCCAACGGGGCGCCATAATTAGGTATATCCACGCAGGAATAGAGAGGAAGCACTGTGTCGCAAAACTGTCAGCATGCACGCTTCGAGATGTAGCCCGTCGCATCATCAGGGTGATTACTGACCACTCCAAAAGTCCAGCCATTGTTGCCTACGATCTTTGCATTGTCGGCTCTGAAAACAGCAATTTCCAAGCCCCAGATAACGAAGGACAGGATGAACTGGAAGATGTGCAGGCCCAGCTTGACGCCGGGGACGTACTCGGGGTCGAAGTCGAGGTTTCCGAACATTGTCGTGGTTCGGTCGGTCGGTTCGGTATAGGTGTTCGGTTGATCTCGCAGTGTTGAACAAGCTGCGTTTGGTGATCGATTCGTTCGAAAGGGGAAGCCTGGAGGTGGTGGGTTGGGGGAGGTTGTGAGCAGCTATCGGGCTTCAGCTCCCCTGCTGTTTTTTTAATACTAAATAAAGATCAAACTCAATCCGGCTCGGCAACGGGTTTGGCGAGACGACCCAAGTTTGCAGGACCAGGTGGGGTGGCCAATCAGGTGGGAGATGAGGACCGTTTTAATGATGCAGTGGCCGCTCTCAAATGAATGAATCTGGGACCAAAGAGGGTGACGATGCTGTCGGCGACGATGGTGATGTTGAACGGGAGAGAAAGGTTCAGAAGGATGGGGACACGGTGGAAGAGAGAAAAGTCAATCAGGCGCAGCAGCAACTTCTGGGACTGTGGTCGTCGGGGACGCGTCTGCCTTTTTCTCTTGTTTAAAACGAAACAGCCCCGGCTGGACTGGGCGTTGAACTGCGGCAGTGACGAGACGTGGATTCAGTGGGCAACGACTCGTTACCTCTCGCAGTGTTAGTGGACCTGAGTGCACTGGGTGCAGTGTGGCCGCCGGCAGTGGGGTGGGCCCTTGGAGCTCCTCCCGGCCAGTAAGTGTCCAGCGTGTTTTACGTTACAGTGTCCCGTCATCATGAGTTGAGTCTTTCTTGTTGATTCCAGGGAGGCTCTCTTTCGCTAGTGCTGCGTAAATGCAGCCCAGCACGCGGAATTATGGGACGGCTGCCACGGGATCGGGGCGCTGCCCACGCAGCAGAGCGCAGCGCAGCGCAGACGGCAACGCGGACAGGCTGCGACTTCGGTTGAACCAAGCCACTGAAGCGCTGGGTTTCACTGCGCCACTGCTGCATAGGCAGCGAATCCCAGCCCTCGAGCCGCGAGCAGCTGAGCATCAGACCCCTGCAAGCCACGCCTCCCGAGCAGATAGTTCAGTCCAGGGACGGGGCAGTTCGACTTCTCTTTCGTCCTATTTTTTGCCTTTGGCCCTACGGCGGCGGGAACAGGTACCGTCGGTAAGACGCTCGAGGTTAGGTTGAAAGGATTGATGAACGAAACAGAAGATAGGGTGTACTTTGGTACAAGCCAACCACTATCGCGGCCGCCGTTTCTCGCCCGTAGCAACCGTCGCCGCCGTTTCCAAGCTTGATTACCTGATTTTCCTGCTGTGCCTTGCCGCACTGTCGAGGCTTTCCTTTCTGGTTTCTGGGGTGATGCGCGGAGGCGAGGCAAGGGGGAAGATCGTCAATGATGACAACCTGCAGCGGCGGGGCTACAATGGAACCTCCGTTTTTCCTTTGACGGTCGCGGCAGAGCCAGTCACCTCACCTCAGCCAGTCGTCGGTCGACCAACAGCGACAGCGTCAGCAAATGGACCGGGCGTCGTCCGCTGGCGCCCGGCTGGCAGATACGACCTCGACCTCACTCCCCCGCAAACTGGAAACACCCAGTCTCGCGTTGCCTGGACACAAACGCTGTTGTCTCGTACGAGGGACCTGAGGGAGAAGAGGCGGCCAGAAGAAAAGAAAGACAACCCCCGAAACGGATGGATGCGAGATCCGGGCATCTCACTTCAGTTCTTCTCCATCAGCTTACTTCGTACCTAGGTCTACAAACTCACGGACCCCAGGGTGCATCCATCGCGGCAAGCCTTTTGCACATTGGCACTCGGTTGACACCAACGACAGCAGTCATTGGGTGCGCACTGAGTTCCCTGCGCAGAAATAGAGTCGCGGTGGATACCATGGCGTAAGTCTTGCCGCCCAACGTCCCTCCCGCTGCTGAGATAAAAGACATCTCCATACAATCTGGCTGCCTGCGAACGTCGTCCCGCTGCTTGGCTTCCGCGAGCCACCGTGATTGCGCGTTGTCAATATGTGCTGCCGGGTTGAGCCTTATGATATGCTTTTCGACTACCCGGCATTCCCGATTATGTCCGTCTACAGGCCGTCTAACATGACTGTCAGCTCTGGCGCAATCGTTCGGAATCTTTCTGAACGACGACAGACATCTGATGCATGTCAGTAATATGCCCTAGCTTGCGGCTGAATACGCCGGAATTTTTGCACAGACCAGGAGGCTTCTTGGATGTCTAAGGCGACATCGCACTTGTTTCTCACCCCTGACCATCATCCCTCATCAGTCAATTGATTGAACTCACGAGATTCCATGTTCAGTTTTTTTTCAATTCACTATGGACTTGCGTTGGGAATCGCTGGAAACTTCACGTCGACAGTGCTGAGTGTACTGTATTTGCCATAGAAACCCCACATTAACACAGTGCATCTATCTCACGACACTGCCACACATGAAATTTCCGTGAAGCTTCAACACCGAAGGTCCCCTCCCCACGCACAACATCCCTCACCTACAGCCATCCCAAGCCCCTACAACCTGCACAAAGCCATGGCCCATACGACGTCACCGGCCCTGTCGGACATCATCTTCCCGACGACCGCCAACCACAACTTCTCGCACATCCTCACGGACCTCAAGCGGTCCAACCTGTCCATCGCGAACCGCCTGCGCTCCTGCAAGCAAGATGCGGAGTTCGTGAAGGAGGTCGCCACGTGCTACAACCGCCCCCTTGTGGCTAATGAACGGTGTGGGAGCTGGTACGTCCGGCCCGAGGAGAAGGCGGCGAGCGCCTACTTCAAGAGTACCGACGGCCACACCAATGCCTGGAAGTTTAGCACGCGGAGGTTGAACCTGCACTTGCTTGAGGTTATAGGAAAACATGATGGGTGAGGCTTTGTGCTACACTTACATGATACGGGAGTACAAAAACTGACAACACCAGCTGCATCATCGTAGATTCAACCCGCCGCGGCAAAAGTAAGATTCCATTCTCATTTGCTTCTATTCTCACTAACAACCTCAGGAATGCCCGACGCTCTCAGCAAAACCATCCCAGTATGGTGCACCGTCCTCAACATGGCCCTCTTCCAGGACCATCCCAAATCATCCCTCCTTCACACCCCTCCCAACGTCGTCTCGGCCTCAGAACACTCCCAAATCGCAGCCCTCCTCCCCTCCTTCCTCGCCTCCCTCAAAGCCCTCAACCTCGACCTGTCCACTGCTAGAGCCCACATCTCTAAGCCTCTCCGTCCCTTCTGGATCACCCAGGAAACGTCCCTTTCGGAAACGTCCACCGTCTTCGAACATCACCACCCCGTCATCTGCCTGACCTCGTCCCGCCGCGTCGCCGGCACGGAGCTCTCCGAAGCGGGCTACATTCAGGGCGCCGGCGACGACACGGAGAACTGGGCCCTCGGTCTCACCGCGGACGTCTTCTGGTCCAACGTGGACACGCTCCTCTCGGCGCCCGAGGCGGACCTGCCGGCTCTCGTCACGGATCTCGTCGCCAGGAGCAAGCAGACCGTCAAGACCACGGCCCCGAAAGAGGTCGCCCCTAAAATCTCCGTATGCCCCCTCCCCCTAGACGATGATTCTGATTCACCCGAGGACGCAGCGGCCGTGTGCAGGGTCGCACTCACACAAGACGTGACACAGCGCGAGACGTGGGTGAAATCCTCGAGGCACATGCAGGTTGACCTCGGGAAGCACAAGGTCGCCAGCCGGAACCTCCGCCAGGCACTTCCCGACGTCTGCGCCTTCGTATCGCGATTCTTTGACGAGAACAGGGACGGTAGCGTCGTGTTCGCGTGCGAGACGGGCAAGGACCTGGCCATTGGTGCGGCGCTGGCCGTCTATTGCTGGTGTTTCGATCAGGAGGGCAACTACCGCGCGGCAGACTCCAAGACTTTCTTCAACAAGGACATGATCCGCGTCAGGCTGGGAACTATCATGACCACGTACCCTGAAGCCAATGCCAATAGGGCCACTCTGCAAAGCGTGAACAGCTTCCTCATGGATAGGAGATGAATTCGTCTAAAGCGAAATTCTACCTCTATGTAGGCGTAGATGCCTCACCGAGACCCTCCGGCCAGAATGCCGCTGGAGCAACCACAAAGGAAACGGCCCTCTCACAGAGAAGCCTTCTCACCGCCGGCTAGTCAAACACTCCCACTCTCAATCTTGGCCAGGACATCAGGGAACTCGCTCCACTCCTGCATAATGACCACCGCCCCAGCATCCCGCAGCACCTTCTCCATCTCGGCCTTCCTCTCCTCCGGGTACGGCCCGACATACCCAATGACCTTGATGCCGGCGCGGGTGCCGCTGAGCGTGCCGCTCTTGGAGTCTTCAATCGCGACGCACTCCTCGGGCTTCTTGCCCAGCTTCTCCATGGCCCACAGGTAGATGGCCGGGTCGGGCTTGCTCGTGGGCTTCGGCAGCGATGTCGCCGCGCTGAAGGTCTCCTCCTCGGAAAAGTACTTGTCCTGCCCGACCTTGACCACGGAAGCCCACACCCTGCGCTTCGCCGACGACGAGACGACGCTGAGCTTGTACTTGCCTCCCTTCTGCAGCTGCTCCAACTGCTCGTCGACGCCCGGGCACGGCTTCAGCGAGGCCTTGAGCTTGGCGATGACGGCGTCCTCCTCGCGGCGGACGTACGTCTCGAGCTCGTCGTCGGTCATCTCGAAGCCGTAGCGCTTCTGCAGGCCAAGCATCATGCCGCGGAAGTTCTGGCCGACGAACTCGACGATGAGCGACTCCCCCGTGAAGCGCTGCTCGATGTTGCGGCTGCTGCAGATCTCGTTGATGAGGTCCGCGCACGCCTCGAAGGCGAGCTCCTCCGAGAGGACGAGCGTGTTGTCGCAGTCGAAGAGGAGCGTTGTGATCTGCAAGGCATGAGATTCCCACTTTTGCCCGTCGAGGAAAGGGAAGAGATATTCTGCTTACCTGAGGCATGTTGGGCGGTATTTACGGGTCTTGTCTGGTTAGATCTGTTGTCAGTCGACGAGAGCGGGGTTCGAGAGCTGCGGTCTCTACCAAAGCTTACCTTGCAAGGTCTAGGATCAATGCTCGATGGAAAGCAGCGTTTTCAAAGGGGACGCTGAGTCGGGGAATAAAAGATGGGGTTCCAGAACTAAGGTAGGCACACTAGGAAGATGACGGGGAACGAGGGAATAATAAATAAAAAGCCAACGCGGACAATTCTCCCGGGAAACCCAAGCAAGCCCGGATGGAATTCCATGGGCCTGCTCTCCCAATCGAATTCCAGCACCACACAAGCCGCAACACCACCGCGCCTTTCTTCTCTTCGCGGAGGACCTTCCCGAGTCTGGGCTTGTCAAAGAACCGCAGGCACCGCCCCACCCCAATTACCCCTCCCCACGGGCAAAGTAGTGTCGCCAAACGACCCCTCCATCCGCCAAAACACTCCAGGCCCATGTGAAGTGTCGTCATAGCCAACCGCGGGGCGCCGTCCTCCTCCGGCCTCTCGTCGGCTCACTTCACTCATGCCATGTGGCTCTGCACGGCAACGGACAACCTCGAGCCGTCGGCTGCTGTATCTCATGCAAGTCACTCATAACCAAAAGAAGAATTAAATCCCTCTTCCACATCGACATGCAAATGCAACCATGGCAGAGGCATCAGCCTCGGGGCACAGGAACCAATCCCGATAACCCCTCCCCTGATAGGTAGTGCGACGCCGCACCCGCAACCCGCACCCGCCCGCAAACCTTCACCCCGAGCAGCCCTCCCTTCCCCACGTCCCAAGAAAAAGGCCAGTAAGCACAAGGTTAAGCCGAAAAGTGACGGGGAAACCGGGTAAAACAGCACAACGTGCATAGCAGGTGAAGAAGCCCAAGAAGAAAAACGCGCTTGGACGGCGCGTTGGTACTCGCTGCCGGCCTGCGTTCTTCAGCGTCCCAATCATGTCGTCCCTCTTCTCCAGCCGGGGCATCGTCTGTTTCCGTCAACGTACTTATACAGGACGCTACCCGACCAAGTCATCCGTTACAAGACGTTGGGCAGGCTTCATCACTCCATTATTTTACATACACAAGGTAGCGCTACGGATACATGTAGGGAAGGTTCGGTCCCACTTACACTCAATGACAGTTCGTCGGCCGAGATGGAGGGGACATCCCGGGACCGGCTCTCTGATGGCACTTCGTAGACTGGGGTAGCTTTCCATGCAGTCGGACAGTTCGCTCCGGATGTTCGCTGATTAAGGGAGGTTGGACGATGATGCATTCGCTGAGTTGTGACTTTTCGTTTCGGAGTCAGTTGCGATGCAACTTCGCAGCCTCTGAAAAGCATTCGTTTTGTACGTGGAGGCATTGACACAGAGTTATGGTCGTGCATATCACTCGTTACAAGCACTTGAACATGAATGCATATAATTCCTTTTCAATCTCAGAATTACCTAATACCTATGTACTCATCCGTAGGCATTCGTTTGACAAGAGACCAATCCGCAATAGCCTACGCGAAATGCTCAAAGAGGCCCACCGTGCCGAAGCTCAATACGCCCAAAACTCCAGGTCATGATAAACATCCCGTCGTCCCCAATTCATCCCCTCATCGCGGCGCCAAGCCGCTCATTCACGCACGCTTCACATCTCTATCCATGCCGTAACAAACGCTTACAAAATCTCCCTCAACTTCTGCTTCTGTTGGGGCGTAAGGCTCGTGGGGAATTTGACGTTGTACTTGATAATGAAGTCGCCCCTCGTGCCGGGCTTCTTTGAGATGGGCATGCCAAGGCCGGGATACTTGTCGAAGCTGCCAGGCTGCGTCGGGCCGTTCTTGTCGATGTTGAGCTGCTTGCCGTCGATGGTCGTAACGGTACGCTTCCAGCCCGTCAGCGCCTCCTTGAGATCCAGCTCAACGGTGTGCACCAGGTCGTTATCCTCGCGGACGAAAAGCGGGTGAGCTTTCTATTTACTTGTTAGTCACTGTTTTCTTCTCATCTCGTTGTGGGAATGTGCGACTTACCTCCTCCAAGATGAAGTGCAAGTCCTGCTGACCGCCCTCTTCTTGGTCACCGACACCCTTGAACTTGATCTTGCTGCCCTTCTTCAGACCAGGCTTGATGGGCACCTCAAGCACCTGATCTGTGGTCGTCCTCTTGCCCTGATCATCGAATGTCTTGCGCTTGATCTTCATCTTCTTCGTTACGCCGCGGAAAAGCTCCTCAAGCGTGAGCGGCAAAGGCCTCTCAACAGTCGTAACTTCGGGGGTAGCTTCCCTCGGTCTGGGTGCGTCAAAGCCGCCGCCAGTGCTCCTCATGCGCGTGGACCTTCCGCCAGAGGACCTCGGCATGCCTCCGCCGCCAAATGCCGTAAAAATGTCGGCAAAGTCGTCCATGTTTCCGGCACCGCCACCACCACCGCCAGTGTTAGACCGCATGAAATCCGCAAAGATATCATCTGCATTGCTGAAGCGGAATCCACTGCTGCCGCCGTCGCCTGTGCTGAAGTGGAATGAGCGAGCGCCGCCGCCACCGCCCTGGGGCATGCCTCCAAAGTTGAATCCGCCGGGCATGCCACCAGCACCGGCGAAGGGGTTCGCGCCGCCGGCATCTGGAGGCGGGGCACCGCCGCCACGGAGGAGGAACTCGAGACCGTAGTCGTCGTATGTTTTGCGCTTCTCGGGGTCGGAGAGAATCTCGTAGGCTTGGGAGCACTCCTTGAACTTCTCGGCGGCTTCCGGGTTGTCCTTGTTCTTGTCAGGGTGCCACTTCAGAGCGGCCTTGCTGTTGCACGTGATGCGGTTAGCTTCTCTTGTTCGTGAAATTGGGCTGAGGTTGGGCGGTGATGGGGAAAAAGTGGGAGAAGGTGAGGGGCGAAAGTCACTTACCGATAGCCCTTCTTGATTTCATCTTGAGTTGCGGTGGGCTTGACGCCCAGTTGGTCGTAGAGCTTGGTTTCTTTCACCATGGTGAAGACGAGGCTGTGTGTCTCGCGATCGACCAGTCAATTCGAAGGTAGGTTGTGGATATATGTAGCTGCGATAAAAAAAAGTATCGTCTCGAAGCGATCGATTGATCGAACGATTGCTTGCTTGTGTAGCAAGTCTGGCTTTATGTTTGTGTGAACCCTTCGTGGGGTTGTTGTCTGCAGTTGACGTATGCAAGAAAAGCAATCGTTTGAGAAAAGTAGTAGTGAAGAGGAGGAATCGAAAAGAATGGTTGGATGCTGGCGCAGAGCAGGTCTGGGAAACTGCGTGATATGTATGTATGCAGGCTCAGAAATACTACGGCAAGGTCACTACGTAGGTCCTTACTCTGTAAGGTCAAGAAGACTGGGGCGGGAAGAGCCCAACTGGCTGAAGAGGCCCCCGGCCGTTCTTAATGGAAGAAACAGGGCGTGGTTGTGGAAGGTTCGGTCTCCTTCAGAAGCCCAGGGAGCCATGGCCACCGTCCCCGTGCGACTAAAACCTGGCGGGGCGTCGAATCGGGTGATCTCACTGGGCTGATTTGATGGAAGTGCACAGAAGGCTGGCGGGGGCATTTCTGCATTTTGCGTCCAAGTTGCCGTTTAGGCCTGTATCGCTTTCCATTTGCACTTGATGATTGACTTACGCCTGGGATTCCAAGTGTACATCAACCCGTTTTACGCCGTTCCCGCGCAGGTTTGACTCGTTCGCAGAGCTGTCAAGCTGCCGACATTGAAGAGCATTCAACTGTCAGGCAGGGAAGAAGTTGGCAGACTACAGACAATGACGAATGGCGGGGTGTTTGCCGGGCGGGAATAGCGGAGTCAGGCTCAAGCCGTGGCTCGTGCGCCGCACTAGACAGGCCCCGGTCCTGGCGGATACAGGGATACCTGATAGCTGCATATAGAACCTTCGAGAACCTTCTACGGCGATATGCGTCAAAGGTCAGGCGTAAGGTTGAACCATCGCCAACACAGCCCCTGGGCCATGCACTTATTGGGGTATCAAACAATTGGTATTGCACTGCCGCAATTATCATGTACAATGGAATAAGTTATTGCGCTGCGCAGCAGACCGTATAGCCAATGCTGCTGTGTGCCTGTCAGCGACTCGCCATGATGCGAATGCCATGCCGCTATATCCCTGTTCCTATCCATAGTCGTGTTCCTCTGATGCTCTAGTCTTTCGCTACTGATGCTCATCAGGCATTTCCATATCCATAATCTTAATCGTCTTTTGTTCGTCTCTGGGGTCGTAGGGTGGTGGTGACCCAAAGTGTATTGAACGCCTTGCCATGAAAGGTGATCCGCCCCCATTGCTGCTTCGCTCCTGCATCTCAGGTCCCTTAGGCTGATCCTCGAAATCCGGCGTGACTGTGCGACTAACATCCACACCACCGCTGGCTGAAGCTTCGTTAGAGCTTTCTGTAAGCTGCGGTACCGATAGTATGTCGGAGGTTCCTGCTGCCGGGGCTCCGCCGGAGTACATGACCTCGGCAAGGCTCTTGCTGTTGTCGATAATCTGGCTGTGTGAAAGGTCCGGCATAGCGATGTCTCCTACGCCATCCCCGGCACCGAAAACATCATGGTCCAACTCGAAGTCTCCATCTCTGGAATTTGTATCGCTGCCTCCCAAGGAAGCACGGTTGGTGTCCATCGAGTCCACGCTACCAGACCGATACTGTCTCTTCGCGGGCGACACCCGAGATGTGTTTGCGTTTACGTCCCTCGCTTCTGCGGCTCCATCTGTTGTTTCCCGGCTCAGCTCTTGGCGGAAGTTCTTGTTCTCAGCACGAACGAAGCGCTGGAGGGCGTCCGAGAGAGGCACAGGAGTTTGGTTGATAGCGTCTTCCGTGGCGTACACAAACATTGGCCTGCGTGTTTCTTGGAACATTTGTCGCATCACCAACTCATAGGACACTCTCTGTTAAAGGTCAGAAAATGTGTCGATACCTGATAGACATGAGCCTCACCTCTGCTTTTGCAGGCTGAGCGTCGCCTGTAGTATAGGACAGCCGCCACCACTGATCTACTGGACCAGAGTTTTCATCAAGCTCAATGAGGCTTGGCTCCTCCCTCTTGCAAACATATGTCACATCTTTGCCAGTGGACACACCTCTGAGGAGGTACTTCTTGCCAATGAACGGCTTTGATAGCCCCCGATGGTTAGGGTCTGTGAGTAGCTTGCCCAGAGATCGTTGTCTCTCCGTGAGCCGCTCTCGCTCCCACTTGAGCTCTTGGCAGGGTTAGCATTTATTCATTCATGTCAGCGAAACTTGACTTACTGGCGAGCTTCGCCTCTTGTTCGGACAGAAGTTGACGGCACCTCTTGACCATTTGTTCTGCGGTTTTCGACAGTTCTTCTTCTTCCGCCGTCTTGACGCAGGGCACATCCTCCGGCCGGACAGACTGCTTCTCGTCATCGGCAAGCTTTTGCAGCTCTCGGAAACGTCCAAGTCCGTCGAGATATTGAACCTGCCCCTCGTACTCCTTGATAGTCTTCTCCAACATCTCCTTGACATCGTACACCTTGTAAGTGTCATTGTCCACCCAATTGGTGGCCTCATACTCCATCGAGCCTGCCTTGTAGAGACGGTTAAAGACCCACGCGATGTGCTCCTGGATCACCCTCGCCTCCTCTTTCCGACCAGCAAGGTAGCGCTCGGGGTACCAGACCTCCGGGATATCCATTGACTCGGGAGGCTCAGTCCCGTCGATGGCCATGATCATAACTTCACCAATATCGTCGAGATAGACCATTTTGGTCTCTGGTGTGATTTCAGTCCATGTACAGGCGTCGTTCCATACCACCCAATCCAAAGCTTCATACAACGTCTTGGTCTTCTCATATTGATCTTTCTGAAGCTCGAAGCTAAGGTAGGAGAACCTTGAAGGCTCTTGGTAGTTCTCGAGCGTCATCGTGTAGATTGTGTGGGCTGAATGGGTTAGTGGCTTTATGACTTCAGGATCTGTGTGATCGTGCAAGCTGTCAAAGAACTGCCTCTCAAGAGGATAGGAAGATGCGGGCACGAGGTAGGCCATCGCCTCGACGGATCCGTAACTTCTCTCCGTTTGATCCAAGAAGGCCATGAGGCGATGGATCTCCTCGTGAAAGTCCGGTTTTGCGTCATCACCCCACTGGAGTTCGTCCCTTTCCATGGCGGCCAGTACATGGGGTTTGTATATAGGTTGACCTTTCCACCACTCGCTATTGTAGCCATATGACGCCGCCTGCTCGCCAGCTGATAGAAGAGCATTTCGAACTAGAGGGATCTCGTGAAGAATCGTCAGAATGGAGCCCAACCGGTGTTGTTCGGTACGCGAATGCGGCTGCTGAACAAGAAAGGCGGGGGCACCCGGCTCTCTCTTCCTAAGTGAAGGCGCGGAATCGTCGTTACTCTTAGATTCCGACGAATCCACTCCGGTAGGAACCATAGCCCAGCTGTTGGAGTCGTAGTCAGCACGGTTAGCAGGTCCGAAATAAGCTGCATTGGCGCCGGTGTTGGTTACGCCGGCTTCCTGCGGCGTGAGACCTGACTCAATGGCAGAATTCCGAATAGCTGCCTGGAGGTCTTCGTCTTCTTGAGCCGCGCTCGTCGGCGCGCCTGTACGCACGTCAGCTCTGGCTCCCCACGGCACGGAGGGAAGTACCGGAAGCATCCCCGGCCGTCCAGTCTATCATCCTACCAAGCGGCGATCGATTGTTTGTTCTCGATGGCGGTCGTGAGGGGGCCCCGGCAGATTGGCCGTAAAAGTTGTCGGGAGCTGGCGCAACGCCCTGTATAACGGCACTGTCGGGCGCTTCGATGTTGAAGGCTACGCTACAAAGTCAGCCACAATGCCCATGTGAGAGGGAAGCATTTAACGTGCCTATGCCAGTGTTATTGGCAGCCCCATCTCGGTCGGCACCGAACGCAGTGTCATCCCACGTGTACTTCTTACGAAACTATGCCCTTGTTAGCTCGAATGTTCCCTCGTTGCTCAGAAACACATACCGCTTCGGGGCCATTGTAATACTCCTCAACGAGTTGGTCTACGCTTCTGCCGGACTATGCGATGCGTCAGTGGACTCGAAGCCATATAAACAGGCTCGGCAACGCACCTTCAAGGCCACCGTCGCCATAGCACGATCATGATCAAGAATTATGCCTGTTCCCTCAGCTACTAAGGCTGTCCATTCGCAAAATGTAGCAATATCTGCCTCCGATGGCTGCCCCGCCATCTTGTCGGCTCGTCCCGCAGGAAAATTACAGCTATCGTATCGAATTGAGCGACTTCGTCGGTTAGAGTCGTTGTTCTAGGTATGTTCGAGGCATGCGCATGTCGTCGGGAGGCGGAAGAGCTGGGGCTACGAGAAGCCAGGCGGGCGAAGCTACGAGTTTGGAGCGGCTACTGAGGTGAGGTCAAACGGGCAAGAAACACCTGCAACAGTGATGCACCGACAGGCAGGTTCGAGCTGTCTGGGCTCCGTTTGACAAAGGTGCGGGGGCTACGAAGAGAACAAGTAGTAGACGGAAGGCAGCTATGATAGCTGGAGGGTTCAGTCGTCCCGTCCCGTATCGTCTTTTCGGGACGCCTGAGCTGTGTTTGGTGGAAGCTGCACCGAGACTCGACTGGGGAGGCTTGGTGAGCTTCCACTCGTTGCGGCGGCTCACAGTGCGGTTCCAGAGACGTATCCACTATTAGCCCCCCACTTGACGACGTGACGTCCCGTCTTCAGTGAAGAGGCAACTAACTACGCTGTTTACGACTCGGATCACTGAAAATCTACGATTCAAGGACAGTTCGGGTCTGAAGTTGAGATATTCTACAGTAGCATGCTACAGGCCGGGGTGCATAGCTTACCTTACCTCTTTTTCTATTTCAAGAACATGTTCAGTGGTCTGGAATCTGGCAAGACATACGACGACGAGTAAACGATGTTAGCGGGGCAGGCGTCCGTACCACCATGCCCTTCTGGTGCTCTGATTGTCCACCCTGTCGGAGGGCAAGCGCGGCTTTCCGTCCCTGTCGGCCCCCTCCATTGCTGCTGGCGCTCACAACCCTGCGGGGATGCACAGGCCGCGGAAGGGTGGCACCGGCAGTCATAAGCGCAAATCCGACATTGCGTCACTCGCGCGACCCAGATGCTTGTGAGGGTATCCGTAAGCCCCTCCAAACGCCCGATAAACTCTTCATGCTTTACAAACAGCAGTCAAGGTAGGTATGATCCAAAATTTTCAGCCCTAGGCTTTGTCGGAGCATGCGGCAAACAATGCTTGATTCATTGGCTTATATGATACCTTTTTTGTGGTGCCTCCGTCGATGACCGCTGCCAAAATCTAGTCGCTGTTCCCTCGCCGTAGAGCCAAATGTGAAATTCCATCCCTGCTGCGAAACACCCTCCCCAGTAAAATCCAATGATGCCAGAACCCAGGAAACGAGACTCCGTTCTGATCACCTAAACAGGCCGGGCAAGACAGCCGGCAAAACGCCTGGGGCCGTCGCTATGCATCATCCATCATGCGTATAGGTTGTGAGAGGGGGAAAAAAAAAGAGTAAAGTAGAGAGAGCCAGCCCAGTGCACAACTCCGCTATGCTTAAAGAGGACGTTGAGTCGGTGAGATGAAGTCATATGAGTAGTGGTTTTCAGCTGTGAGCCGGGCTTGGCTCAAGGCTTTTGAGGCTTCTCGTCTTCGTCGTCATCCTCGTCATCGTCGTTGAAGTCATCCATATCCATATCACTGTCGCTGCCTCCCAAGTCAAAGTCGCCCTCGTCGTCTGTCTCGTTCCAGAATGCGTCATCGTCCAACGGCTTCTGAGGAACAGGCTCCAAGTCCGCTGTGGTAGGGAACTTCACGCCTGCCGGGATATCCTTCTTGGACTTTTCGACGGTCTCGCGGGCCCTTTTCTGATACTCCTCACGCTTATCACGGTACATGACGCCAGCATCGACGTTTGCAGGCGAGTTGATCTCGGGGTCGTCCAGCAATAGCAGTACTGAACGCAGCACAGACTCAACACCTTGCAGAGGCGTCCACCTCTCGCAGGCGAGCTCGCCGGACTGTTCGTCCTCGCCGGGAGTATGCAGAATGGAGATGCACAGCTTGCCGTCGGGGTAGATGTTGGGATGGCAGATCCAGCGGGTGAGGAAGCGGAAGGTCGGCGGCTGGATCGGGTAGTCGCGTGGGAAGGTCATCTCCGCCTGGACTCAGCGTTTAGTCGATATGCCCTTGTAGGCAGGCATGTTAGAAGTCAACTCACTCTAAGATAGGCCCCATTAAAGGCACTGTCGGGGTTAACGACCATGAGGCCGATCTTCCACATCAAGACATTGCGGTCGTCGACGTCAATGTGCACCCATTTCTCCTTCTGCAGTGTTTGCAGCTCGCTCATCAGTCGCTTCTGCGCCATGGTGGACTGTTGGTTGTGGACGAGGCGGGGTCTGTTGGAGAAGAATGGGTAGCAGCGGAGTGTTTCGTCGTGAGCGGCGGTGACTACAAGCGGCAGAAGTCGTCGCGGTGGCACTAAGCACTCTTGAGGAGATGACGGTGGTCAAGTCGGCCGTTGAATCTCGCAAGAGGCGTGATCGAAGCGCAGGGACCCTAACGTCGAGGAGGGACGGAGGAGGGAGGGATGACTCGTCTTGTATGGACTGACTCGGCGCGAAGGAGATAAGATAAGGCGAGGGACCGTGGAGGCGGTAAGTGGCGGTTGCGAGCAGCCCCGTGGAAGATGGAAGGGTTGAAGTCGGAGGAGGGAGGGAGGAAGGTGAGAGGTGGGGGAAACGTGCTTGTAAATGAAATAAAATCCGAGTTGCAGTCAGAAAGGGCAAGAACGGAGAAGATCAGGGTAGGAACGAGAGAGAAAAGAGGTGACGGGAGATTGTCGCGGTTTATCAAGGTTCCAGGTGCATCCAGTAGCGAAGATCCACGGGCGCCGTCGACCGGAAAGCGAACGAGGACAATGGGGAAGAGACAAAACGCCAGGGCACCAGTCTCCCGCCCAAGTCCCTCCACTGTCCACAATGGCAGGGCCCAATCCGCCCGTCAAACCGCCAACGATGTGAAGGGGGTGGTCACGCAGTGTCTCGGATCCGTGGCCAGCGCAGGGCGCCGCCTGTCCTTGCTGTCGCTGCCTCCGATCGGGGTTGGTTGGAAGTCACAGTCACCTCACCCTCGCGCCAATCCACACTGCAACATGGCCTGCCAGGGTCAGCCGTCCAGCACATCTTCTTGGGCCAGGCTTGCTAATACGGAAAGCAATACTCACTTGTTGGTCTGCAGGCGCCGCCACCAGTACTTCAAGTTTGCCATCATGCCGTCCTCACGGGGGTTGCTTACATGACCGTCCAACTCGAACATGATGGAATCCTGAAAGGGGCCTAGACTTTCAAATAGTGCGGACTGGTCAGGCACCTCTTTGTCCTCGCCTTCCGGCTGCTGGGAAAATTCTTTCTTCAACAAGTACCACTGCATATGAATCAGTTTTTGTTTTTTGCTTACCTAGGTCCTCAGCCAGCCAGACAGACACCTTGATGCATCCAAACCAACGTCGCTGACTGCACTCCCTCGAGCTGCAAGGATACCCAAGTCCGTCGAAGGCACGCAAAGCCCCATCTCGCAAACCCTCTCCTCAGCGCTTCCTTCGACTGGAATCTTCCCTACTCGCCCGGAACTCAACTGCCTTCTCTCAAGGCAACAAGCTCCCGCAGCAACTCTTATGGCTGCCGCCTCTGCCGCTACTAAGATCTGACACTGCGGCTGCCAGTCTGGGGTTTCGGTGCCTGCGCTTGGGAGTTTGCTTAATGCATGAAGCCAGCCTCCAACGACAAAGCGTCTGAGCAAACAACGCCCTCGAGCCAGAAGGAGCCAAAAGACTCGATCCAAAGAGGCTTCCGTCCTAGTGCCTGCCGCCCACCCATGCAGCCCACAGAGGCTGACTTCAAACCACCCCTGCGTTTGTTCTGCAGGTGTGGTGCGTCGCCGCAAACTCACGATGCTGCTGCCCTGCTGTATGACATGACGCACTTGAAGCATGCACTTTGCCAATAATCCTGCGACAACGCCAAATATTGTTTTTCATTTCGTGTCAACTGCGACAATTATCCTCCTCATCCAAATCGACGATAGCCCTAAAACCTTTGATCATGCCCCAAGGTCGTAGTAGATGCAGTTCCCCGTCCTGAAGTTGTAGATGAACGAATGCCGGCTGGCATTCCTCATCTCCCACGCCGCCTTCGACTTGACCATCTCGGCGTGGATCTCCCGCACGTACTTCTTCTCCGCCGTCGTCACGCTGTGCTCCAGCTTCCTCCAGCTCTCCGCGTCTGACAGGCACGTCTCCCTAATCATGTCCATGACCTGATCCGTTGTCTCTACGGCCAAGATGGGGCCGTCAAGGAACGAGTGCACCAGGCTCGCCGCGCTGAACTGCGCCTGCTCCACCACCGTCCTCCGGTTGAACTTCTTGCTCCGCGTCCCTGCCACCATCACCCGCACATCCTGCTCGTGCTCGATGACCGGCGTCGACTCGGACTGCTGCTGCACGCCGCGCATCTTGACCACCGCCTTGGAGTCGCGCTCGCGCATCTCGCCCCGCAGCCACGATAGCAGCTGCGCGATCGGCAGGTCGACGTCCGGCGTGTCCTTCTTGTCCATCGTCTTGACCTTGACGATGGCGTCCTGCTTGATGATGACGATCCAGCAGTACCCCTCGTCGCGGTTGCGGGCCAGCAAGTCTTCCGGTGATCGCGCGTCTTTGGCGAGCTCCGCGCTGATGCCGTTCGCCCAGAGCGTCTGCAAGATTTCTATTCCCATGGATCGCAGGATCGCAGCGTCAAAACTGGCGACAAGCGCATCGCACTGAGAACATGTTAGCAACCTGATGAGAAAAATGCTCGCTGCTTTGGCCTACTCTTCGAGCGTTGTGGAAGATATTATTGGTATCTTCCTCCGTCTTCTTGAGGAACGCTTTGCCGCTCGTCTTGGGCACCCTAGATAGCTTCTCCCAGTTGAGGTTGAAGCCCACGGCGTGCCGTTCTTCGTAATGGCTACCGATTCTGGGCCGTTTCTCTCTGATAAGACTGTCATACCGGCCGCCGGCGGCAAATACGTCTTTGACTTTCTTGTCGTAGACGCAGGAAAACATGATTCCTCCCGTGTAGAAGCTTTCCTTGAGACTGTTAAGAGGGGTGACATAAATCTTGCTTGCGACTCCGAGTCGTTTGGCATATTCCGAGACTTCTTTCAGATGAGCCAGAGTTGATGACGCCCTTCGATACATGTCTGTCCCCTCAAAGATTGACTTCAACTTGGAGAACGCCTTTGAGGGGGTGTCTAACTCAATTAATTTGAGCTCGTCCGTGTTCTAGGAAGGATTACATACCTCTAAAGTCGAAACGCTGCAACTCATCCACACTCGTAGCCGACAAGCCAACAATAGGAGATCGTAACTGTACCCTGATCTTTTGCCAAGTCTGGCTGTGGATGTTCAGGTTGCTGAGAATGTCGGCTGCAGCTCTTCGCGACACGGGATCTACACGGCAGTGATCAAAAATCAACTGCAAAAGATCCGAATGTCCTAGATGGAAGCACATCTGGCTTGACGACAAGGACGGAAATACGGCGATGATCTCGTCAAGAACCTTGATGACCTCCGCTTCTTTGAGGGCTAGATCCAGGGTATCAGTTGTGACGATGTCAAAGTCGACCTCGCCAAGCATCAGAGGCTGGCCCGTGTCGTTTCTATCGCGGAAGACGTTGCCGAAGGTGAAGATTCTCTGAACACTCGCGCTTCCGCTGGCCTTTGCCAGCATTCTTGCATGACCCATGGTAAGATCAAATGGCAGCTGGAGCACCATTCCGTTCGCATCCAGCAGCTTCACGGCGTTTGAGTCCTTGTAGTGCGAGGAGCGAGGGTACAGGCAGTTCCGTTGGCACTCGAGTGCCCCGTGCCGACGAAAGATGTCTATCAGTGTTGCCTTGACGGTACTTAGGTTCACCAAGTCCGTCTCGCTGGGACTCGTCTCGTTCATGTCCCACGCATAGTCTTTCGCCTGCTCCACTGGTCGCGCAAACAAGGTCGACAGCATCTTTTTGTAGTACGGCGAGCTAGGATCCGCAAGACCGGCGAGAGTGCGCCTGATGGTTTCGCTTTCCATCTGGACAGGCAATTTTCCGCTCTGCAGTAGCTCAGCGCTGGAAGGACGTTCCTTTGGATTGTGTGTTAATAGAGAAGTGACGATCTCGGTTTGTATCTTGTCGGCTGGTCTGAAGTCTGATGGAAGCACCGGGGGTGATTGACGAAGCTGCTCAATCACCATGGCTCTCTGCATGCCTAGCATAGGTTGGTAGCACATTTCGAAGAAGATAATTCCAAGCGAGTACATCTACGTACTGATTAGCATCTTCAGTTGAAACCTGGTCAAGAGCTCCTACATCGACCTTGGAACTGTACATTCCTTGTGAACCAGAGCGCACCTCCGGGGCCGCATACGACGTTGTGCCGATGCTTCGGGTGATGTCGTCCGATTCCATGGCATTTGGGAGGCTTCTGTCAACAGCGAATTGGCCGCTGGTGGCCAGACCAAAGTCTCCAATCTTGACATTATCCGTCCCGTCGCTGCTGTGGGCGATAAAGACATTCTCAGGTTTCAGATCTCGATGAACAATGCTGAGGCCATGAATATGAGCAAGGCCTTCGAGTATTTGTCGGAACAAGCGCCATATCTCAGGGGTATTTTGATACAGCTTTCTGGTGATCAAATCGCGAAGTGTCTACCCGTGGTCAGCGAAGAACGTGTTAGATGTGAAGACAGAACTCACTCGTTTCTCACAGTACTCCATAGAAATGTAGAGGATGGTCCTGAAGGGCCGCTGAGATCTGGCTCTAGCATGCGCTCGAACATGCCCGACAGCCCGGTTGCTGTCCTCTTCCTCAGATTCACTGTCTTCCTCTGAGTCGTCTTCATCCTCCTCATCGTCGTCCTCTTCTTCCTCTTCAGAATCGTCATAGCCGAATTCAATTTGTGGGTGGCTCGACGACATGAAGTCCAGTCCTCCAGTACTCGTAGCGAAGTGAATCGCTGAGCTCTGGGAAATAGTGTCTTTGGAGTCCTCCGTTGCGTCCTCTGTGGAGGTGTCACCCTCGGTATCCGACTGGTCCGCAATCTCCTCAACCCAAGTATTATAGTAACGAACCACGGCTGGGTGGCTCAGCTGAGATAGAAGTCGAACCTCTTTCAGGATTTCTGTGAGACTGGCTTGCGAACGCTGACTGACCTTTTTGATAGCGTAAATCTGTCCGTCAAGCTTTTTCCGAGCCTTAACAACCTCGCCGAAGCCTCCCTTTCCTAGTCGTCCTTCCTCATCAAAATCTTCCCGGTAACGTGATGAGGTGGTTCCCCTGTTCGTTAAGATTCCTCTGTTCGTTGACTCGCGCCTGAGCCTCGGTGGCATAGGTGACAAAGAGCCGAGGGAATGGTAGCTCGACATGATGGCAGTGTTGTCTTCCACCACTACCGGCGCGTCTGTGGCAAGAAACTCGCTTGAGCCGAGCTCGAAAGCGCGAGGTCTCTTCTTAGGGTCCATCTTGAAGAGTTTTGTGACCAACTCGTGCAATGGTTTCGAAAGAGATAGGGAATCGAAAACATCAGTCGGCGATCGATACTTCTGGGGGACGTCAAGCCCAAAGATCATCTGCAGGAAGACGAGGCCAAAGTCCCAGATGTCCGTCTTCGCTGTATAATGCGGCTTTGACAGGGTTGCAATCTCGGGCGGCAGCCAGTAGGCAGACTTGGCAGAGCTTAGGCCGGGAGGTGCCTGTCCTTTCGAAGAGATATTGTGCAATTCTCTCTGATAGCTTGCATCAGACAACTTTGGCACCACCTCCCCAGTTTGCTCTCTGAAAAGCAGGATATTCCCTGGATGGATATCTTGATGAACGAGCGACTTGTTGTGGAGGAAGTTCAAGGCATCCAAGAGGTCCCTCGTCCAAGCGCGCACCTTACTGGTGTCTAGACGATCAGCTAGATCCAGTAACTCAGATAGAGAGCCCTTCTCGGCGCTCGGGGTGAGAACGCTGACGGTCCAGAGATGCATCGACGACTTCTCTGCGTTGTTCTTCTCCTGCTCCACTCTGAAGTCCAGAACCTCAAGCAAGTTTCGATGGCGAACCTGTTTCAGCGTCTCAAGCTGGTTCTCTAGGGACTGGACCTGCTTCTTGAAAACAGCAATGTCCTTTGTGGCAGGACGCAAAGTCGTCTCCTTCAGGGCCAAGTTGGGGCATTCTTGGCCACTGGGAACAATGGGCCAGACAGAATAGACGGAAGAAAGGGGACCTTTTGCGACCTCAGACTTTCCGAAGACAGCCTGGAATGAGATGATATTTCCAGTCTTGTCTGTAGTCTGACAGGGACGATCGAAGACGATGCGCCCGCTCTCGGTACCGTTTATCCCGCCCATGGTGCTAAGCGGCGACATCCCGTTGGGGTTTTTCTTCTTGCGTGACTCCTTGGCCTTCTCTTTCTGGCGCTTAAGTTCAACTTGCAGCAGGCCGCCAAGTACTCTCTCTTCCTCCTTGCTCTCTTCCTCTTTCTTCCGCTCCTCCTCTTCTTTCTGTTCCTGCGCTAGTTTGGCAAGGAGTGCTTCGTGGGTGGCCCTCTCTTCTTCAAGTGAGGGCAACTCTCGACCTTTCGCCTTGGCTTGCGCGGCGTCTTCCAAGATGTCTCTCAGTCCTTCAACAATACGATCTACCATCTCCTGCTCCTCAGTGGCGAAGACCCTCGGCTGTATCTCGAGGTACTTCTGAAGTTTGAACAGCACGACCTCACGAAGGTCGCCGGTATCTTTCAAAGTCAATAGTGGTGGGCTTTTAGGATACGTGGCTGTCATTACGACGCTCAGTGTGGCAGCGAAGTCTTCATCTGAAGAAGCCCTAATGCGAACGTCGAACGCAGGTTCTGATTTCTAGTGAGGCATCAGCACTGCTTTTGCGCCGGTGAGTCGCTATCGACGATGACATCTTTACCTTCCAAGCACTCTGCGTCTCTGCATGCTTCACGAAGTCCTCCCCGTACATGGATTCCAGAACGATGAGTTCGTTCTGCTGGAGCTCCTCATATTCAGTTTTTCTGGTTCTTTCGGGACTCCTGGGTTTGAGTCCCGGGAAGCTTGAGTCATCTTTTTTCTTAGTCGGTAGGTTGACGGGCTTGTTCCACACCCCGGATGATTTCGACGCCATATCGTAACGACGAGAAAAGGCTTGACAAATCACCACAGCATGAGCCGTGATAATCCGTTAAGGGTAAGCCATGTTGTTCTGCAATATCGTGGTAATCTGGTTCAAAAGCATGTGTTGATGATGGTCAAAAAAGGAAAAAAGGCAAACGAATTTCAGCTGACCGGGTTGAAGCGCCACCAGGCATCGACCGCTATTCGCCTTGCTTGATGCGCTGTCACAGTACGGCTGTTTGGGCGTACGTCAAGTGGGGGTTGACAGCGACAGCCGGTGCCCCTCACTGATGACGCCCATGGCCTCAGGGGTCCTTCCAGTGGGGATTGGGAGCCAGAGGTTTGGACAGAAACGCTAGCGAGGGGCGAAGAACGCTAGGCACCGTGATGGCACCGTACGCGAACTGTATGGGGCAGGCGGAGGAAGCGACGAACCACGGACGCGCCATCCACATGCGGTAACAAAGTAAACAACCAAATTCGACATGGAACCACATCCGTTCGCCGCGGTCAGATCACCAACTACAAACTAATTAAAAACCCTCCAACACGCCAGCGCAGGTAATGCGATCGCTTTGGGCGAGCATTGCGGACTTGCTACACGCCACGGCCAGCAAGTGAACCAATTCCTCCGCGCTTTCAACCTTCATTGCGGACATCATTCATTCCCCACGAAAGCAAGGATGCTGGGCTGGGTACTTAGGCGAGGATTGGAGGGCGCGTCCGGAGGAAACAGAGCACAAGCAGGCGGAGGAGGTACATATCACCAACACCAACGCCAGACACACGATATGCCAGGTCAGACTAACATGGCAGCAGATGACACCACCCAGATCGAGCAACCAGACACGCCAGCGCCCGTCTTCGCCGCCCGAGCATTGAAAAGCGCAATCTTTGGCACTCCTGCCCGAGACGACGATCGCGACCACCGTGCCGCAGGCATGTCGCGTAACAGGAACGTTGACGACTCCGAAACCGAGTCGCGTACACCGGTGAAGCAGCCACAGGGCATTTTGCTCACTCCCGGCACCGGTACCTCTCGACGAAAACGCGTCTCGTTTGGACACGATGTTTTGGACAAAGGCGGCCTCAAGAAAGGCAAGGGAAAAGATACGGATGACAAGCCTGGAAAGTTCCCCAGCAGCTTCGATAGCGCAGGCGACTCGGCAAGCAAACGGACGAAGCTCACCGAGGCAATGGAGAACTCCCGCAAAGGGAAGGCGCTCAGCAGCTCGCGGGAGACGCAGCCACCCCAGCAGATGCGTCTCCAACCTCAACCAGTGAGGAACGACGATGCAGAAGACGAATGGGAGGAGGCCGACGACGACCAATGCACGCATGACATGACGATTGATCTTAATGAGCCTCATTCGCGGTCAGGAAAGTACTGGAAGTCGGAATTCGAGCAGTATCACCAGGACGCTAAAGCCGAGATGGAGAAACTGCTCAAATACAAGCAGCTGGCCAAGTCCTACGCCAAGCTGAAAGACGCCGAGGCTATCGACCTGAATGTGAAGCTCAAGGAAGAGCAGGACAGGGTGGCTCAGATGGAGCAGAAGATTGCCGATATGGCGGCGCAGATAGCTGCAAAGCGCGTCAGCGGCGAAGAAAGAGACAATCCTCAGCTTATGAAGGACCTGGCGAAGCAGACTGCTGTTGCTGTCGAGTACAGGACCCAGGTCAAGGAGCTAGCGGCTCTGCTGGAGGGTCGCGACGATGACGGAGACCCCCATACGCGCAGACGACAGACAGCCTCTCCACGGACGCAGAGGACCCTTATGGAGACGCAGCGTGAGTTGAGGAAAGCCAGGTCTCAGGTTAAGGAGAACAACCAGATGAAGGAGGAAATCGAGAAACTCAAGTCCGACCTGCTGTTTGCCGAGCAGCGAGCAAACAAGTTGGCCGAGGAGAACAAGCGTTTGGCCGAGCAACAGTCTCTCCCAAATAAGACCAAGACAGCTTCATCTGCCGAGTTGGAAGAGCTGGAAGAGTTGCGGGAAGAATCACGCCAAAAAGATGAAGAGTTGCGCCGAATCAAAGCAGACTTTGATGCCTACAGAAAGGACGCTGAAGCTGCGCAAGAGGATACGAGACGCATCCTCCAGAAAGCCACCGACAAGATCAACGACCTGAAGAAGGAAGTGAAGACGCTCAAGGCGGCAGGGACTGTCGATGGACACAAGCCCAAGACGTCCGTCAGCTCATTGCCTGAGCGAGAGACTGTCGAGAAAGAGAGAGGGCATCGCAACCATGACAAAAACCGTTTCGATGTTGCCCCCGTGCCGATTCGTCGCACGTCGAATGACACGAGCTCCAAGCGGCGGAGTCTCGAAATTGTGGAATCCCTAGGCAGGAAGCTCAATCAGTCCAAGTCTCACAATCTTCGAGACAAGTACCATGAGGATGCCGGCTCTTACTCATCGGGAGAGGAAGACCTTGTCCAGGCGCGTCCCAAATCCGAAATCCTCTCCGGCAAGGTCACATTGGACAAGCCTAGATGGCGGCCATTCATTCCCAGGTCCCCTCGCAACAGAGCATACCTCGGATCCGAAATCAACGAGCGAATCGTCAGCTCAAGCGAAGTTCCCTCAGGCACCACACCCGCGCCCCGGCATAGGTTTGCATCCAAAGAGAACGACCCGCCCATCGACCTGCTTCAAGACCGATTTGCTCGACTTGGCATGCCTGAAGCCGATGCTAGCACCATGGCAGCAAACACGTCAAAGAGCACCCTGCCACCAGAGCGGCGAGCCGCGGCCATTGCACGAATTGAACAAAGAAAGGCTGAGAAGAGGCGCGCCTTGGCAGGCCTGAATAAGGAGAACATGAGACCTTGAAGATAGAATGACGGATAACTGCACAGGGGCGGCAATGTCCTCGCCCGTTTTGTTTGGAGTTTTGGTGTGCGTGGGAACAGAATTCAGGCATTGTACATATTTTACTGGTAATTTGTATACTGGGTAGCATGGTGTTCCGGGGTATCATACCAAGTCGGAGTATCTCTAATAAATCCGACAACATTTTCACCGCATTGCCCATTTTTACTTTTAGTCTTTTTACTTATTTTTGACGTCACCCGCGTTTATGCGCTCAGAGTTCCCTTGGTGCTAGGAACCTCACCCTCCTTACCAGCAACACGGCTCGTCGCCATCTTGACAGCCACGGCCAGGGCCTTGAAGGCGCTCTCGGCACGGTGGTGGTCGTTCTCTCCGTGCAGGCAGTGGACGTGCAGGGTGACTCTGGCGCCCTGGGCGAAGCTCTGCAGGCAGTGGGCAATCATCTCGCAGCTGAGGTCACCAATCTTTTCCCTCTTCAATCCGAGGTCGACAACGCTGTAGGGACGGTTCGAGAGGTCGATGACGGCGCGAGAGAGGGCCTCGTCGAGGGGAGCGTAGGCGAAGCCGAAGCGGGCGAGGCCAGTCGCACTGCCAAGGGCGTTGGCGAAGGCGTATCCGAGAGCTATGCAGACATCTTCGGCGGTGTGGTGGTCGTCGACTGTTTTGCGCAAGTGCCATGTAAGCGAGGGGATGTTCACGATGGTGGGCGAGGAAATGAAGAGGGAGGTGACGGACTGTGCAGGTCGCCCTTGCAGATCAGGGCCAGACTCCAGCCAGCGTGCTTGGAGAGGGCATGGAGCATGTGGTCGAGGAAGCCGATGCCCGTGTTGACGCTGATGGTCTGGGACTTGCTGGACTGGGAGGCGTGGCCGTCACCGAGGGCCGCGGTGAGTCTCGAGTCGGTATCGGGTGGGAATGCCCCGCCATCCAGGTTGATGGCAAGCTGGATCTTGGTCTCGTTCGTGTCGCGAGCGAGAGCGGCCCATCTGGGAGGGTGGGAGGTCGACGACATTTTGCAGGGTGTTTTGGAGGAATACTCTCGGATTGGTTCGCGGAGAGGAGATGTTCTTGGAGACGTCGTGGATTTTCCAAGAATATTTCAGCACTTTTTTTTCCCGAGTTACTAATCTTCAAACGCCGCCGTCGGAGCTCTCAGTACACTAATGGTGGCGGTCGACGTGGGGGGCATTGGCCAATTGCAACGCGGTAACTGTCAGCGACCTTCACCACCCGACGTTCTCAGCACGAATGTCCCGGCGCGCGTCGCCCACCATTCAGGGCGGTTTTCACCGCTTGGGCGTGCCCCACCACCGAGCCCCAGCGGCAGAAAAACGAGTTGAAAAGCCCGAGGCTGAGGGCGCTTCTTTTGTCTTTCCAGCTTAATAAATCCCTTCCTCCAGAGGACACGGGTTCACAAACGATGAACCAACACATCAGCGCCACAGCCTGGTGTCTCTGATTGGTCCTCTTCCACACCACCTGCAGATAGAAAAAAAGAGGGTTCCTCTTACTTCTGCACTGCCTGCCATCTGCAACCTTGCTATCCCGCAACTCATCGAAACCTCACTTTCCTGCTTATTTCACCATTCGCATTGGAAAACACACATTAACCCTTTACTTTTGGGGTCGTGTACTGAGACAAGATGTCGGAGATGCTAGATGCCTACTGGCAGGCGCCGCCCATCGCAAGGTAAGCTCTTCTCTTCATCTCACCTCATCTCACCACAGCCTCCCAACTTCACGATGCTGACTTGAGCCCCCTCAGAACCCTTGCGACAGCCGCCTTCGTCACGTCTGTCTCTGTTGTCCTAGGCTTCGTGAGCCCGTACTGGTTCATCTTCATGCCGGACTACCTGTTCAAGATCCCGCCGCAGATCTGGCGCCTGGGCACCAACTTCCTGCTCACGGGTCCCCAGCTCGGCCTGCTGTTTGACACGTACTTCCTCTACACCTACCTGACCGCTCTCGAGGTCGGCAACCCCCGCTTCCCCAGGCGCGAGGATGTCGTCTGGTACCTCATGTTTGTGTGCACTGTTATCACGGTAAGTCACTTGTCGTCACTGCCTTGCTGCCACGGAAGCCTGTCCTTGCCCAACACGTCCATCATTGTGTGGAAAGTTCCTCCCATGTATCACATCCGCGAAAGAAGCACTCGCGAAGAGAAGAAAGGTCTTCTGCACCTCTTATATCTGCCCGCACAGTGGATTCCCACAGCTGTAGCGGTTCCTGGAACAGAGGGAGATTACCCTCACGGCGCGGTACAGTCCACCTCAATTCGCTTTAGGACTGTACTCGTGGCGTGGGCATGGTGGGATGTCTTATGGATGGCTTGGGTAGCGTTCAATGCTGCTCGAGTGGTTTTCTTAGCGCCCTACATTTTACCACCCAACACCCTGGGTTTTTGTTTTCATCTGTCGTTCCGTTCATCATGACACCATTTCCATCATCAAATGAAGATGAAATCGCTCGACGTAGAAAACCAAGCGCTAATATCGCACACAGGCGCTCTGCACCTACCTCATGGGCGGAGGAGCCTTCCTACCGGCTTTGATTCTCGCCATGTGCCGCACCGTCACGCAGGACCAGCGCGGGATGAAGGCAAACTTCTACTTTGTCACCATCCCCGCCCAGCTGACGCCCTTCTGCATGATGCTCGTCTCCCTCCTCTTCCCTGGTGGCTACTACAACTTCATGCTCCAGCTCATGGGCTTCCTGGCCGCCCACCTGTACGACTTCCTCTCCCGCATCTGGCCCGAGTTCAGCGGCGGCCGCAACCTGATCCCCGCACCCGCGTTCCTGTCCAGGCTAGTCACCACGCCGCGTTTTTACCGCCGCGACTATGGCACCGCTGTGAACAATAGCGGTCGCGCCCCCGCGGGAGGCCAGTCCTCGGGCAGCAGCACCGGCGCCTCTCTGGGCAACGGACCCCTTCCCGACTCGTGGAGGACGAGAGGCCCTGGACGCCGTCTGGGTGATTAAGAGGCGGTACGATAGATGTGTCAGATACCGCATTTTTTGCATCCATTGCAGAGCATTCCTCGGAGTTGCATTACGAATAATATTGTATTCGTCCTTGAGTTTCTTATCACTCGTTGACAGTTTAGTCTCTTTAACGCCGTGAACCCAATTCGCTCATTAAAATACAAAAAGCCGTCCTGTGAGTACTCCGAACCTCGGTCATGACATTCATCGTCGTGACATTATTTTTCTCATCCGTACAGCGTGCTCTTGCCACTGCGGATGGGCATGTCGCCCTCATAAGTTTCGGGATCCTCCCTGGCCGGCGCGACGTTCGAAATGACGCTATGTCCGGCCAACGGCTTATCCTGAAATCTATCCTCGTGGACCGCAATCGGCTGCGATATTTGCATGTTCCCGGTCTCGCCCTTGTCTGCTATCGGCGTCGCGTCTTGGACTTTGATCTGAGGCGGGGAGTACTTCTTCGGCACCCGCATGCGTCGCACCGAGGGGATGGATATTGACGGTATCTTGATGGATGTCTTCCGGGCCGGCGGAGGCCCTGGGGGCGGTGGCGGGAGGTTGCCCATGATGGGTGCCGCGGAGCTCAGGTTCTCGTGGTGTGATTCGTTCGACCTCCTCGGTGAGGGCGTCCGCGACATGGCGGCGGTCGGTGGGGGTCTGATTGGTATTGTGCCTTCTTCGCTGACGGCGTTGAGGTATGTCTGCAGGGCGTACGAGTCTGGTGTATTTGTTCTCCGGGCATTGGGCGGTGTGGGTGTTATGGCGCCGCCGCGAGTCGACTGCCTGCTCATGGCTCGGGGGATGTAGGCCGGGTGAGTGGGAAGGGCGCTGCCGAGGCCGTGGTGGCTGGAGCGAGGATCGAAGTTGTAGTGGGCCATCTCGCGTCCGAGCTGGGCTTCTTGCTCCATCTGGTCGTAGTAGTCGGCGTTGTTGAATTGTTGCTTCTCCTGCAGCTCGTAGTTGTACGAGTTGATGGAGGAGGACTTCTTGTGGTCCGCGATTGGCATGTAGGGGCTTCTGTTGATCGCGGTGAAGGAGCTCGCGTGGCACCTGGGCGGCTGGGGCGGGAAGTCGGGCTCCGCAGTCTGCGCTCTTGCTTTTCGTTGCTTGCGGCAGTGGATGATGAAGAGGCAGATTGCGCCGACGAAGACCAGGCCGCCGCCTACGGCGATGCCTACGATGGTGCCGGTGGTCATTGTCGTTGAAGAGGCGCCGCCATCGCCTGGGAGGGTTGTGTTTGTTGCCGGTTCGGTGATGTTCACCGCACTGTCCGAGAACAGCTGGCCAGTCAGGCCGATGATGTTACCGTCGGCTGGCTTCTGTTGGCAACCAGCTTTGAGCGCAATCAAGACTGGGGTCATGGGTCAGCATGTTTTCAGGGCAGTGTGTTTGCGTGGAACTGACAGTTGGAAAGATAGCTCTGGCTATCGCTGGACTGCAAACACTTGGCACAGGGCCACCAGCTGTTCGAGAATTTGTCGCCGTCGGCTGTGCAGTAGTCGTATGAGGTGGCGGCGTCTGGAGTTGTGAGACCCGATGTGAGGGCGCTCTTGAGAGGCCTACAAGCACTGTTGATGATGCATGGAGAGTTGATGTGGCTGATGGCGTCGGGGAAGTCGAAGAGGCAAACGTCTACCGCATATCGAATGTTGTCTATCAGGCATGGTCAGCCAAAAAAAAAAAACCCCTTCATTGCTTCCCAGATTGCAAGCTCTTACACAAGAACCAAGCCGCATCACTCGAAGCCCCCTTGGTTGCCTCGCTTTTCTGCAAGCAACTGACGCAGTTCTTGAATTTGATGCCCGTGCCGGTCGTGTGGTACTGATCGTTCTCACAAACAATGTCGGACGAGTTTGTGCCTGGTGTCGTGGCCTCGATTGTCGTTCCGTTCTGCCCACCCATGCACAATGCCGCACAATCCGAGCCGGGTGTGACTTCGAGCGCGAGTATGGCCGTAACAAGCGAGAATACGGCAAACAGATGCCACAGGGAGAAGGCGGCCATGGTTTGACTTTGGCCTCACAAGTCGAGGAGGGGCCGCAGAGGAATGGATAGGAGGAGGAGGGAGGCGTTTAGATTAGGAGGAACGCGGATAACCTCGTAAGCATGGCAAATCACTCTTGTCATGTAACTCGGGAGATGTCAAGATGAGAGTCTCTTCCTTCCAAGAGGGTTGATGGCTATCTGGAAAGAAATCCAACACCCATCTCGAGGAGATTCCATGGTCCTTTGCGGGACTGATCGCACATATATTCCCGGAATTTCAGACGTAGCACTGCGGCACGGGCGATCTCCATGCAAGACAGGCAGGCGGCTCTGCATTGCAACTAGACATTGATCTATTTTTGCTGGTGTGTGGTGGTCTAGCAATCCAGCCAGCGGATAGCCGTAGGATGGAAGTCCCAAGACGGCAAAGCTCATATGGAGGTGCGTTTGCTTTCTCCAGATCGCCAGGCGGGGAGGATTTTCCGTAGAGCTGAGAATAGCAGCCAAGAAGTGAGCGGGTATATGCGAGTCCAATAAGATCGCGCGTAGCTGCGAACCCTTGGCTGGTGTAATCGCGCCCAGGCTGGAACTTGACGAATGGCGACGGGGGGAACGAGTCTTCTCAGCGCCAAACAAATGCACGTCAGGCCGGGATGTGAGGAAACGAAGAGACGTAAGTGGTCGGAATAGAGAGACACACGGGAAGTTGAAACGGGAAAGAGAAGATTGAGTGGTCTTGCAGGCGCCGGCCATGAATGCGACCCTTTCCAGGACCCCTGCTCAACGCGCAAAGTGGAAATCAGCCATTTAGCGGCCGTCTTCCCGTCCGATAGACCCGCCTACTGGCAAGCTTGACTGAGCAAAAGATTGACGGGGGCGGGGAAATCAGACCACTTTGTTTTCTACCCTCACTCGTGGCCGAGATTGCCACGCGACCAGATCTTGGACCGGAGCGCCGAGTCTCTTTCGTCCTCTCGGCGTTCTGCCTTGTGTCGACGGAGCAGGTCGCCTGGCCAGTAAGATGGCCGACCTTGTCAAGCGGGGGATCATCTACCGGGCTTCCTCCGTGGCTGGCTTCTCTCAAATGCCACATTCTAATCCGGTTCAATGACGCAGTCGTCTCTTCTGTCATGGACGGAAAGGTATCAAAGTTGTCAGGACAAAGCCAGCCCGATCACGGTTGAATACCACCTGAAATCTCAACCACCACGGCCCAACGCGTTTATCAGCCAACTGCGAATGAAACCGGCACACGATAGCTCTGCCGCTGCCGCGATAGTTTTGGATGCAACTGTGGCCGAAAACGACTCTGATGGGTCAGGGCGAGCCACACCCACCAGGCGGCATTTTACGTAGCGGCGTAAGTGGTGCCCCCGTTGTGGTGCCAGGCAAACTCGTCACCTGCAGGCGAAATTCTCTGAATAGGAGCGAGTGTGATGGTGGCTGCATTAGCCAACCACCTCAGCGTTCCAACCCTTCAACGAGAGGAGGAGAGGGGTGACTTCCCGTCAGCGCGAACACCACCAGGACGATCCGGACCACTAGATTGAAAGGAGAGGATTCGAAGTAAGTGAGAGCGTGATGAGAGCAGGCGTTGTTCTGGCATCCTGCGTCTTCAACTTGCATTGCTTCCTGAATTAGATTTGCGTTCGAGACCCAGGAATTCGGGTTAGCTGTGCTTTGCTGTTTTATAAGAAGATGTCATTCTCTCATCCCCTCGTGTTGTTTGTGAGATAAGAGAGGTGGACTTCAAGTAAGTTTTCGAAGACTTTACCAACTGAGATATGCCAGAAATTTGTTTGCGTCCTTGAAACGCTCATTCTACCGCCATCTCGGACTTGTTCCGACCGATACTACTCACAGCTTGGCTGATGTCGTTCCCCGTCTTCGACTCTCTCCCATTCCCACGGAGAAGAGCACCGGCTCCGAACACCCTCTACGTCCCATCCAGCCTGTGTTTGACGGCAGGCTGGGCTGACCGCTGTTTGCTTGTACGACATATCACCGGAAGGATTACTGGCTTAGATGAGTATGCCAGAGGACACCTGCAGTAATTAACTCAGCCGGCCCTTTGTTTCTCTTACGTCTGAGCTGATTGGGAAACATGGCGATCAGAGCGCTTTCAATGCATTGTCTAGTCCGGCAGCCAAGCGTCAATTTCAACCTCGAATGTGTTGCGTCCCTTCTCAGATCTCCAGGCGCATGAGTTATAGTTCAATTGCTTGTCTTCTTTTCTATCATGACATCTTGTCTTTGAACGTATATATTTCGAATGTCTATACTTTGCTCAAACACTATGTCAGCAATCTTCTCTCTCGTACGATTGAATCGGTGTTTGGTTCCCTGGTCCCTCGAGAGACCAAACTATGCTAAGCAATCATCACCATACCACGAGCGAGGCCTCTGGTGAGGATCGTGTAATCTGCAAATTTAAAAATGTTACCTGTGGCGAGCGCCCAAACCTCAGAACGGCACGCTGTCGTGAATCAGGTGTCCCTCTGACGGTTTCCCATAGACACGGGACTCAAGTTTGTGGTCCACCATTGCTCTAACCGGGACACGAGATCGATCCCTCTCATAATTCTAAACGGGTCTCGATTCCTCTAGTCCCAGCATACAGTCCACGGAGCTGTTTCGGTCCATCTCACGGATGTGCGACTGCACGCTCCTCCTCGACCGTTGCGCCTCAAAAGGGGGTCCCGTTTGGGTTGTACATCAGTGCTCACCAGCTTCCACAGCCAGGGTCTCACAGATGAAAAACGCTTCAATGCTGTCTCTTGGTATTTGGAGATGTTTACGGTCGAAGTTGCCTGTGTCCACGTTCTTCGGGAGGAAACACGCATAGATGGGATTTACTTAAAGGCCAGCGATAGTCGAGGAAACCAACACTACAACAGGTTCATCTTACATCGCACCATCTATCAGTAACACATCCAACATGATCTTCAACACCCTGTTTCTCGTTGCGGCACTGGCCACTCAGGCCATTGCTCTTCCCACCGCACCCGCGGAGCCGGCTCGGGACATGAACGCCGAAGACTGGAGCATGCTGCACTTCCGGCGCGCGTGCGCCGAGGACCAGAGCAGCTGCGACTACAGCTTCTCAATCACCGAGTTTGCTTCCAAGGAGCCCAAGTACTGCCAATTCAGGATCAAGGCCGATGGCCGTCCTGCGTATCAGACCGGCTTCTCACTCATCAAGTGCCCTGAGGTGGCAGAGTACAGCATCAACGGCGGCTGGAACGATCTCGGATTTTTCACGTTGTCTGTGATTAATGTCGAGAAGAGCCTCATCTCGTGGTTCTCTTACAAAGACGATATTCTCATGAATGGTGTCGAGGCTGGACCGCAGCATTCCAAGGTGTACTTCCACCCGATTGCCGTTCCCGCCGAAGTTGAGGTAGCGAAAAGAGATAGCCACAACCTTGCCGCCGCCTCGGAATGGCAGCTTATAAACGTTGTGAGATGTAAGTCAATATTTTCTCTAATACTCATCGTAATATGCCAATGACATGACTAGACCTGGTGAAATCCGGAACCCCTCAGGAAACGGTTGTCCTCTCTTTCTCGATCGAGGGTGGAGATGAACCAAGCCAGTACTGTCTCCTCCAGATTCCGGTCGTTCAGCAAGACGGTACCTCCACGAAGAGCTTCTATAACCGGGCCTGTTTGGAGGGTGCCAAGGGCTGGACAGTGTCTTGGGGCCAGGACGAGACCACTGACGAGGCCGTCATGACACTGGTCAAGTAAGCATTACTCCTGCCGTGGACAATGTGACATGAGCTAACCAGATTACAGCCAAGACCAGCACAAGCATGCCTTCTTCGGATTCAACAATGTAAGCAAGGGGGTATTGCTGGGAAACAATGGACCTAGCCCCACGAAGGACTTGCCCAAGTTTATTTAAAACATGCTAGATCTGATCTTTTAGTGCTCTGTGCCTTTCTGGGCAGAGGTTTCTGCAAAATTGGTTTGAAGATGTGTTGGTGGTCGCTATAGTGTCGCAGTCTGTCACCTCACATGCCTTGTGTGTACTTTTACTTAGAGATGTTCATCTGTATGGGTGGTCATGTATTATTATTATATTCGTCGCGAATTCAAACAAATCTTGGTTAACTTCCTCACATTGCATTTCTATAGTGAAGCCAGATGAACCTGTCTAATGTTTTTTTCCACATAGGGACAGCCACTATCTAAGTCATAAATCCAACGACGGAACTTTTCCACAAATTGAATTCCCCTCAAGGTAGAACTGCAACGAGACAACAGCGAAAGAAGGTGACAAAGTTGCCCTGCATAAGCCTAATGGGATGTGGAAAATTGCGTTCCTGGTACCAACAAGCCGAGTTCCCCGAAAACTTTGAGGACATATCTGGTAAAGGGCTGCAGGCTGTGCCACTTGGCTACATGATCAGAGGGGCGTTGGTATCGAGAACCTGGGAAACAATGCTGCTTTCCCCGCCAAGAACCAGTCTAGTGTTGGTTCATCCAAAACCCACAGGTTCGTCGTTGGAACGCCCTGTCCGTACCAACAGGCTGGGAAGACGCAATCTGCAACGGATAGAGCAACTGGATTCGTGCTAGTGTTGGTGGAAATAAGAGAGAATTGACGCAAACGATGGACACAAAGGGGCTCATACTGTAGTTTCTGGGATACTAGTTGTCACCTTCCATTATGCCTGAGACTTCCCAAGCAACTCTAGATCGATCGGGCGAAAATACAGTAGCCTAGCTCAACTCATTCAGCGACCAAATGTGACATACATCCCCTTGGATTCATTAATGTCGGTGAGGAACTATTCATCAACAATGTTTGTATGACCGGAGAGAATGCACCTGAATCCGAGCGCCCGTTGGGATGCGGATAGACGACTTGGATGTCACCACGACCACGTTAAGAACGTGCGTGAGTACCGAATCCCCGTAAACCTGTCTGCAAATTGGTTTGTGAATGTCACGTAGGAACTCTGGGTGCCCTGGAGAATCCTTCGAAGGTGATTTCGGCCAATGTGGTTGCTCGACAGCCACCCCGGTCCAACATTGGTCCCCCGGAAGTGACGGTTGAACGGGAGAAAGGGCTGAACTGGCGCAATTCGCCAGGCCCTGCTATCACAGTGCAGCTGCATCACGCCTAAGAAGACATGACAGGCTTCGACGCTGATCATCGTAAGTGCTCGCAAGCCACCGCCCGGCTATACGAAATTGCTAGTCAATTATTTCCATGCGCTGTAACGGGGCTGGCACTTGACTACAATACGCATCAGAGGTTAGGCTAAGCTGTAGAGATAAGGGAGATGCATTTCCATGGAACAAATGGGAGATAGACAGTAGCGACCATATATCTGGGATAGTGACATCCTCAACCAAAGTCCTGGGACAGTGTCAACCAAATGCCGGGGCGAAGGTATCACAGACGCCGGCATAGAACACGGGAGAAGCCACAAAGTGAGCGTTGCCAGGGGTTTTCATCTCTTTTGCGAAAAGAAGCCCGGAAGATGACGCAGGAGGAGGGGAGTCTAACGGTGCGATCCTGCCAAACGATGGGCTGAGAGCAGACAAGCAATTGGTGTGACTGCAAGGATGCCATGGTGCATATCCCGTTGGTTGGTGGTGGATTGAAGTTGAGAATGCGCAGCGGCCGGGAAGACAACGGGAACAGTGGAGATACCTGTCGGAAGATGCCTCTCATGGTGGCTACCGCGGTATTGGAAACTCCAGAGCAGGTACCTCTTGCGTGCTTCGTCGGGCCTCTTAGGGCTCACCCCCGCAGGTATTCAGGGGGCATCTTTGAGCTCACGCGGGTGCTCTCCGAACGAGCATCGCATGAGCAGCCAGAAGAGAATTGGTCTAGCGACTGGCCTGTGCTCTACAGCGTTGCGAAGTGACGAATGGCGCAGCGGCACTAGCAAGGTCCCCTGTATGGAGAGAGCGGCAAACGTCGACGTCTCGTTGGCTGTTCGCCGCGATCATGAACCGACATCTCCTACAGGCTTGTAGACGGTCAGGCCGTGTGGCAGGTATCCCGTGCGACTGCCCTTGACTGGACATCACAATCAGAGAGGCACTTACTTGCCTGTACAGCACTCGTGGTCTCTGATGGCCTCCGCCGTTGCACTCGCATGGTCAAGCCGCATGTTCTACCTCACCGGCCCCCGCCAAGAGACAGCCCCCAAATATCGACGTGTAACCCACAAGTTTTGCCCAAAGAAGTAGCCCCTGCCTCTTCGTTTCCGTACCCTTTTACTATCTACTTCAAAACTTTGTGCATTTTCCTCTTTTGAATGTCTCCGTCATCGTCAGTCTTGTTCACTCTTACGTCTGCGGCGGAGCGTGCGATCGGTCGACCGGTTTTGGAGTTGGGAGACTCGGCCTGTGTCGTGGTTTCGTCGTGGTCGTCTTCGTTTGCCCGCCAAGATGAGGATAGCTTGTCTTCAGTTTGCTCCCCAGGTGGGCGATGTTGACAATAACCTCAACCGAGCCGACTCGGTACTGAGCAAGGCAAACCCCGAGGATTTGGATCTTCTCGTCCTGCCCGAGCTGGCTTTTTCTGGTATGTTGAATCTCAAAATTTGAGGCCGGGGCATCATGTTATGCGTTTGGCTAGATCAGCGCTTCGGCGGTTGTTGGTTCCAGCAACCGCGCACAGTATCAACTGTCGCGGCTCATTTGCCCACTAATACGATTATATCCGGACAAAAACTGATACGAGAAACCTTAGGCTACAATTTCAAATCGCTGCAACACATTTCTCCCTTTCTCGAACCGTCGGGCTCTGGCATCACGTCGCTTTGGGCTCGGACAACCGCGCTAAAGTACAACTGCAATGTAGTCGCTGGCTACCCCGAGAAGGCGGATGTGTCTGGCAGTTGGCCGACCGGGCCTGAGTATTATAATTCAGCCATCGTTGTCAACGAAGAGGGAGAGACGATAGCCAACTACCGGAAAAGCTTCCTCTACTACACGGACGAAAGCTGGGCCCTTGAAGGTGACGGATTCTTCGAAGGCTTTATTCCTGGCCTAGGGCATACATCCATCGGCATTTGTAAGTTCTTCTCAATGTCTATACATGAATTTTGCTAACCCTTTAATGCAGGCATGGACTTAAAGTGAGTTTCTTTGGATCTGCAAATCGATGTGTTACTAAATGCTTTAGCCCATACAAATTTCGGGCCCCATGGCACGCGTTCGAGTTCGGCTTTCACATCCTCCATCATGAGTCAAACTTTGTCATTGTCTCCATGGCATGGATGACCCGTGAAGACAGCCGTACGTTCAGTAGGATGCCCAATGAACCGGACATGGACACTCTCACCTACTGGGTGACTCGTTTGGAACCTCTGATCCGAGCAGAGAAAGACACTGAAATCATCGTCGTGTTCTGTAATCGGACCGGCATGGAAGATGATGCTGTCTACGCCGGAACAAGCGCTGTTGTAGGCGTCCAAGACGGCGAGGTCAAGATCTACGGTGTTCTTGGCAGAGGCGAAAAGGAACTGCTTGTCGTCGACACCAAGAATCCCCCATATGCCAAGTTGGTCTACCGCCCAGAACCTGAAAAACCATTGGGAGTCCGGTCAGAGTTGCAAAAAACGCCATCTTCTCCGGCATCGCCTGGAGGACAAGCGCCCAGCTCTTCGTCATCTCAGGGTAGTGCTTCTCAGAAAGGCTCCTCCTCACATGCCCCAAGCCAGCCCCGATCCCCCCCTGACGGTTCCTCAACCACCTCAGACACACCTCGGAAATCACCACAGGGGCGACAGAATGCGAAGCAGGTCAAATTGCCACCAAAGATCCAGATCCCTATATCATACGCCCCGCCACCTGTTATGTCTGGCAGAGCACCAGCAGACTCGCCTGGATCTAAGAGTGTCAATCTCCCAACGCCTACTGCTCCAAGCCCGACTCCTTTGTCAGCGCGGCCAAAGTTGGCTTTCCCTCAGTCACGTCTGAACGAGAGTTGGGAAGCCAACAGCCCTGTTCCTCAAAGCGCACAGTCAGCGCGCTCGATTCAGTCGGTCCAGTCTATCCAGTCCATTCGCTCCAACCAATCGGTCAGGTCGAATGTGCCCAAGTTGATCATTCCGCAATCACCGCCCCTGGCGCCGTGGCAATTTGGCAGTCCTGTACCCTTGTCAGGTAGATCGTTTCATTCGGTTCACTCTGTCAGATCCGTCGAATCTGTTCGATCGAACGAGTCCTATCAGTCATACCAGTCTGGACGCACTAACAGCACTGTCACGTCGAACCCACGACCACCTGAGGACAGCACGCCCTACCCTCAGAGTGGTCTCCCCCTGAGTGGCTATCCGACACGGTTTTCCAACAGGAGAGTCTTCGACGACTTTCCGTCATTGAATCAGGCGCCGTTTACTCCCATCACGCCTTTCGAGGATGCATCGCCTTCAGAACCGCGGTACTTCTGGCGTCCTTCCGAGACTCTGTTGAAGTCGCCAATGTCGCCTGAAGTACGTACAGCCGTTGCAAAGCCAGAAATGCGCACTGCTGCTGCAGAGTCAGATCAAGGCAGAACCCAAAACTTTGACAACTTCGCGCTGTTCTCACACAAGGAAATACCGTCTCGCTCGCACAGCTCTAGCTCCATTCGAACGGCGGCAACGGCTGTTACTGCCAAGAAGTCCCAGGCACATACAAAGAATCCCGCGCGAGCCCTTTCTCATGGCGGGAATTCTCGAAATATTAGTAGAAGTCGCACCGCAGAAGCTGTTGGCGCCGATGAGAGGATATCGCGAGCACCGTCGTCTCAGGAGTTCGACTCTGGAAACCGAAACCGAGCGTCGTCAAAAGGCAAAACGCCTCGCACCTCAAGCAGAGCCCGTCCCTTGGATGATTCGGGGATCGCCAATATGAAGCGAACTTCTTCCCATCACCGAGAGTCTCGAAGCACTAGTCACGCTCGGCTCATGGATGCAACAAGTACCATGACAGGCAAGCACATCTTGCCAGACCCAGTATCTCAAGCCGCTACTATCGATCAAAAACGTGCCTCTTCTCAGCCAAGATCTTCTCGAAACACGAGTCAGAATCGTTTCGTGAACAAAACAAGCAATACGGAGGCTTCGACAGACCCGTCTTCCCAGGATGGCATACTTGTCCGCCCGTCCTCGCCAAAGTCGCGGAATGCTAGTCGATCGAGGAGCCACCAGCGATCCAACTCCTTTTCCCACAGGGAACATGCAACCAAAATTTCCAAGTCATTGGAGACCATCTCTCGAAGAGCAGAGTCGGTCGATCGGATGCAGGATCTCCACAGAGAGGTCGTTGAAACTCCACCTAATGTTTCTTCATCATCTAAGCCACGCAGTTGCAGTAGAGGCCGGTCTAGCGAGCAACACTCCTCAATCATCATCGCTGCCAGCCGAAGCATTCTTGACTCTGACGTTACTCAAAAGTCCACTGTCAAACCTCAAGAGGAAAGTCGCCAGCAGCAGCACAAGCGAACGACGTCTCTGTCCAGTACGGACTTCCACGCAAGATCCGGATCAGCCGCTTCTAATGGGCGCGGCATAGCTCCAAGGTCCAGAACCCCGAGTACAAGTGAACGTTCTCGGTCCCGTACTCCGTCCCGAGCTGCCAGCCGCGGCCGTAAACCTGGGCCGCCTTTCTCGCCTCCTAGAATGGTACCTCATGATCCTTCACAGCCTGTGGAAGACCATGGGATTGCCTGGGATGCTTTCATGAAGGCAGGACAAAATTCTTCGAAGTCTAAAGGTGCAAAGGTCTCGCTGTTCTCAGAACGTGTTGAAAAGAATGATAGGATTGAGGCCATAGTGTCTCTCTCGGGTCTTTACGGAAAAGTTTCTACTAGTTCATCACCCTCAAGACCTAGAGGGTCTCCAGAGTTGCCCACTAGCAGGTCCAACTCAACTCCGGCTGTCGCGGCTGGTAGCAAGACAAAAGATCGAGTTGTAGGGGACAAGACGGGAGATGGACCGCCTTTCTCACTCAACTCGCTCGCTGAGACCGTCGCAACAATACCGTCGTCGACCCGCTCGCCATCCACGCCCAGTTTTGAGCCAAGCACTCCGAAGGCCATGGTTCTCATCCGCGACGACGAAGACTCTCTCACAGGAGGGCCGCCATTGCTTGATCTAGCAAACAACTTTCCCAATCTCACCTGCGTCGACAGACCAGTTGGCTCCCACTCAGACGGGTCGAAGGCCATTGCTGCATAGAGTGTTGCGTTATTGACAGGAGTAAATGGTTTTTTTGTTTTTCATCTCATATGTATCACTGCTTCGTTCAATTTTGGTTTGTCACTGAATCTTGGAGTCTGGTTTGCATTCACGTGTTGCATGAGATGACTGTTGCATGAGGGGATGAATACCACAAGGCGTCTAATAAACGGGCGGTCGGATGGGAAAAATAACAGGTATCCGATGGGGAAGACGGTTGGAGTTCTACAGAGATGTTCCAGACTTGCTGTTTTATGCTTTGCTTGGTGTCGTTTGTTAAATACTGTTAGCCATATTTGCAGAACCGTAGCAGCCATTAAGATAAAATATTCTTGTTACATTAACTGCGTTGTTGCAAGTGAGGTTTTCGGCACAAGTACATAGGGGTTCTCTTGAGGGTCATCCGTCCGCTGCTATCACGTTTGCTCCCAGCACTGAAGAGCGGCCTCTGCCTCTTTTAGTCTCCTCTTCTCTTCCCTGAGCTGTCTCTTTCTCATGGCTGTATCATCATTCTCCTTGGTGAGTTCTCTGATCTGATCCAATGATAGGTCGTCAGGTATCAGCTGCTCAATCTTGCGAAGGAAGTGCCGCTCCTCAACCTGCATGAGGACGTTCGCAATGAAGATGTCTCGCGCAATCTGGAAGACAAGAACATGATAAGTCCAGGTCAATCTTGGTGAGATCCGTAAGACTTACAAAGTAGTGGGAATGCATCGCTTTCAGATAGCCTTTTGCGACGTGGTTCTGGTGGATCTTCGGTCGCGACAGCTGACCATCCTTCGCATAAGCTTCCGCGTCGACCGTTCCTGGGCCGTCTCCGTTTACGCCTGTTCCATTTCTGTGGCGGCGGGTCGCGGCTATGAATTCTTGGCATTGTTCGGCATCGCGAAACTCCTGCTGCTCCAAAAGAAAGCGGTCGTCAGCGTTCTTGGCGAAAGATCGTCTATCTGCTTCGAGGCGCCATAGTTCGTAGCCAGCCTCCTTCTTCGCATTATGTAGCTTCGGCATGATGTAGGTTTCCATGAAACGAGTGGCCACAACATCAGGGTTATCGAAGCCATCCACCTCTTGATCAAGCTCGATGCTCTCGCGTGTTCTTGGGAACTTCATCTTGGTCATAACCTCAAAGTATACCTTGCAACGAGTGTGAATCTCGTTCACGTGAAATTTGGCGATTTCAAACCAAGGCCTCGAAAACTCCCAGAAAAACTGGTCAATCCTTTTCGGGTTGTAGAAGTTCGCCAGCTCGGTGCCTTTGCTGTCCTCGAGCGCTCCGGATGCCATGTTAGTTTCCTCGTCGATATCTGCGTACTCCTTCCGGTTCGAGGTTGAAAACGATTCTGGTGGAATGTCTGGCATTTGGTGCTCGAGCACGTCATGGTTGGAATGCATGGGCGACAGGCTGGCAACAGAAACCCACGAATGGCCGAATTCATGCATGTATAACTTGAAAAGATGGTCCTGCTTAACGACGCGTGCTCTGAGACGTTCAGGACCATCTTTAGGTCGATCAGCGAGGTCGTGTTCGTACTCGCCTTTGGCGTGATCCCGAGCAGCCGTTCTTAGTCGTTCGACTGCTAACTTGAATACTGTTTTCAACACATCGTCCCGCATAGGATCGTCCAAATTGCGGAATTTCTCGGCAGCTAAGAGTTGTTCGACCTTTCTTCTGAATCCAGGAATTTCCTTACTGGTGGCTGCGAAGTACTTCTTCCGCAGCCTATACCGAAGCTTGTGAATCCCAAGTTGGCGTGCGGGAATTTGATTCCACAGGGGCTGCTTAAAAAGGTCCTTCTCCTGACGGTTTCTCTCACTCATGGAAAAGTCTGCACCATCGGAGTCTCGGTCAAGATTGCGAAGGACGTGCCATTCGAACAGCTCGTAAGCGGGCTCTTCGCCTTTCACGATTTTCACGAATCTCTCGGTATCAGAAACCTTGTCAGGTTTCGTGACTATTCCAATCGTTCGTCCACGTGCGTGTTCTTTGCACATCGTCAAGATCGCCGCAATATCGGGGTCGCTGCTTCCGTCAACGATGGCAAGGACGGTTGAGTTTTCCATCATGACGTGCTTGAGAACGAGTTGTTTTATTGCATCGATGGTCTCTTGGTCGGCATGAAACGCAATCAGGCCGGGAAGGTCGACTAGCTGCAATGGCTTCTTCTTGGGACCCTTGATTGTTATTGAAAGGACGTCTTTGCTGATTCCTGTCACTCTGCCGTCGTCTCTGTCATCATCTGGGAATATGACGTTTTGAGCCCTCTTCATGTGGTCTTGTAGGGTGTTCCACGAGTCTTCGGTGAGCTTCTCGCTGACTCTGAACTGTTCCAATCTTCTCTTGTCTGCATCATTTCGTTTGGGCTCAGGCTTGATGCTCATCTCCAGAACATCATCTTCGTTGTGGGCCAATGTGACCTTAATCACATAACGGGTGCACATCCCTTCGCCTGAAGGGAACGGAATCTCCGCGATTGCCCCTAACACAGAGCTTTTCCCCGAAGATTGGGCGCCGCAAACGACAAGTTGTGGAGGTTCAATGCTTGGAATACCCAAAGCTCGAACTCGGTCCATGGCCATGATGATTGCATGTTGGTCTTTGCTATCGGGGTCAGGGTCGAGGTAGGAGCCAGGCTGACTAGAATTCTGGCCCGCCCCCGAGGCAATGCCATTACGCGAATCGGACATAACGAGAGTTGAAAAACAGAGAATGTGAGGTAGACCAAATGAGGTGAATAATGGAAGATTTTCGGTGGAACAGAAGGTTGCTGCGGTTGACACGAGAAGCAAAGCCTGTTCGGATTGATGAAATTGGAAAGGGGATGCGCAGGACACCCTATCTTGTGTTATACTTGGACTTTTACTTTCTTCTTGTTTACCCCCATTGAGCCTCAATGTTTTTCCCAGCGTGAGGCAACCGTCGGCACACCGATTACGTACGACCAATACGACGAATGGCGGCTTGATGCATTTGGGGTTACCACCCATCACAACGAGGCGGGCGGGCGGTCTGCCTTGCTAAGCTGAAGCAAGCTGAAATACTTACCAATATCAGCCAACGTGAGGCTCTTCTGTAAAACCGCCGCGTCACTCGATGGCATCGGACTGCTATGAATGGTCTACTTTTGCACATTTCATGAGACACACACGCAAGCTGATCTTGTTAGTGTGTATTTTGAGGCTCTAGACGAAGTCTGCCTGTCCACATGCCGTCTTGGCTTCCTTGGCTGTCCGCCTCGTGTAGTTCGCCAGCTTTCCTGTACTCTTCCAACGCGCGCATTGACATTGTCGGCAGCCCTTCAAAACGTGTTAAGAGCCATAACGCAGCGTGTCTTGCAAATATCTGCCGAATTACCACACCTATTATTCATTTCTGGCAACAATGGACCCTTTAACGATTATAGCAACGGTGGTTGCTGTAGCTCAAGGGCTGGGAACTATCGCTCAACTCATTGATGACCATCTCGAGAAACGAGACCAACGGAAGGAAGCCAACGGTCTCCATCCCTCCCAGGCTGCATTGCAACTATCCCAGGATGTCAATGATCTCTCATCACGCCTGGGCCGGACTCTGCCCGATCAGATAGACCGTGAGTAATCCCTGTTGCTTTCAATACTGTATGTTTCCCACAACTGTCATGAAACTGACCTTATGTTACAGAACAGCTTCTTAGCGACCTCAAAGGCCTCCAAGTAAAAGTTCAGAACATGTTGAGGACTTTGAACGATGTGAAGAGAGTCTCATCTGCGGATAATGTGGACTTGCCGCCGACGCAAAAAGAGAAGCTGAGGTTGCAGAAGACCACGGCGATGACACTGAAAACCCAAGTTCAAGAAGCAATAGACAGTTTTCGGGTAAGACTGGCGAAAGGCAATCAGGATACAGGCGGTGATGCGAACTCATCCTTGGATCTTAATGATACCCCCAATAATCGGCGGTTCTGCTACGGCGCTATTCTCTGCCAAAACAATAGAGCAAACGCCGCGTCTCTTGCCACGGCCACTGAAGAAAGGACTGGAACACCTCAGTGGGGATTCGTTTGCAAATATTGCAGCCTAGAGGTTGGAGACTACATGGCCATTCGACTAAAAGCCGACGGAACGCCTCTGGAGACGCCGGACCTACTTGCAGCCTCTCATCTCTTGGCCTGCGACTTGCGTCATCTGCGAGCATTCTACAGATGCCTCGCTTGCCATCTCAAGCAAAAGAAAACAGATTTTGCGACTGCTGTCGAGCTCGAGAGGCACATGGATGAACATGAGGGCTTTTCTTTCCTGCCAAAACTAGTCCAGTCTGCTGGTGAAAAGGCCGCAAAGAAAGACATACAAGACTTCCTCAGTCGCGAAGCACCTACTTACTCACAAGAGGAGACTCAGGTTGCAGAAGTCGAGTTTGACTTGGAGAGACCACCTCCCGCTCCTTCTCCCCAGCCGCACCCTAATAGGCCTCCCCCTGTGCCTCCCTCAATGCTACTACCCATGGTACGAACCAAACATTCCTTCCAATGATGGCGAGCTTTCGGAATCATCCAAACTAAGAACGGTTATAGGGCGACGTCGGTGCATAGTCAGGTAGCACTCAAATACTTGACCCTGAAATAGAACAACATCATGATGATTTTAATTAGGAGCGTCGTTTGGGTATGGCTCTGGCGCTCATCGAGCAGCAACGAGTAGTCCGCCTGCTCATCATATCAGTAGTAACAACAGGCAAGATTTGAATCGAGAGTCGGAGTCAGGGTATCTCCTTGTACGCGTTTCGCCTTCGTTGAGGAAACCGTGCAGAAGCAACGTACGCTTTTGACCAGGAGCTTTCCTCAGTGTTGACACTGCAAAACGCTTTGGTCGTGGATGTAATTTTTGAAATAGATAGACATTTTCATTTTTTAAATTGATTCGATCATCCGTCTGCCCCTGCTAGGCTTGTGAAGCACTCTCCTTGTGTGGTTCGATTAGACGTCAACCGCTAACATCAGCAGTACTCCAGCCCTCACTTACAGGCAAAGCCTCGGCCAGATTGTGCGACCACTTTGACAACCCATACAAACGTCAACGTCATACCGGAATCTCTGCCGAGGACCGACAGCCTTTAACACGCAGGGATTGATAGCAATGATGGCTATGATCTCAAGACTGTCATGCAATGGCTATCCGCGGCAGCCGAATAGACGCTCGGTCAATAGAGCTTGCGGCAAACTGCGCGACAAGAAGCCGATGGCCTCGATTGGCGCGTCAATGATGCGAGGACGGGGGCATCTACCTTTTTGGAAGGTAATGAGACGATGATCATGTCAAAATGACCAGAAGCGCTCGGCGGGGCATTATGTTTGTTGGTCCAACATGCATAATTCGCGATGTCGCGTTATCAATCTCCTTAGATGGTCTTCGAAGGAGGTCTCCGGGGGCCAGATGTTGATGCGAAGGAGGGAGGGGCTATTGAAATTCGGATGGCATGCTGACCAGTGCGGGAAACCAGGAACGCCATGGTTCTCCTCCTCTCAGGGCGCTAGGCCGTCCAACGAGCCTCTTCCGTGAGAATTCAAGCTCATGAGATGTCCAATCAACAATCGGAGATGGCTGCCCGCACCGGATGAGGTTGCTGAAGTGTGAATCCTGACAGGGATTCTTGCAGCTCTAGCTCGGTCGCCAGCCGGGATCATTGCATGCTAAGTGGCTGGGGGCTGCCAACTACACTGCACGCCACCTTCCACCAGGGGACTTCAGGGCGCTACGAGAGCCAGCGACGAGAGCAGATCTCACCCTCCCAATGCCAATGTTTGCCAGCCAAGCCTACAGCGGTGTGGGATCGCAGACCTGGGTCAACGGCCAACGGGCTTCTCCAGCCCGTCCAGCTCACCAGTTTCTCTGGCAGATGCATCTGCTCACCAGGCTCCGTTCGTATTATGTATCTGTTGGAACGGCCCGGACTTGTGGTCGTGTGGACCGACCTCCTCACCTCGGAGTGAGGAGAGCAACGGATGGGAGGGCGGGAAGTGCACACAGTTCGCCGTGCCACCCCAATTCTTCTGGACACCAATCACACGCTCCGGAAGAACCAACGAGGTGATGGAGATGCAGATGGCTGCGTCTCTCATCACAATCACAGCGTGCCCTTCTTCTCTCTCGCAAACACCGAAACACATATGAAGCGTCGTCTCGCATTGTCCGTGGTCAACATCGCGAGTCGTCACATCGTGATATCCTCCTGACGGCGTCAATTTGCGACTCTTCCCCTTCATCGCTTGGCATCGCCGTCCATAAGCTCTTGCGCAACGACCCGGACTCCCCATCACGCTCCCGCAGGCATGTAACACTGGCGACTTTGCCCCTCAGCGATTGAATCGACTGCAAACCGGTATTTCCGTGCGCGGCCGTCCAGTACATAACTCGAGCGATTTCCGATTGCGATTTTGCCGGTCGGGAGCAGTATTTGACGTCTCCCCGCACTTTTTCACTCATAATTCTTCATGATGAGGTTTGCGACGGGCGCTGCGGCGCTTAGCCTCTGGTTCCGCCATGCGACGGCTATCCACGTGGCAAAGGGTTCACCTTGCCAGACACTCTGCGGCAACGTGCTGGATGCGACCACGAAAGATGACGTTGTCTGCAAAGAGTCGGATTACTCTGTCAGCGCTGCCGGTTCTGTATACCAGCAGTGTGTTTCCTGCGAGTTGACGAGCGACTACTCGACCGCATCTCAGACTGACGTACAATGGCTTCTTTGTATGTTGGGTACTTCGGTCCTCACTGGCCAAACCATGACTAACATTATCAGACAACCTCCGATACGCTGTCTCATACTGCATCTTCGGGTACCCAGAAAACCCCAACGTCGGGTCGAGCCCGTGTCTCACGAGGTATGTCAACGTGCGATGGCGTTGTTCGTCTCACCTAGTAACCCTTCAAACAGAACAGCTTGCGAGCCTTTCCAAGATGCCATTAAATACAACGACCTTGCTTCTAACGGCACCGAGTTTGACTACTGTGACAACTGGGATCACAATCAACTCGCTGGCTGCACAGCCTGCCTCCGTGCCGGCGACAACCATTACTTGACTAATTGTATGTCTTGCTGCCTAGAACACTACGGTTCTTTGACTAATTGGCTTCTAGTCATGACCATCCTGGATGCCGGATGTCAGCAGAAGCCTGACCCTGGGCAGACCGTCTCTGTAGAGGGTTCTCCCTTCTCTAAGACTTCAGTCAATGCTACTGACCCGACGCCAACAAACACATATGTGCCAAACTACAACAGCGGCCCCATTTCCTTAGGCGGCAAAGTCGGCATCGCGATCGGAGGTGTTGTCGTTATTCTTGCTTTGACCGGTTTCTGCATCGTCTGGAATGGCAAGAGAAGACGAAGGGCATTCCTGAAGAAGATGGAAATGAAGCAGAAGGGCCCCGCAAATGGCTGGCCATCGCCGCTTAATGTCGCTGGACTCAACGGCACCCCGCTGAGCCAACGCCCTCTGCGAAGTTGGGAGAACGATACTCCAAACAGCTCCAGGCCAACGCATGGCTGGGACGAGTCTCCTCTCAGCCCCCAAGGAGAGAAGGCCTTCCCGAGATACTTCTCGCCGTACTCATCGCAATACAACAGCCCGGTGAGTGGCACAGAGGCGCCAAATATGCAGTGGCCAACCAACGGACCGGACCCTCAGCATCAACAGCAGGAAATTGGCCTTGCTCTAGGAGGCGATGATGCGCAGCAGGATTGGGATGACTCTCACAAGGGAAAGGGACGATCTGAGTCCTATGAGTTGAGAGAGGTTGATCATCAATGGGACGCGCGACAGAGACATCCCAGTCCGCCTGTGCTTCAGCACCCGGCGCACCCTATGTATGCGGAGCACAACCCGGCTGCGTATCACGGCATGACAGAAGATGACCTCAGGCGAGGATACATCTGAGTGGTTGCGGTTCTTGCGAAGGATAATGAGAAGCTGTAAATAGTTGCTTGGGGCCTTTGCCTCTTGGCGGATCTGGGTGTTATTAGCGGGAGTTTGGAGTTGCACGATACCGAGTGAGTCTCATGAGTCTTAAGTACTGCTCATGAGATGCAGAGACGAGGCGAAGACAATGTGAATATGAATACAAAGTACATCCCAAAGATTCCCGTGTTAAGCGCTTTGTGACTGCAAGGGTTCCATTGTCTCCAGGTACGGACCGTTGTTAGTTCCGCATGATGATGTTTTCTTTCGAGTTTGAGAAGTCCATGCTCAAAAGGCGGGACGGAACCGAGTCGCGTCTTGGGTCCTGTGGCTAGTCGAGCGGACTGGCCAATGAAATCCTATCAATGGCTGTCCGACGCCACAAAGTGGAGCGGAATGGATTTTTTGGCAGCTCGCACCCCACAGCAGGAAAAAAAATTTGGATTGGGAAGCTTCAAGCCAGTCCTCCCAACACCACGAGACCTTCCTCTTGGACGTTCGCGACTTCCTTCCCACCGCAAACGCCCAACACCCGACCGACACCTTCCCTCCCCATTGAAACCTCCTGTCGTTTCGGGATAAAGTCGGACAAGATGGCTATGGAAATTGTTAAGGCCTCCGAGGAGGAGGAGTTCGCCATCAAGCCTCAGGCTGCTGTCCCCCAGTTGGACACCAGCAGCTGGCCTCTGTTGCTCAAGAACTACGACAAGCGCAAGTTTCCTTCCCTCTGGATACGGAGCGAATGCCTCGTATAGAACGAACACATGGCTGACCGGTCCTGCAGTTCTCGTCCGGACGGGTCACTTCACTCCCATTCCGGCAGGATGCAGCCCTCTGAAGAGAGACATCAAGTCGTACATCTCCTCCGGAGTCATCAACCTGGACAAGCCCTCTAACGTATGTTATCATTGCTAATAATTGAATTGATGACCATGTGTGCTGATTTGCGCGTAGCCCTCCTCTCACGAGGTCGTCGCTTGGGTCAAGCGTATGCTCCGGTATGCAATCCCATTCCATTCTCTAGCTCGCACGATCGCGATGCATCGTATGCGATTCGCTCCCCGAAATCGAAGACGAATCGACGGCAATGGCATCCTCTTAAGCGGACCGCGATGGCTATACGGGCAGATGTTCACGACGTGGCGCGCACGTGTACGGCCAGGCTTTTGCGAAACACAGACAAGGATTGGTACAACGTGGAACACGATTCCAACGTCACGACATGTCTGTTCAGGCTGCATCATCGCGAGGCTGTAAGAACAAGGCACAGCGTCATTATCGATTTGCATGCCGACTTGAGAAGTTTTCGCGGGAGGCTGTGCTGGGAACCGACCATCATGGATTGCCCTGGGAAGTGTCGTCACAATTCGCGGGAACTGCCATTGCCGTCAGTTTGTCAACGAAAGGAACGATCGAACGATTTCGGGGAGCCGCAAGCTTGGCTTTTGCCAAACTTATGGTTGGAATGAAGAAGGCATTGCTAATTCATTTTTGCACAGCGTTGAGAAGACTGGTCACAGCGGTACCCTTGATCCCAAGGTCACTGGTGAGTAGCGACTCGTCCCACATTGACGTCTCGAACGTGTTTTGCTAACTTTCTCAGGATGTTTGATTGTTTGGTTAGTAGCAACCTTCCAATTCCGACGAACCGCATCCTTGAGGAATTGCGACTGACGAAATTTTCTCATTGCAGCGTCGACCGCGCCACCAGACTCGTCAAGTCTCAGCAGGGCGCCGGTAAGGAGTACGTTGCCGTCATCCGCCTCCACGACAAGCTGCCTGGCGGTCAGGCCCAGTTTGCTCGCGCTCTCGAGAGTATGTTCAATCCAACCTCACCGCAACTGCCGACATCATCGTCTGACTCGTGATCTAGCTTTGACTGGTGCCCTCTTCCAGCGCCCTCCTTTGATCTCTGCCGTCAAGCGTCAGCTGCGTATCCGTACCATCTACGAGACCAAGCTGATCGAGTTCGACAACGTGAGTAGATCCACTCCTGTCTTAGAAATATTGCTGACCGCGATTTTAGGATCGTCATCTCGGTGTCTTCTGGGTTTCCTGCGAGGCCGGTACTTACATCCGTACCCTCTGTGTCCACCTTGTACGTAACGTTAAGAAGATCATTCAGCCTTGTTCTGATTGCTTACATGAAATAGGGACTTCTGTTGGGTGTTGGTGGCCACATGCAGGAGCTCCGCAGAGTGCGCAGTGGTGCCATGGACGAGTCCAAGGGCATGGTCACTCTGCACGACGTGCTTGACGCTCAGTGGATGATGGACAACACCAGGGATGAGTCTTACCTGCGTAAGGTCATCTCTCCCCTGGAGACTCTCCTCACTGGCTACAAGCGTATTGTTGTCAAGGACAGTGCTGTAAGTTATTCCCGTTCATTGCAACCCAACCGCCCCTCACGGCCGATGCGACTTTGTGGATTATGTCTTAGACCGATTGGCGCACGAAAACAGCTGCATCCGATACTGACGTACTTCCAGGTCAACGCTGTCTGCTACGGTGCTAAGCTTATGCTTCCCGGTTTGTTGCGATACGGTGAGTTAAGCTTCATAACAACGTTACCAGGATACAGTGACATACTGACACCCTGCACAGAGTCCGCCATTGAGGTCCACGATGAGGTCGTCCTCATGACCACCAAGGGTGAGGCTATTGCCATCGGCATTGCCCAGATGTCCACCGTCGAGATGTCAACATGCGGTTTGTCCTCCTCCGTCACTGTACATTGACGATCCATAACTGACCCGAGACCAGATCACGGCGTTGTCGCCAAGGTCAAGCGATGCATCATGGAGCGTGACCTTTACCCCAGAAGATGGGGACTTGGCCCTCTTGCATCGGAGAAGAAGAAGATGAAGGCGGACGGCAAGCTGGACAAGTTCGGACGCCCGAACGAGGCCACCCCCGCCAAGTGGGTGTCTGAGTACAAGGACTTCAGCGCTCCTGCCGGTGATGCGGCGGCGGCTGCATCGGCTGCGCCGGCCACTCCCCAGAAGGTGGTCGAGACCGTCTCTACCAGCACTGTCGTCACCCCTGCCAACAACGAAGAGGACGGCAAGAAGCGCAAGAAGCACGAGGGTGAAACTCCCGACGAGCGTGCCGAGCGCAAGCGCAGAAAGGCTGAGAAGAAGGCAGCCAAGGCCGCGAAGAAGGCTGCCAAGTCAGGCGAAGCTGACGATGATGACGACAGCGAGTAAGCTATTGTTGCGCTGCATCTTACCTCGATTGGCTCGATACCAAGTGTTTGTTGAACAATGGTCGGCGGTTGGCTGTTGTACCATAAAATTGGCTTTGGCAAGTGGCGTTTGGTTTCTCATCATTTTCTCTCTCCCGTTGAACATAGTACGGACTGGCTGGATAGGAGTAGATAGGTCCTATATGAAGAAAAAAAGTGGCGACTACAGCTGCTTGATCAGTTCAAACCAAAAAAAGTTCTCGACCGGTCGAGAATGAGACGAGAAGCACATGGCAGCGCAAAATGTCACGAATCGATGTTTTAGGCGGTTGAAACGGAAACACGGAAACCCTTGTTGGCGGACTTACGTAGTCCCAGCAGGACCCCGGCGGGTTTTCAGACAGCAGCTCAGTCGGGTCCGAGCCAGCGTGGATCTCATCCGAACGATTTCTGTTTGGGAATCTCAGTCATAAACAGCGACAATATACGTGTTCCGTCCATCGTCCGAAGGCGCTTTCCCTGAGAGGACACCAAAGACAGGGAAGCATTGTCACCAAGCATGTCTCAGGCCACATGCGCTGGCCAGTCACGGAAACAAGGACAACTGCCACCCGCCCTCCTTGATGCCTCATGGAATTGGGATAATGCAACCAAGAACCACGCCGTAACTGGGTATAATTACTTTAGCGGATCCTCAATGCCCACCCCTGAGATGGCAGCACGTCACCCCGCCTTTTTCTTCTCTCCTAGTGATGCGTGTCTCTGGTGTCGTTGCCACGTTGGGTGGGAGGGGCACCGGGGAGGGGAGGTGAGTGAGTGAGTGACCTTGAGACCTTGGGACCTTGGGTTGCGCTCTCACAGCCCCTCTCCAGGATCACGGATTTGCCAGTCGCGCCTCAATCCCTCGTGCCCAGTTGCCCTGCTTCGCCCATGCCCGATCAGCGGGGCCGACACCGCCAGTTGGCGATCCCCTGTCGACCCCCGTCACCACCGACATCCCGGTTCCAGGCCAACCCAAGAGCCTCCATGACGACCAACTTTTCTCTCTGACCCCCTTCCCCCCTAACGTGGGTAGCCCACATGGCAGCCAGCACATAGGGCCTAGCAGCCGACTGCCGGATGCGTGTAATCCTCCCGAGGGGCTTTTTTTTTCTTGTCCGTCTGTCATGTTTTGCTGCTATTGATCTGCTAGCCTAGCAGCTGCAGTTTTATGGGCTGAAGCCTAAAGAGGATTTGCTATCTGACCACACATCTGACGCGCGCCCAGCCCTAGGAAGAGCAATTTTAAGCAGCATAACCTGGGCGGAAATGCAAGGCGATTTTTGACCTTGGAAGCAGCGGGAAGCAAGTTCGGAAGCAAGGCGAGAAGAGAAGCAGCTGTAAGGTGGGAGCAGCAGCACCGGAGAGGCTCTAGCTTCTGTTTTTTTTTTTTTTTTTTGCTGGTTCGTGCAGTTCCCGTCGGGTATCCGGTCGAGCAAGACGCTGCCACGCACTCACTCACACTTCTCACCCCCGGCCCACCTGTTTCAAGCATCTGCTTTGACGTGAATGGAACAAACCCACCTAGGGCCAGCTCCCAAGTCTCTGGGCAATGCGGATCGGGAATGTGAGATTACCACTGCAAATGCGGGTGGAGGTGTGTGTGTGGCTGTCGGTTCTTGCTTGTCGTCGTAGTAAAGGTGTGTGGTGTGGTGTGGTGTACTTGGAGCGTGTACCTCGTAGGTGTGTGAGTGAATATAGTAAGGTCTAAGGAGGCATGTCGTTCCTGCTCTCAATACCGTTCTCGTCTCGGGATGTAGCTGGAGCTTGGAGCTGGCGCAGCTGCTGCTGCTCTCTCCCACATCTCGTCCTTTTCGTTCGAGTACAAGTAGGACCTCGCTCGCACGCACCTCGAGACCGGACAGCTCTTGTTTTTCCTCTCTGCTTCTCGAATACAGTTCGCTATGACATTCATGACGGCAGCACTTGCTTCGAAGTAATGTGTACTCGGTGTTGGCAAAGCTAAGTAATAGACCACCGTCCAATTCCTTGAGAGAAAGACAGAACGAAAGCGAATACCCAAGAGAGACCCAAGACCACCCACGACACAGACACTCCTCCTCTCATCACATATACATCAGCATCCCAAGGTCTTTTTTTTCTGCTCAGACTGCAACTTTGTTTAGCTCCACGAGCGCATCACCTGGCTGTTGCTGTTCTTTTTTTGTTTACACTTTGTCCGGTTTTTTTACGAGAGAGATACCTTATATAATTGTATCGTTTCTTTGTTTATTATATATACCCTCAGACCGAGAGAACAATGCTCCCAACATCATCACTATTGGCCGCCGGCCTGTGGTGCTTGGCCGGCTTACAACCAGCCCTGAGCGCACCCTCAAAGATCGACGCCCTCTACATTGTCGGCAGACAAGACAAGGTCATTGAGCCCAGACTCAACCGTGACTTCCCGGACCCGGCGCTGATCCAGGCCGGCGACGGTAACTGGTACTCCTTCGCGACCAGCAACAACGACAAGCAGATCCAGGTCGCCAAGGCCGCCGAGATCTCGGGCTCCTGGGAGTGGCTCGACATCGAGGCGCTCCCAGACGGCGGCTGGACGACGGGCAAGAACACCTGGGCGCCGGACGTCAGACGGCTCGACAACGGGTCGTACATCATGTACTACTCGGGCGAGGTCGTCGACGGCGGCGGCAGGCACTGCATCGGCGTGGGCATCTCAGACGCCATCACGGGGCCGTACGTCCCGACCAAGGAGCCGTGGGTGTGCCCGTTCGACCAGGGCGGCGCCATCGACGCCGCTGGCTTCTACGACGAGTCGACCAAGAAGCGGTACGTAGTGTACAAGGTGGACGGCAACAACGTGGGCAACGGCGGCGACTGCAACAACGGCGTGGAGCCGCTCGTCGGGACGCCCATCATGCTGCAGGAGGTCGAGGCGGACGGGTACAGCAAAGTTGGCGATCCGGTGCAGATCCTCGACCGGACGGCGGCGGACGGCCCGCTGGTGGAGGCGCCGGACCTGGTGCGCACCGACGATGGGCTGTACATCCTCTTCTTCAGCAGTTTTTGTTTTAACTCGGACAACTACAACGTCAACTACGCGACGAGCCGCGACATCAAGGGCCCCTACGTGCGGCCTAGCCGGATGCTGCTCAAGACGGGCGACTTCAACCTCACAGCCCCGGGAGGCGCGACGAGCGTTGCCGGGGGAGGGCAGATGCTCTTCCACGGCGACTGCGCGGAGGGGAGGTGTCTCTACCAGACGCAGTACTCCGTCACCGGCAGAGATGTAATCATCAGCTGAGCGAGACAGAGAGAGAAAGGTAAAAAGAAACGAAACGAAACGAAAAGACGAAAGAGGAAATAATTTCTGTAATCATATTTTTTGTGTTACACACTCACAGCATCATCTCAGTTGTGTATCCTTACTTATTTCTCTTCTTGGGGGAGGAAGGATCTCAGCGAGCACCCAGCGTTTTGGACACACATATTTGTGCGGGTTTTGCAAAGGAAAGTCTAAAAGAGACTTCATACATGATTCGGGGGCATACAGGACATTCGTTTTTTACATTTCTTGTGCGGGCGTTTGGAGGACTCTGCATCATATAGGCGATGAAGGCCCAACCGGTCGTTTTCACGAGACAAATGACGAAGAACATATCATACAAACCAGAAATCGGAACCAGCCGCAGACCGTGAACACACCATTTGGTAAGCGACCGTTGCGCGAACCGGAAGGCAATTGGATGCCTCGACTGTAGAGTTTGCGGTTGGTGCGGCGAATGGGACGGACGTCTTTCAGTGAGCACACCGTCAGCTCCGACTCGGCGGCGAAGCAAAGTCAGGACAAGCTTTGAGTTGCGAAAAAGAAAAGGTTCGACGCAGCTCAGTAACTGGGCCCCAATGCCAACCTGCCGAAAGGGGACAGCTTCTCTGGTTCGCATCGAACTTTGTAATGAGAGGCAGGGAACCCTGGGGTTGGCGACATGGTCCCACCCCCTAATAGCTAAAGTCAAGTAAAAGGGTGAAGAGGAAGGGGGGAGGGATAAGAGGGATAAGACAGGGCCCGGGCTGTGATGCCGAACGACTATGCATTGACAATTCGATGTTTTGGGGGCGCTTGAACGACAGGCAGTGTTCAGTTAAGGAAAAGAAGGTAGGCGGGAATCCGGGAAGAAAAGGGAGCATTGACTGAGTGATCGTCGCGACTGTGCTGCGGACGACTATGCCCCCACTTGGGGCCCGCAGTGGACCGAATGAACCAACACCACACTGAACATCGAACACACTCAGAAGCTGAACTGATCAGAGCACGTTGAGTGAAGCTGAGTGGGAAGGTGAACCGAGCTCGCGGCTTTAAGTGGGGTGCTTTAAAGGGCAGAGCACCGACATCAATCATGGATGGGGCCCAAAGACACTGACTGGAACTCCTCAGGACTCAGGACTCAGAACTCAGGAGAAATATTCCGAGGATCAGCGGTGTTCGGGTTCCATTCTCTGTGATCGGTAAGCGCCCGGGCTAGATCGAAAAGGGCTGACTGTCACCTGCGTCCAACCACAGTCATCTCCAAACGCTCGTCTGCGATTGGTCACCAGGGGGGGGAGAAGGACGCAGGACCCGTCACCTCATCGCAGTCGTGCGCATCTCGCAGCCGCCAGCGACCGTGATTACTCACACGCACACTGCCGAGCATTCTTGCGCCAGGCACAGGCACGCAACCCGCGAGAGACGCTGCAGAGAAAGGACACTATCGAATGCCGCGCTACCCCATCTGGCGCCTGCGGGAGAGCTAGTTGGTTGTCGGTTGGCAAGTGTCCGCTGTTAGTCGTGCCTGAGAGGTTGCAACGGCGCACGTCGTTGGTTCGTCCTGCAAGTGCCAGGAACGGTGCCGCTGGCGCTTGTGTTGGTGATGTGCGCCGTTCGTCAGGCGAGCTTCCAGCAAACATCGTCGGCTCTCTCTGGCAGGCGGCGTTTGCTGTGCTGCTTGGGGACCGAAGTCCGGGGTCATTGCCACTTTCCTTTCCTTTGGGACTTGATCGTGCAGGCTCATTGGCTCCTTTCTTGAGAACATCACCACACCCTCTGTCGATGAATTGAATACTAACTAACCCACTCCAGGTCTCGCAGCCGGGCGGCAGGACCATGGCCCAGTCCCAACTATGCTCATCTCAAGTAGGCCTGCGTCGATGAAGCCATCCGCCTCCCCATACATTCGGAATCCTGCCCATTGGCTCCGTCCGGCTGCGTTCTGCGGGCGACTCCAGACCGTCACCTTACCATCCACACGTTCCTGCAGCTGCCCATGTCTGATCAACATGGACGGCAAGAACTTATATCACCGTTCCCAGGTCCCGAGCCTCATCCTACTGAAGCTTCCCTCTCTCGTGATTCTCTCCTCTGAGCTTATTCCATTTTCGCGCGTGTCTTTGTTTTGCAGGCGTACAGGCAGGATCGTTACCTAAATGTCACATTGAGATACCCTCTTCCCTTTGCCTCACCTTATTCAATTGTAATCTGAGCAAGGCGCTGGAAGTCTTGTTTCTCACATCCTCTTCACCAACACTCGTTTCTTTCCGATTCCGGAAAACGCACATCAACAATGGCCGTCCGCACCACCACCCTCGTCCTCCTCACATCCCTCCTGCCGAGGTATGTCGCAGGTCTGCAGGTCACGCCCGACTCGCCCTGCGCCTCCTTCTGCCTCGACTCCAACGACCTCGACTACTCGGACCCCAACTCGTCAAACACCAGGAACAAGGACATCACCTGCGATGACAGCAAATACCAGACAGAGAACGCAGGCCGCAAGTTCCAGCAGTGCGTGAGCTGTCTGCAGGACAGCAACTTTGTCAAGGGGGGCGAGAATGACCAAGCCTGGTTCTTGTGTAAGTCAATAGGTCGTCGTTCACATGGCGAGTTTAGACGCTAACTCATGGCAAGATAATATGAGATACTCGTTTGACTACTGCGTGTTCGGGTACCCAAACGCCACCGACACCGGCGGTGGTCCCTGCATGACCTCCACGGCCTGCGGTGCTCTTGAGGCCGCTCTCACGGACGGCGATCTGGACCCGTCGTCCGGGCAGTACTCATACTGCGATGCAGACGGCGGCGCCATACTCGGCTCCGCCTACGACAAATGTCTCTCCTGCGTCAGGGCAGGTGGTGAGCACTACTACCTGGCGAACTGTAATTCAACCCCCTCTACGACGTCTTCATATTCATCTCTCTAATATCCTCTAGATCTAGTAGCCCTCGGCGCAGGCTGCCAACAGAGACCAGACCCGGGGACACTCATCGGCCTCAACCAGACCGTCTTCACAAAAGGCGTCATCACCGTTGTCGACCCCAAGGATGCAGCCTCTGCCGACAAGAAAAACAATACAAGCATCCCCATGACGACGATCATCGGCATCGTCGTGGGCGCCGTCGTGTTGCTCCTCCTCATCGCTGGATGCGTCTTCATCCAGTACCGCAAACGCAGGGCTCGCCGAGGGATCAACCCCGAGCTGTCCCGCAGAGCAAAGGGCCACCGCCCCGTCTCATCCCTCTCCTTCCGATGCCAGACGCACCTCACCCCCAAGACGCCAAACTTCTTCCCCGTCGAGGAGGAAGAGATGCAGAGCGAGAAGGCCCGCATGCAGCTCCAACAACAGCAGCAGCAGCAAGCCTACTCGCCGCATACCACACCGCAGGACCCCTGGGCCCCAAGCACAATGTTCTTCTACCGCTCCCCAAGCCCGACAAACCTCACCGACAAGAAACACAAAGACGCCCTCCCCCTGACAACGATCAAAACCTCCCTCCCCATAATGCCCCTGAAATCCCACTCCCCGCGCCACAACGCCTCGCCGGAAGACTACACCCCGACCTCGACAACCTCCACGGCGCCCCTCATCCCCCTGCGCCCCTACATCCCCTCAGAACACGGCTTCACCTCCCCGTCGACAGGCTACGCCGCGACCTTCGCCCCGCAGTCGCAGACGACGTACTCCTCCCCGACGTCGGGGAACACCGCCAGCCCGCTGATGAGCCAGGGCGGCTGGCCCGCGCCGCAGAGGCACCACCAGATCCCGACGATAGACTCCCTCCCCGCCACGGAGCCGGCGAGGACCATCGGGATCGTCGTCAAGGACAGGGCGAGGCCGATGCCCAAGAGGGTCACCTCGCTCGGGGGCAGCCCGGTCGAGAGCCAGAAGATTCAGACTTCTTTTCCGCCGCCGCCGGGGGGCAAGAAGAGGTGACAAAGTGGTCTTTCTGTGTAGTTTGAACGTTTTCGTCTTTTTTTATACGGTGAGCGAGGAGCATTGGAAAACGGGAGTTTTCAGGCGTGGAAAGGGGGGGACTTATTTATCTGCACATACAGTCAATCATATAGACAAACACGTAATGCATGAGAACATATACTGAAGGACGATCCAAACCAGTCTCTTCTAAGGGTATTGTATGCCCGTGATTTTTACCTGGAAAACAAAAAAAAAAGGAAACAGTTATGGGAACCCAATCATTTACATTCGCACACGCACTCCGTTCCCGGGAAGAGAAAAGCCGCTCAACGCCTTTGCTTATGCAATCCCCGCCTCCTTGCTCATCAGTTCCGCCCCTTAGGCCACGGCGAGCTAGCCCTGCTCGCTTCCTCCGCCTGCATTATGTCGTTCTGTTCCCTGAACCATTCCGTCCCTTCGTCGAGATCCACCCTCGAACTCCTCAGCGATTCAAGGTTCTCCCTCGCCTCCCGGATGATCCTCTCCACTTCGGCGTTGCTGGACGGGCGCTTCTTGGCGCGGGCGTCCTGTGATGGCGAAGCCGCGCTGTCAGTGGGCCTCTTCCTCTTACTAAGCTGGGAGTTCCCGTTGCTTTGCTCGGCGGCGGCGCTGCTGCTGTTAAGAGACTGCGAGAAGCGCCGACGAGCCTCGGCCGCTTTGTCGAGGTCTGCCGACACGCTCCTCCTCCGCTCGGTGGTGTCTCTGTCCAGACCGAAGGAGCCGAGGCCACTGTAGCGTTTGCCGTTGTACCGCATTTCGTCAGCGATTGCTTCCGGGAGAGCAGACCCGTTGGGCATCGTCACGAGGCCCATAGCCTTCAGCCTCCAACGATCGGACACCTTGCTGACGCGCTTCGGTGATGCTTCGGACGGTGTATAGCGTGACGACGCTGAATGAGCCGACATTGGAGGCAAAGACCTGCGGAAGTCTACACTGCTGCCGAATTCCGCACGAATAGCCTGTGTCTTTGCGCCGCCCGGCCTGGCCGAGACCGACTTGGAGAGACTGTTTGTCGATGTGGTTCTGGCCGGTGGCGGCGGTGTCTTGAATGTGTCGTTGATTGAAGGAGCTTGGATGACTTCAGCGATTGCGGCACGCTCATCTGTAACGCCAGAGAAGATACCGGTTGCGAAAAGGGCCTCTGCTTCGGCCTGGAGGTCTTCTGGCGGGTCGTCTTTCTTAAGTTGCAGGATCTCTCTGAGTTCCTCGACTGGATCAACGCCATGCTGCTCCACCAATTTCCTCCGCGCTTCAGCGACACGGGCGGCCTTCTTCCTTTTCTTCGTCTCCTCCTCTCGCATTTCCTTCTGTATCCTCCTCATCTCCTCTCGCTCATGCCTACGAATTTTGCTCAGACGAAGATTTCGGGCAATCTTCTTCCACTGGTAAAAGTATCTGACTGAGAGGGTGCGAACACGGAACTCTCGAGCCTCCGCGAGCGCTTTCTCCTCCTCTTCCTTTTGTATCCTCTCCTCTTCTTCGCGATGGTACTTTTCAAAGGCATCTGAAACAATTTGCTCGACCATGAACTTTTCGAACTCATGGATCAAGCCATTGTCACCTTTCACGAACCATTTTGCAAAGTCGCCCATAACATCTTGCTTCGGCAACGGGGCAGCCACTGGTGGTTTGGGAAGAGGTGCAGGGGTAAAAGCCGGGGCCGGAGTAGAAGTCGTAGCAGGGGCCGCTGGGAAAGGGCTTGCTTGAGGTGCCGGTACTTGTTTAGGAGTGGGTGGCGTATCGCTTGGCTGGAAGTTGAACGTCGGCAATGGAGACTGACCTGATGGCGGCGCGGGAGAGGGTAGTTTGGGTAGCTGTGGTGTTGCAGATGTGAGGCCGCTGAACGGGCTTTGCGCGGGGGTTGGCTTTGGCTGCTCAATCGGAGGCTGTGTAGGAGCTGGCGCGCTTTGAGTAGGCAAAGGGGGTTGTGTCGATTCCGCTGGGTTCACAGGCGGTTGGAATGAGATGCCAGAGAAGGGAGATGCTGCAGATGGTGCTCCAGCTGCGGCTCCAGCGAAAGGGCTCGGAGGCTTTGAGCCACCGGACGCACCTCCCAGAGGAAACTGTGGTGTGGGTGGCGTCACAGTAATTGCTGGCGAAGAACTGTCTGTCGATGGTGCCGTTGGCTTCGGTAAGGCGGTCTGGCCGGCTTCCTGCGTCTTTTGCTGAGCGCTTGGCCCAAATCCAGAAGACGCAAACGAAGGGAAGGCGGGTGCAGAAGGTTTGGAAGCTCCATTCGGTTGCGCTGGTGGCGCGAACGGACTGCCGCCGAAGGGAGAAGTTCCAGGTGCTGGACTGGGCTGGGCAAACGGACTCGACTTCGCAGCGAAAGGATTCGGAGCAGGCGCTTCTGTTGATGGCGCTGGTGGGTTCTGCGCAGAGAATGGGTTAAAGGGGTTTGACGGCGCGTCATTCCCTTGGAAGCCGTTGGTTGCTGTGAAATTTGAAGTTAGCTTATGTTCCTCTCGTTCATGGGTATGCCCCCGCTTGTCTCGAACGCGACGATCTGGACGTTTTGGCGGCCCAAAACGCCTGGGTTTGCGTGGGTTGGTCGATGTGCGCATGATGTTAAGGTTACTAGGCCAATATTTTGGCTTCTAAGATTCCATGATAATGTTGTACTGTCCACAGAGTACAAGCAGTCCGAGGTTTTGACGGAGTTGACTTGCGAAGAGTAAAGCGGGGGCGATTTCGAAAAGGGCATTAAATGACACATAGTGATGAAGGTTGAAGTGATGGTAAGAGTGTTCTTTACCTTTGTCGAATGGTGACGCTCCTGCTGGATTGGTCGGGGTGGCTCCTGACGTAGCTGAAAAGGGAGACTTGAACACCCCGTTGCCGTTGGCCACGGGCTGAACGGGTTTTGGAGCAGGTTTAGATGCATCGCTGACAAACAGACCATTGTTGTTCGAGGCAAAAGGTGATTGTTCTGCGGGCGATGATTCGTCTGGTATAGTGCTGTGTATGACTTCCGGAAGGCTGCGTGATCCTCGCTTTCGTTCTACCAGGTTCCGGGAAAAGCTGTGCTGGATTCTAGGCCAGGTCAGGCGGCTCGAGGTGTCTAGGTACTGGACCAGCTCGCCAGAAGGTGATTCCCCATCCACAAAGGTCAATCCGTGTTGTTCGGCAAACTCGACAGCCTGGGCCTCCGTGTCAAAGTTGAGGAATCGATTAAGTGCTGAAGGCGTGATGTCTTTCGCTCCGTGCCTAGGTCGGGTATACGCCTTCTTCAAAGATCGAAGTGCCGAACGACGTAATTGGCCAAGATGAATTTCTGCGAAACATGCCATCGTGTAGGATACTCGGCGGCTTTCGACAATCTTGAAATAGGTCCGGTGCGCAGCCGATACTGCCATAGACGGTGCAGAGCCAAGAGGCCCGTGGAAATCTGCAGAACTCTGCAAGCTTTCCACAAGAGACACAGCTGTCCTGATCTCGTCCGAATCTGCCCAAAACCGCGAGTCACCCCATTCCTTCTGAACGTCATCCAGGATGTTTGGCTTATTCGCGCTGAAAAGCAAGTGATAGGCCCTGAACTCGGGTTCGTTTTCGCAAATCACGCCGTGTGGTTTGCAGTCGTCGTATGCGAACATCAACGAGAGCAAAGCCTTGCCCAGTTGTTCGATTTCCTGTTGTTCTGAAAAGTCTTCAGGCCTGAAGCCTTCCTGAGAGAGCAAGTGAAGCGATGTGACGTGGAATCTGGCAATCGTCTCGAGGCAGTAAACTTGGTCCTTCATTTCTGCCGGAGCCATTGTGGAGTGGAAGATGAAGTCGCGCCGAATGGCACGCGTCCTGTCCCATAGAAAACCATGCAACACAGGAAGGTTGTCGTCTGTTTGTAGTAGGTCGTCGATCAAGTAGTCCAAGGTTTTCCTCAATGCCGCCGTAGATCTGACGTCCATCGGTAGTGGAGCTTCCTGTCCAGCCGCGGATCGAGCAAGCTTCTTCACCATCTTTGAAGTAACAGCAAACGTCGTGGCTGAGTTCTTCTCGGGGAATTGTACGTCGAACTCGGTAATGCGCGTGATTTTCTCGAAGTCGGGGCACATGGCGTCGCAAATGCCTTTGAAGTCGATCGCGTCTTCTAATCGCTTGGGTTTGTCGGGATCGTCAATCAAGCCCGCGCGCATCAACGATGTCCTAGCACGATCGCGGTAGGTCTTGTAGTCTTCCCTGAACTTGGCCATCGCGGCCTTTTGCTTCGTGTTTCCCGGATCGGCAGGCCATTTTGGCGGCGCGATTCCATCCTTCTTCAGCTGAGCAAAGATCCGCTCCGAGTACGGTGTGCCATCGCCGCCAGTGCCGCCGTTCGCATCGTCGGTCTCGTAGTCGGTAGAGTCCGCGCCTTTGTGGGAGTCAGTATTTTGAGAGCCGAAGCCACCACGCGACTGTGATGTACCAAAGCCTTTCGCGCCTCTCGTCGCGCCATTCGACCTCGCGCCTGCCGCCTGCGCGGTCTTCTTCTTCCAATCGCCGGGTGTGTTCGTCTTTGTGTTTTTTCGCCTGCGATTGTCGTCTGAGCTCGCGCCGTCGCCGAAGGGATTGACGCCCTTTCGCTTCGTTGAGAGGGTCGTCATTTCGACAGGTTGAGTCTTGTGGTTGCGTTTCGACCGCTTCCCACCGCCGGCGCCAGCCCCATCGAGGCCGGAACCGTAATGATGCTCAGAAGGCTTTCCTCCAAAGCCTCCTGATGATGATGCTCCGAACGGCGATGAAGTTCTGTCGGGTCTGCTTGGAGGAAAGGAGACCGACGTCATGTCGAAGTCGCGGCTGGACTTCAAAATGGAAGCAGCGAAGCAGCTGGCGTGAGGGTGGAGAACTGGGATGGAGCTGGCCAGCGTTTGCCGCGTGTTCGGCGCGCTTAGCCAATCGGCGTCTATTCAGACCCACAAATATTTCGAGGCGGGGTGTGTTTAATGCTTAAACACACGCCCGTTCAGGAAGGCGCTTTGGAATTTGCGACGGTGAATAAACGATCCAATTCACTGCTCAAGCGACTTCCAAGGTCAAGTTTAATTCGAGGGAGCTAACGACATTGACATATTTTACGAAAGCTCAGTGGGTACAGTGAGTCGAGGTGATCGAAAGAGGAATCTATTTGGGTGTCGTTTGCTCATTACAGAATCATCTCATGCAGATTATTCTGACATGAAATGAAGGGTATCTCGGTTTCAGCATCTAGATGGCGCTGAATGCCTCAGATATTCAGACTTCAACCCCGTCCGCTAACATGTGCCTTTCCACGCAGGCGAGCTGGGCCAAGGCCCCTTCTAATCTCGTCCAGCTGCTCGAGTCCACTCTGTGCCTTGTTCTTCTTGTTTGTCCTCTTTCCAGGCTTGGTGTAGCTGCCAAGGAAATCATCCATGATGCTATCAAAGTCACCTCTGGTGGGACCCGTGACACTGGACACCGTTGACATTTCCGAGACTGAAGCCATGTCGTCGCCGCCCATCTCACTTGTGTACTCCTCCTCGATCCTGTCGAACCTAGCATCCAGAAGTGTGAGCTGTTCTGTCCTGACCATTGATGATGAGGTCATGGAGTAGGTAGAAGGGTTCGTGAGGGCACCCTTTCTCTTCTTCTTACGGCCGCCCATCGTTGTCGTTGTCCAGATGGAGGACTGTAACTCAGATGGAGCAGCCTTGGCTTGGGGCTTGCCCTCCTTTTGATCCTTCTTAAACTTCTTGAAGTCCTCGAGCCAGTCTTCGTTCTGATGCTCTGGCAGTGCCTCTCCCTCGACCGCAGCAACAGGAACCAGCTCAGGCACGCCGTCCTCCTTATACTCCTTGTTTGGCTTCGCCGTTGCATCTGATTCCCAGCCGTCATCGTCGTCATAGTCGTATTGCTCCTCGAACTCATATTCGTCGATCTCCTGATTGTCCTTGGCCAGTTGCTGGAAAATGTCATCATCCTCATCATCCACGAACGCCTCGTCCTCCAGTGCCTCCAGAACTTCACGCAACCGAGGATCCATGTCAGGTTGGAATCCGGCAATCGCATCGGGTATGTTTTGCTGAGACTGGTAGTTCATGCGCGAGAGGTTCTTTGACGGAAGGACGGACTCGTCGAGGATGGCCTCGCTCCTATGCTCGAGATCCATCTGGCGCAAAGCGTCCTCGAGAGATTGCGGTTGCTTTCCCTTGCCCTTGTTCGCTGTGGCTGAGCCCTCAACCCAGACGGCCTCGCCACCGCCCTGGTTGAGGTCGCGCATATGCTGCATGTAGTCATACTCGGTGTCGTCGTAGTAGATTCCATACTCTGCGGCCTCGCCCTCATTGTCTCGAATGCTAGCGGCATCAGACCCAAGGTCGGATGCAAGATCGCTCAGGTGTTTGCCCTTGTCACCACCGCGCTGGGCGACAGGGTTGAGAACCATGGACGGCGCATTTTCGTCGTGGATGAGCGGGTCATTTTGGGGACGGTGGACGAGGGTGAAATGCTGCGCACTCTTCTTGTCGCTATGAAAGGGAAAGTCAGTCCGAGGCGCACATCTTCAGAAAACAGACAAAGACTCACATCCACTTTCCCTTCGCCATATTTGCTGATGTTGATACTTCGTGGCAATCAACAAGCTAGTGGTGTCGGGTTTCCGGGCTCAAAGATTGAATGTGTGGGACGAACGGAAGTACCCCTCGATCGCATGCGCACCTGGACGGGCCTCGAAAAAAAAAAGTCCCTTGGTGGGATGGCTTTTTTCTGCGCTTATCGTATGTTATCGTTCTATCGATAAGAGTCCAAGCGGCCGAAAAGGGTTTTTACTTGCAGCGGGGGACTTTTTTGCCCCGCGACCTACGCCATTAATCAGCGGGGCATTGCATTCTCTTCTGACCGTTTGCGACGGGCTCCCACTTTCTACTATTACTCATATTCAACTCGCTCTCTTGAGCAAATCCTATTTTTTTCGTTGGAATATCATTCGAGAAACACCGCAATAATGGTTCTCGCCAAGTCGAAGAAGACGTCCGGTTTGGGCAATGCCCTCATGAACGACCGCTTCGGCAAGGGTCGTGGCACGGACAGAAAGAAGGGCTCATCCATCACGCGAGTGAACCATGCCACCGGAGAAGAGGTAAAATGATAGCCCACAATCATCGCGCAATCATAGCAGTGTTGACAGTGTAATAGTACCTCACGAACGAGCGACAAGAGGCAGCATGGGTCAAGATGCGATCGGTCACGGAGCAAGGCGCTCTCGACGAATTCCTTGCGACAGCAGAGTTGGCTGGAACGGACTTCACCGCCGAGAAGATGAACAACATCAAGATTATACACACCGACCAGAAGAACCCCTATTTGCTTTCCGGAGCCGAGGAGCGGGGTGTGATTGCCAAGCAGAAGGCTCACAAGGGACGACTGACCGTACCGAGAAGACCGAAGTGGGATGCGTCCACTACACCTGAAGAGCTGGACAGAGCAGAGAGGGATAGTTTCTTGAACTGGCGCAGAGGTCTTGCTGAGTTGCAGGAGAACAACGATCTGCTGATGACACCATTTGAGCGAAACCTCGAGGTTTGGAGGCAGCTTTGGCGTGTTATTGAGCGTTCGGATCTTGTGGTTCAGATTGTCGATGCGCGAAACCCACTGATGTTCAGATCCGAGGACTTGGAACAATATGTGAAGGAGATCGACACGAAAAAGGAGAACCTCCTCCTCATCAACAAGGCGGATATGTTGACGCTCACCCAACGAAAGACGTGGGCCAAGTACCTGAAGGAGAACGGTATTGCTTACAGATTCTTCTCTGCATTCCTCGCAAAGGAACTTCAGGAGTCGATGGAAAGCGACGAAGAGGAGGAGGAGGATGAGCCCGAAGCCGGCAGCAGCTCTCAAGCCAAGCCCGCGGCGACGAAAGCTGAAGCTGACGAGGAAGAGTCAGAGAGCGATGACGGAGAGGAAGGTGGTGCTGAGACAAGTGCTGAGGCCGGTGCTGAGACTACACAAGAACAAGTCGAGCTCGAAGATGAGGACACAAGGATCCTGACGGTCGAGGAGCTGGAAGATATCTTCCTGAGCCATGCCCCTGAGAATGCCGGTATGTTGATGCAAGTGTCTCCAATATCAACAGAGAAGCTAACTGCCAAAACCTAGACCCTGGCCACAAGATGCAGATTGGTCTGGTTGGATACCCCAACGTCGGAAAGTCCTCCACCATCAACGCTCTGATCGGCGCCAAGAAGGTGTCTGTCTCCTCAACACCAGGAAAGACAAAGCACTTCCAGACCATCCACCTCAGCGACAACGTTGTGCTGTGCGATTGCCCTGGTCTTGTTTTCCCCAACTTTGCAAGCACCAAGGCCGACCTCGTTTGCAACGGTGTCCTGCCTATTGATCAACTGCGCGAGTTCACCGGCCCCGCAGGCCTCGTCACTAGGAGAATTCCCAAGCCATTCCTAGAGGCTGTTTACGGAATCACCATCAAGACCCGCGCAATTGAGGAGGGTGGCACTGGAATTCCCACTGCACAGGAGCTGCTTGCTTCTTACGCTAAGGCTAGAGGTTTCCAAACATCAGGTCTGGGTCAGCCTGATGAGTCAAGAGCTTCCAGATATATCCTCAAGGATTACGTCAACGGCAAGCTGCTGTACTGCGAGCCACCGCCGAACACCGTCGACGGCCCAGAATTCAACAACGAGCTCTACGACGCCGCCCACCTACCGGAGAAGCGTCGTGCGGCGCTGGCGGCGTCCCTCGACACCATGTCGCTCGTCGGCGACGACATCTCGATAGCACCCTCTGATCTGGCAGTGCTCCCTGCCGGCCCTAAGTCCAAGCAGATTGACAAGGGTTTCTTCGGAGCCGGCGGCAGCGGTGCTGGCCACCTTAAGATGCCATTCAGCCACAAGTACACCGAGCAGGGCCAGAAGCATTTGAGTGGGAGGAAAGCTCGTGCTATGATTGCTCTGGAAAACGGTGTTGACCCCAAGGACGTGCGCTTGTCCTCTGGCAAGAAGCACTTCAAGGGCGGAGCGAAAAGCAGGAAGGGCAAGAAGAAGGCCGATGAGGATGATGATTAGATACCAATAAAAACGCTGTCATGTTTTTGCGTCAAGAAATGAATGCCTTTGTCCCGTCCCGTTGTAGATCATAGACGAGATAAAATGAACGATGGCATGAATTACTGAGTATGGAGAAATAACGAGAAAGGGCTTCAGTGAGATGGTGCTGTAGGTACCGCGTACTTTTTAGTGGAGCCTGTCAAGCTTAGTTCGGGTCCCGACGCGTCTTTTCCCAGAGCATCGCGTAAAGTGCTTCTGCCACCCACCAGCACAACTCCAAGTTCCTCCAATTGCGCACCTTCACGACAACCATCGGGCCAAACAACCATGCCTGCACAAAAGACGATCACCAAGCCCGAGGAGGTCGGCGAGTCCTCAACTTCTGCGGCCAAGAAGGCTCTGACCGCAGCGTCAAACGGCGCCCCCAACTATGAGCTTCCTTGGTAGGATTCCATTGTCGATGGCAACGAGGCCACATGCTGATGCATTTCTCAGGGTCGAGAAGTACCGTCCCGTCTTCCTTGACGATGTTGTCGGAAACACCGAAACGATTGATCGCCTCAAAATTATTGCGAAGGAAGGCAACATGCCGCACGTCATCATCTCGGGTATGCCTGGTATTGGAAAGACGACAAGCGTGCTCTGTCTGGCACGACAGTTGCTGGGAGACTCATACAAGGAGGCGGTCCTGGAGCTGAACGCCTCCGATGAAAGAGGTACGATTGAGTTGGTGCTTCACATACGCAACCGCTGACATGTTTTCGCAGGTATCGACGTTGTCCGTAATCGCATCAAGGGTTTCGCCCAAAAGAAGGTCACTCTCCCCCAAGGCCGCCACAAGCTTGTCATCCTCGACGAAGCCGACAGCATGACATCGGGCGCGCAGCAAGCCCTTCGCCGCACGATGGAGATTTATTCCAACACAACCCGTTTCGCCTTCGCCTGTAACCAGTCCAACAAAATCATCGAACCTCTCCAGTCTCGTTGCGCAATCTTGCGTTACGCCCGCCTCACCGACGAGCAGGTCGTCAAGCGTTTGCTGCAAATCATCGAGGCTGAAAAGGTCGAGTATAGCGATGACGGCCTCGCTGCGCTCGTTTTCAGTGCCGAGGGCGACATGCGACAGGCCATCAACAACCTGCAGTCAACCTTTGCCGGTTTCGGCTTCGTTTCCGGTGACAACGTCTTCAAGGTCGTGGACTCGCCGCACCCGATCAAGGTGCAGGCCATGCTCAAGGCTTGCTACGAGGGCAATGTCGACTCGGCTTTGGACAGTCTGAGGGAGCTTTGGGATCTGGGATACTCGAGCCACGACATTATCAGCACCATGTTCAAGGTCACCAAGACTATCCCCACTCTAAGCGAGCATTCGAAGCTGGAATTCATCAAGGAGATTGGATTTACGCATATGAAGATCTTGGAAGGAGTGCAGACGCTGCTGCAGCTGAGCGGCTGCGTGGCGAGGCTGTGCAAGATCAACATGGACCCGAAGAAGTTTGAGGCGCCGTCAAAATGAAACGGATAATCAGCAAACCTGCGCAAGCAGGAACTAATGACTTGCATGATATGGCGTTTGGGGATTTATGTCCGCGATACTTTGACAGTAAAAGCCATGGATTCAATATCCGGTGTTACACAGTAAAATGAAAGGATCTTAGAACATCTCTTGATATCCATCGATGGCCCAGGGCCTCGACTGTGAGGCCGCTTACTTCTTTTCCTCAGGGTTCTCGAGAAACTCCTGCTCAAACCTCTCCCACTTGGCTCTGTCCCTCATCAGACGCCTCTGCATTCTGATCCTGGCCTCATACTCTCGTAACCTATGATCGGCTTCCAGCATACTTCCTAACACCATGGCGGACATTTGTATGTAGCTGCCACCCACGTTAGTCCGTTTCCGAGTAGTATCAGCAGTGTCGCGTGACGCATTACCATTTAAACTGGATAGTGAGACCTTTATACAATGGCGAGAACTTCCATGCAGCTGCACCCAACACCGCAGCGCCGATGCCCCATCTTGCGGCGCCGACGACGGCACCCCGGGTAGCTTCCCACGCGGCGTCATTGGCCTCGGCGCTCTTCATCTGGTCGTGCGACTTCATCTTGTGCGCATTGCGGCCGGGACAGGCTGCGGAGAAGAGAGGGTGATGACGTCGGTGATGAGCTCCTCTAATCCGATAATGAGCCGATGAATTCGTGTGAATCGAGGTGCGCGCAGTTGGTAGCAGAGCTCTGAGAGAGAACCGCGAATCGTCGAGGAGGAAAGAAGTGAGATTCCCAAAATATGATTGGTGAGAATCGTACGATAGCTCTCACCCACAATGCTCACAATGTCGAAAGACCTTTTTACTCCATCAGTCCCCGAAGGTAGACAAGTTGAACGGCGAAGTGGGACGAGAGCAGACGCCGAAGCGCAACCCCTGCAACGTCCACCAGCGCGTCCCGATCTCCTGAGGCGGGTTCCATTCAGTGGGGGTTGCGCTCACTGAGACCCCGCCGATGCCGCTGACCCCAAGTCTGCAGGGGCCCTTGGCGCTATCAAAAGCTTATCAACTCCAACACTTTCCATGCCACCTCCTGAGCCGTCTCGAATGGCGCAAGACGAGTCTATTGCCGATGCTGAGAAGGAGGTGCTGGAGTTGGAAGCGCGTCTGGCCGCGGCGAGGGGCAAGTTGAAGAGTCTCAGTGGACAGAATGAGGATCACCCATTACCATCAAGAAGTCTCCCGAAACCATCATGTCAGCCACCCATCTCGCAACATCCCAAGAAGTTCTCACAACTAACACACCCAAAGCTTCACTCACAACACCAAATCACTATCACCTTCTTCTCTCAGACTCGGCTCTACCACTAGGCTCGTTCGCCTTCAGCAGCGGTCTCGAGTCCTACTTAGCGCACACCCGAGGCCGCTCCTCCTTCAACATCTTCCTTCCAGAATCCATCTCCGCCTACGCCTCGACGACGCTTCCCTTCGTCCTCGCAGCGCACCGCGATCCCTCTGCGGTCGCGGAGCTGGACGACTTTCTCGACGCAGCAATCATCTGCACCGTCGGCCGCCGCGCCTCCATAGCGCAAGGCCGCGCGCTGCTGTCCATCTGGGAACGCTCCTTCGCCTCGTCTCTGCCCCGCGATGTAGTCGAGACATTACAGCCATACGCGGCCATGTTAAAGTCTGCGTCGTCCAGACCGAGCGCCGATGAGTCTGACGACCCGCCGCTGGTGTTTACGCATCTTGCGCCCCTTTTCGGGGCCATCTGCAACTTGGTCGGGCTCACCCTGCATCAGACGGCGTATGTCTTCATGATGGGCCACATCAAGGCTCTGGTATCGGCGGCCGTGAGAGCGAGCATGTTCGGGCCATACCAGGCGCAGAAGGTCCTTGCTAGTGGACAAGTCCAACAAATCATCACTGCCGCTATCGAGAGGGAGTGGGAGACACCAGTAGAGCGAGCCGGGCAGACGATGCCCGTCATGGATTTATGGATAGGCAGACACGAAGTTCTGTATTCACGAATATTCAACAGCTGAATTCTTTCAGGTCGCAAGCCTGTGTCCCTCGATGTTCCATTATCAACGGGTATCATGATCGCTTTTGTCAATTATTGTACAATGCCCCTGGTTCCCACCATGCTCACTCATCGTCGTCGTCGCTGTCGTACGCGACTAACGGTCCCGCAGACGCGGCGGGTTTCGGCTTCGATGCCACCGCTACCTTGGCGGTGTTTAAGGCTGCCAAGGTGCTGCTAGAGAAGATGCCACCAGACAAGATGGACTGCTCCTGCGGCGCAGGCAGGGCGTACTGTGCCTGGTTCGCCGTATCGCCATTCTCAAGCATAGGCCGCTCCTGGTATTCTACCTCGAAACCCTCCCGCCCAACGGGGTTCACAGCGTTCGCGCCACGCGCGAAGTGAACCTCGTCCGGCGCCTCGTAGCCCTCGAGCCCGTAGCTGCTCTCAATCTTTCTCCTTTTCCTGGCTTCCGGGTCTTTGCCCTCAATCTCTGCGACGAACTCCGCTGGCAGTGCCCTGCGGATGGCCTCGGCGGCTTGCTCCTCGATTCGCCTCGCCTCGCGCGCCTGGGCCATGGGGTTCGGGTCGGCTGTCGCCCAGCGGACGTTGAGAATCTCTTCGTGGTCCAACGACTGGTGTGCCATTGCCTCCTTGGCAAATTGCGCATTTGCCTCGTTGGTGTATGTGATGAAAGCGACTCCGCGTGTATTGAGCACACGAACTATACATATGTTAGCAGTAGCTCAGAGAAAAAAAGGGTTTGGTAAACATACTTCGCTCAATTTGCCCCCATTCTGCGAAATGACGCGCCACGATTTCTTCAATATCATCCGTAACATGTATCCTTCCCACATAGACGGTTCGGTTCTGCCTCATGAAGCTACCAACACCACCCATGTCGTCTCTATAGTCGGAATGCTTGTCTCGTCCAAAGCAGTCCACGTTCGGGTTGAACAGGTCGTGGATACCCGGCAGCCGGTGCAAGTATTCGCAGTCCTGACCCTTAGGACAGATTCCTCTGGCAAAGAATAGACAAAAGTAGCTCCCAGTGACCTTGTCGGCCCTTGTGTATCCGCTGTCTTTGGCAACATTGCAGCGTCCCTTTGCGTGCGTCTTGGACAGGTACTTGTCTTCGCGGTCACCGCCAGACCACTTGTTGTACCAGATGTTGAAGATCGTGCCGGTCTGCGGCGGGGGCTCGGAGGTGATGAAGGAAGGGTCGACCTGCGGACGCGCCGGGCGCTTCTTCTTGCGGATGATCTTCTTGACTTTCCTCTCTGCCGGCGCGGCGACTTCGGTGTTGGTCGTCGTCAGCGCCGTTTCTTGTGCCTCGGGCGCATCGACATCTTGGGTTCTGGAGACGGCGACTTCTTCGTCTGACATGATTGCGTTTTCGTATACTCGAACTCGTGGATTCGCAGTTTGTGATGAACAGGACGTCGAGAGAATGTTGTCGCAAGATGAATTTCTAGGTTCGCCGCGCGACGCATTAGGTAAGCCTCACCGCGTTCTTCAATGTGTGGCGCAGTAGCTGTGGTTAAGGGCGGTGAGTGGGACCCATGCCGGTGGAAGCAGCCCCGCGGTAAATTCTGCCACGGCCATCGTCTTCCCACGCCGGAGTGTGGCTGCCCCACCTTGGAACCTGTGAAGCCTGCATCGACCCGGCGTAGACGCTCTCTTCGTGTCATCTTTGAATCATTTTAGACGGGGTTTTCGGAGTCGTTAGACTCTGAACAGATAAGCCGCCAAGATGGTCAACATTACGGAAAAGATCAAGGAGTATGGCCCCCATGCTGAATCAGTACGAGCAGGAAAACTGACGTTGAGGGACCAGGATTGAAGATGAGATGAGAAAGACGCAGAGTAAGAGCACATTCACTCAATGATGGGGTTTTATTTTCGGCAAATTTTCATTTTCGTCCGGGCAACCTATGGCCGAGCAGTGTTGTTCGAAGCACTGCCTGAAGCAGTAGCGCATAGGGATGGTTCTCGGAGGGGTTGAAAGTGCTGAAAAGACCAACCATGTGTTGTGCATTATTCAACCAAGACATTTACTGACATTTTCTAGAGAACAAGGCCACTGGTATGTTTGTGATGAACGTCGCATTGTCTGAAAGCCATTAACCACACCCTTCCAGAATATCATCTGGGTCTTCTCAAGGGGTAAGTTGCCTCGCAAACCTTTCGAAACTACACCACTAACAGTGGACAGTAAACTCGCACGTCTAAGAGCACAGCTTCTGGAACCCGGTCCAGGTTCAGGCGGTGGTGGCGGCGCCGGCTTCGACGTCAGTAAAAGCGGTGATGCAAGAATAGCTCTTGTCGGCTTCCCCTCCGTCGGAAAATCCACATTCTTATCAAAGGTCACCAAAACGAGGTCCGAAGTCGCATCTTATGCCTTCACAACACTCACAGCCATCCCCGGTGTCCTTGAGTATGGCGGCGCCGAGATCCAGCTGCTCGATCTGCCCGGTATCATCGAGGGTGCCGCCGAGGGCAAGGGTAGAGGAAGACAGGTCATCTCCGCGGCCAAGACCAGCGACATGATTCTCATGGTCCTGGACGCGACCAAGAAGGCGGAGCAAAGGGCCCTGCTCGAGGCCGAACTGGAAGCCGTCGGCATTCGTCTGAACAGAGAACCTCCGTAAGACTCCCACCTTCACAAACTTCTTCCAATCTAACCCTTCGCAGTAACATCTACCTCAAAGCAAAGAAGGCCGGCGGCATGAAAATCACCTTCCAATCTCCTCCAAAGGCCATGGACGAGAAGATGATCTTCAACATCCTGCGCGACTACAAGATCCTCAACTGCGAAGTTCTCGTGCGCGACGAGAACGCTACCGTCGACGACCTCATCGACGTCATCATGAAGGACCACCGCAAGTACATCAAGTGCCTGTACGTCTACAACAAGATCGACAGCGTCTCGCTCGACTTCCTCGACAAGCTCGCGCGCGAGCCCCACACGGTCGTCATGAGTTGCGAGCTCGACCTCGGCATCCAGGACGTCGTCGACCGCTGCTGGCAGGAGCTCAAGCTCATCCGCATCTACACGAAGCGCAAGGGCATCGACCCGGACTTCGGCGAGGCGCTGATTGTGCGCAGCAACAGCACCATCGAGGACGTGTGCGACCGTATCCACCGGACGCTCAAGGAAACCTTCAAGTATGCGCTAGTCTGGGGCGCGAGTGCGAGACATGTGCCGCAGAGGGTGGGTTTGGGACATGCCGTGGCGGACGAGGATGTGGTTTACATTGTGAGCGCTTGGAAGGCGTAGACAACATGACACAAGAGCATACGAATGGGACGAAGTGGTTTAGTGCGTGAGGAGTTGTATTTCCTGCCCAGGCGAAGCTGCATAAGGCCAGCCGATGAATACAGTCCCTCCCAGAATTCTAGCCATTAAAAGAACTAGAGGAGAGACAGAGAAAGAAAGAAAAAGCTGATGTCGTTTCGTGTCATGTCATGGTACAGTCCCTTTATCCTAAAGCAAGACAGTGGTACCCCCGTTGAACGCCGATGCCCCAGGCCCCTCTGAAAACATCAAGAGGAGGCCGCAGGTTCAATAACCTGCCAGAAAGAACCGTGAAAACAACCCGAGAGAACCCATCCCATCATCAAAAGCTTTTGTACTTTGGTAAAGAAGATGCGACGAGTCGATTTCAAAAAGCGTTCTCCTTGGGTGAAGCGGTTTTGGAGCTGAAGAGGTTGCTGCCACCAACCTTCTTGGCGGACGCCTGGGCAAAGAGAGACTTGGGCTTGACCCTGTGATGAAGCGATTAGCATCACTGCTGGATCGAATGCTTGGTGAAGAAGAAGAGCGACTTACTTGCCAACCTGCTTGTTGCGGAGGGCGTTGAGCTTGGCGGTGCAGGGGCTCATGATGTTGTCAGAAGGGGAGATGTAGTCCTTGGAGCTGTTGTCGCAGTGGTCAGCACTGCAGTCTGGTGTTGTTGAGGTCGAGGGCTGTCCTACTTCTCCTGAGCCATCTTGTCCTGCAGGACTTGGCGGTGGTATTCCATGCTCTTAACCTCCTTGGTGGCCGAGTCGGTCTTAGCGACAACGGGCGTGTTGGTGGACTTCTCGGTAAGAACGTTGGGAGACATGGCTGCTGGTAGACTGTCTGTTGATTTTCTAGAAGGTTGATGTATGCTCGGTGCAGCAAGTTGCAGAATTGTAGGTGGTATTGGCGATGCGATGCAATTGATTTGTGTGTGGCAGGTAGAGCTTGAAAGAGGCGCAAGACCGTACGTAGGGAGATGTGGATTTGCTTGGGGTGTGGATGGGAAATCGGGGCCAATGCAGAATGGGAAGAAAGGCTTTGTATTTGAATGCGAGTGGTTATGCGCTGCGCACCAGGTCTGCCGTGGAGTGTTTATGACGTTCGTGAATGGATGTGAAAAAGATGCACGCCTGGCCCGTGGAGTAGTTGCTGGGCTGTAGAAGTAAACGAATTTTCGGGCAGTTGACAGGGCAACCAGGGAAACGAAACGGTCGCGCTGATGTGTCGCCGGTCGTGGTGGACAGGGGTTCAGGGGGTTAAAGTGGAAGGAGTTTTGCTGGGTGGGCACCTACGGAATGCGAGTCTCACTGGGCTTACCGGGAAGGGGGAGGGAAGTTCTTAGCGTTGTCAGGCCTTCTGCGGAAGGATGCCCAAGGTCAGTTGTCCGTGTGATGGTGCGCTGTCAGGTTTTTCGCCGGTTCTAGCGGGCTTCCCAGGTAACCCCGTCACCCCCCTGGGCCCTCCCGGCGCGCGTTGCTACCCGGATCCGACTCGACTTGTTCTCGATCACAGCCTGAGGTGTTCGTTCGGTGTTGTGTTGTGTTGTGCATTGCATCTCGTCTCTCTGTGGAGTTGCCTTGACCCCTCCTCCATCTCCTGCTAGTGGAGATGCGAAAAGAGTCAAGCATCCTGGGAAGGGTTGCATCTGTGTGTACATCGCAACCAGTCAGTGCTCCTGGCATGCGCTGGTCTCGAACTGTTGGGAGGACATCTCCAAGGTGACCGGCCTCGGAGCTTAATGCCGCATGGTTTATGATAAGCATCCCCAGAGTATGCATGGCCAGACAATGGGATCGACTGCAAGTGACTCACAGGAACGGCGGGCCAACGGCCAAAGGATCTACACGCGTTCCATTTCCAGTGGTACCTGTTTGTTGTACACAATATGCGATTCAAACTACATGGTAAAAGCAGGGGCTAGCAACCTATATTACAACTTGGAGCGGTTGATGTTGGCTCCGGGCTGGAACCTCTGGGTCTTGTATTGCGCCAGCAATTGGTCAGACTTCTGCTTCTGCCACTGGATCTTTTCCGTGACCTCCTTGCCCCGCTTGTTCTCGTTGCGGCCCATCTGCTGGAGATGCACCTCGTCGGGACCGTCAGCGAGACGGAGCGTCCTGATGTTGGCCCAGGAGCCGGCGAGGGGCGTGTCCTGGCAGACGCCGGCCGCACCGAAGGCCTGGATGGCACGGTCGATGACCGTCAGTGCCGTCTGCGGGACGAGGACCTTGGCTTCGGCAATTTCCTTGAGGGCCTTCTTCGGGCCGTGGTCGTCCATCTTAATGGCTGCGTTGAGGACAACCAGGCGCGCGGCGTCGATTTCGATGCGCGACTTGGCTACCCACTCCAGAATGACGCCGTGTTCCCTGAGCTGCTTGCCGAAGGGGGTCTTGGTCGGGTCGTTGATGCGCATCAGCATCCATTCGAGGGCGCGCTCGGCCTAGGAGGATGTGTCAGTCAACAATTACAGGTGTCGCTTCCTTCTGAACTTACGGCTCCAATGGTGCGCATAGCATGGTGAATACGGCCGGGTCCAAGTCTGCCCTGGATAATCTCAAAGCCGCGACCCTCGCCGAGGACGAGGTTGCTAGCGGGCACGCGAACATCCTTGAAGCTAATGTGGCCATGGCCGTGAGGGGCGTCATCGTAGCCGTAGACGTTCAGCATGCGGTGGATGGTAATGCCCTTGGTTTCCGCAGGGACCAAAATAACGGACTGTTGCTTGTAGGTGTCCTTGTTGTTGGGATCGCTCTTGCCCATGACGATGTAGATTGAGCATCTAGGGTCGCCGGCACCGCTAGACCACCATTTCTGCTGTTGTCAGCACTCCACACCTCCGCGCGAGCATCTTCAAAGCTTACCGAGCCGTTGAGGACGTATTCGTTGCCCTCCTTACGCATGCTAAGCTGGATGTTGGTAGCATCCGACGACGCGACATCAGGCTCCGTCATCAAGAACGCAGAGCGAATCTCGCCGTCCATCAGGGGCTTCAGCCACTTCTTCTTCTGTTCCTCGTTGCCGTACTTGGCCAGCACCTCCATGTTGCCGGTATCCGGCGCCGCGCAGTTGACAGCCTCGGAGGCGACCCTCGACTTGCCGAGCCATTCAGCCATCAGACCATACTCGAGGTTCGTGAAGCCGGGAGACTCCTTGTAGTGGCCCTTGGGCAGGAACATGTTCCACAGGCCGAGCTTCTTGGCCTTGACCTTGAGGTCGTCGACGATGGGCGGGTGGTGGTCCCATCTCGCGTCGCCCTGGCCGATCTGAGCTTCTAGTACGGGGTCGGCACTGTGTTCGCCGGCGTGTCAGCATCGTGGAGGATAGGCCTGAGCTGTTATGGAGGTGCAATTGTGCTTACGGAATGCATTCCTCCTCGACAAACTTCGCGACGGCGTCCAGCGCCTCCTTGGCGCGATCGCTAAGGCGATCCAGGACCTGGTGGCGAGCTGGTTAGCTAGCGAGACCGAGCTCTCCCCGCAGCGAGCACCTACAATGGCTGGAACTCTGGACGTCATCTTTGCGACACTGGGAGACAGATAAACCGATGCAGATGGAACGAAACTTTCTCAGGGTGGTTTATCAGGATTGGTTGCGGAGGCCAGGAGTACAGGAAATTGGTGGGGGAAATGATGGGCGTAACCTCCCTTTTGAACGGGAATCGTTTAGTATGCATCGTACGGTAGATGGATGTTAGGACGACCCGGAGCCGAGGTTGATTCTGGAGCTACAGGGACTCCAAAATGTGGGGATCCTGGGGTAACTGTCTTGACCTCCGCCTCCGCGTCTGAGAGTGGCCCCTCAGCGGTGGATGCCGCCAGATCTGTCTGCAATTGCTTGCCTTGGCTGTTAAGACACTCATTCAATTTGTCAATTCATGTTTGCGTGTCCGTTCGTCAAAGTGACACATGCTAACATATCCTAACAACAAGATTTTCATCTTCATTCTTGATCAGTGAGCAGACCGCAGCTAACTACCATCTATCATGCCCAATCCCGTCTCCAAGTCGAAGATTACTGACGAACGCCGTGGCTCGGCGCCCGGTTACCTCTAAATTCTCAGAGCCGCTGTGGCACCACTCTGGCGCATCAACCATGCGGGGAGGCGCCGGCTGTGCCGCGTCTCCAATGCCGCGTCTCCAATAGGAGCCTCCATAGTCCACTCCGGTGCCTCGGTGCGGCTTTTGGCACCACTGGGTTTCCGGTGGGATACTCTTTCGGATTTCAATCCCGAACCAACGTCCCGAACCAACAACCGTCGGATGAACTCATGCTTGTCGACGTTGATAGGCACTTCATGAAATTGAAACTTCGCTGTATTCTTCTAAATCAACATAAACCATCATACCGCATGATTTGATCTAAGTTTTGATCGCGCATGGACTCTGTCATCTATCTATCACCCGGTTTATGTATATAACGCCTTTCTATGTGCGGTAGTCGCCGTTGATAGTAATGTACTCGTGGCTGTAGTCGCAAGTCCAGTACGTAGCCTCCTTATCACCAGTGCCAAGCCTGACAAGGATCTCCAAGTCCTCAAGCTCCAGAATCTCAGAGGCTCTGGCCTCATCAACCATCTCGGGCTCGCCGTTGACCAGAAGCTTCAGCTCAGCGCTGCCGTCAGTGGGAATGAAAGAGACGTTGGTCTTCTCAGGAACGACCTCGGGCACATCAATGACGGCCTGACCAGGCTCGGAAACCAGAGAGTAACCAGTCGCACACAGAATGCGGCCCCAGTTGGCGTCACGGCCGTAGAGAGCAGTCTTGACGAGGGGGGACCTGGCGATGGTGCTGGCAATTTTCCTGGCAGCCTCCTCACTGGCAGACTCGACGACGCGGATGGTGACAAACTTGGTAGCGCCCTCACCGTCACGAACGATGAGCTTGGCCAGGTCGATGGAGAAGTCGGTCAGAACCTCCTTGAAGGCGGCGTAGTCGGGGGAATCCTGAGAGGTGATCTCCTTGCCGCCGGCAGCGCCGTTGGCGAGAAGGGCCATGGTGTCGTTGGTCGAGGTGTCTCCATCAATGGTGATGCTGTTGAAGGAGCGGTCGACGGCGTGCTTGAGGACCGAAGGCATGACGGCAGGAGAGATGGGAGCGTCCGTGGCGACAACACCCAGAAGGGTAGCCATGTTAGGGTGGATCATACCGGCGCCCTTGGTGGTTCCAGCAATGCGGTACTCGACGCCCGGCGAGGAGGGCAGGGTGAAGGTCTTGGACATGAGTTTCGGGAAGGTGTCGGTAGTGCAGATGGCGGTAGCAAAGCTGAGCCAGTGCTTGTGTGAAGAGCCCAGAGCTCCCTGGGCAGTCGGGACGTTGTCTACAATCTTTGCGATGGGCAATCTCTGTCCGATAACGCCTGTGCTCATGACAATGGTCGACGAGGCATCGCCAGCACCACCAACGGCCTTGTCAGCGGCGTGGGCCATGAGGGAGGCATCCTCAAGACCTCCCTTGCCAGTGACGGCGTTGGCACATCCTGAGTTGATGAGAACACTTCGGATGCCCTTGTTGGCCTTCTTCTTCAACAGGTTCCTGCTGAAGGTCACCGGGGCCGCCTGGAACTTGTTCTTGGTGAAGACAGCCGCCGCGGCACAAGGACGGTCTGAGCTCAGAAGAGCGAGGTCAGGCTTCGTCTTGTTTGAAGGCTTGACTCCAACCAAGATGCCAGAAGCCTGGAAGCCCTGGGGATATGTGCCCTCCGTCGGGATGTACTTCTTCTTTGCCGCCGGAATGCTCTCAGCGGAGACCGAGTAGCACCGCACAAACTGAGCCAAGTGGCCGGGAAACCTCTTGACGGGCTGCGACATCCTGTCAATTGGGAGCGCCCAAGTGATGCAACCAAGCGTAGGATATGTGCGGACTAAGCTCGAGAGCCAATGGCTCAGGATTCGGGCTGTAGAGGTTCTGGTCCCGTGTGAGATGTTCGTCGGAGGAGAGGGTTGTTAGTCACGAAAGAGATGAAAGATTTGGGTGAGTGCGATAACGGCAGCAACCTAAAAATTTCGGCAGGGGTGTCGCAGCGCTGTTACGCAAAGGCGGCGCATTGGGACCCAGGACTGAGTCCTGATCCTGGCCATGGACCCTGACGCTGTGGTCCAAGTCGGAGGGCCGAGTCAATATGACCGAAGCTTCTTTTTAAATCTCACATGTGGCTCGATGTTTAATTCCCGGTGTTAATTGTGAGGAAATAGAAATGAGATGGCTCCTTCTCAATGATACAGGAACTTAGAGCTCTCAGACAGAAGTTGACGGGAGTCTTGCCCATTCATGGCTCATGCAGGCGCGCTGCGCTGGACTTAACAGTGTTGGAGCGCTGAAGTCGGATGGCGGGGAGCGGACCCACTCAAGCTTATCGCACCCGTCGCGGTGAGCTTATCGCTCTGCGCAGACAGAAAAAATTCTAGAATCTTGCGTCTCGGTCCCTCCAGCTTCTCGTGTCGCGCGACCAGTTCAATTCAACACCAATCTACACCGAACGAGTCCCTGTCGCCCACAAATCAGTCACAATGCCGCCAAACAAGACGAAGACGATCAAGAACAAGCACGCCCAGAGGGGTTCCGGTATCAAAAATTCCAAGGAAGCCTCCAGGAGCGGCCCTCCCGATGGCATCGTTAGGAAATCGAAGGACACCCCGAAGGGGACGAAGCCGCTGAAAGGTAGCAAGAAGTCTGGCCTCGAGGCCCTCCTGAAGAAGCGCAAGAAGAAGGTCTACACGGAGAAGGAGCTCGACATTCCCAAGCTCAACACGATCGTCCCCGCGGGCGTGCAGAAGCCGAAGGGCAAGAAGAAGGGCAAGGTCTTTGTCGATGACAGGGTAAGGCATCTTGTGGCGCGATGACATTCTTATATAGCATTCGCTAACAAAAGACGAACAGGAGAGCATGAACACCATCCTCGCCATGGTCCAGGCCGAGAAGGAGGGTCAGATCGAGTCCAAGATGATGAAGGCGAGACAGATGGAGGAGATCCGCGAAGCCCGCAGGGTAGAGGCCGAGAAAAAGGAGGCGGAAAAGAAGTCGAAGCTGGAGGACACCAAGGAGTCCCTGCGCAAGAAGCGCAAGCGCAATGCCAACACCGAGAACGACAACAACATCAACGACATCGCCGTCGCCGGGTCCAAGGCCATCAAGCCCAAGAAGAAGAAGAGCGTGTCGTTCGCATAAATGCATCCGTCGGGCATCTTGCCTCTACATTAGTATCGGTCTTATTTTGCATCATGGGTGGCGTTCAGGAGTGCCGAAAACAAAAAGAACAGACTGGGCTGGGATGTGCGGCAGGGGACTTTCAACCCTTTTGCGAGTTTTGGTGGCGTTCAGAGCAGATACCACGGCGGATCTTGCCCTTCCGCATCAGCTTAATGCATTACCTAGGGCATTCTTCATCACGTCGGGTGGCCAACTAGTGATGTACATCTATCTTTATGGCGAGTCCATCTATTTGTCTTATTCCCTGTCTATAGCTCTGTATAATCTCCAGACACGTCTAAATGAAAGGGAAATGGCTAAATCTACACACTGTTTTGACGTTCTATGCAACCTTACTACTCCCGGACCTTGATCTCCATTCTGTGTTTTGCTGCATCAAAGTGGTACTCTGCGCTGCCATTGGTGACGGGAATTCCGTTCGTCTTGGGAGGCAATGCGTTATGATCCACGTTGAAAGCCATGTGGTTGAAGAAGTTTGTGACCGGCTTGGCGTGCCATCTTCCACCACCCGGCTCAAACCAGCAAAGGTGGCCGCCGAGAGAGGTCGTGCACAGAACCGTGTAGGGGTTCTTTTGGAACTCTTCGTAAGGAATGGCCTCTTCCACTGCAATCTGTCGGGTCTGTGAGCATGAAATCATCTTTTGGCGCATGGCGGGAACACTTACCGGATCGTCCTTGGCGTGAAGAGCGAGGAAGGGAACCCTGATGGCCAAGATGGCATCGCAAGACGAGGCATCTCTGTAGTATGCTGACTCCGTTGGGTAACCCCAGCTGATGCACCTGCGGCAGTCAGTAAAGAGTTGGCTTTTCACTAAGTTTTGACACATACTGGACTTCTCTGTCGAATTCATCGAGGTACGTGACGTTGTTGAGACGCTCGAGGTCTAGCTTGGTGTACTTTTCCATCGCCTCTCTGTGGCCGTTGATGAGTTGCTTCATGCTCTCTGCATCCATGTGTTAGTTTGATGTTGAGTTGTTTAAACCAAAATATGGAGAACTTACGGCCCATAACTCTCTGGTAAACCTCCCTTCCAATGAGTGTTCTCTTCAGTGCCTTGTTGGCGACCTCCAAGTTGAAGGGGTTGGAGCAAACGATAGCAGCCGTCAACAGACAGTTGGTACCCTCCTCACCGCAGTACTATCAAGTCAGTATGAGATACACACAAAAAGCAGTTAACAGCTCCCACTCACGTTTGTCAACATGTTTGCGCCAAGGGAGAAGCCCAGACCAAACAGAGGCCGGTTGGGGAACTTTTCTCTCAACCACTTGACCGTCTGATTTCAACATCGTGTTAGTCACTTCTCGCTCGAAAATACTGACGAGCAACCGACCTGTCTGAAATCCCAAGTTGCCCTTGCGTTGTACAACGTGCCGCTGGTGAACTTGCTCTTAGCGCAACCTCGTGAGTTGACAACGCAGATATCCCATTCTCCAGACTCGACAAGCGGTGCAATCGCATGTCGTAGGTAGATCTCATGAGATCCACCAGACAGACCGTGAAGCACGACCAGCTGTGGCCTTTCGTCGTCTGAAGGCAGTGCCGCGAGCTCATCGTCCTTGAAGTAGACCGTTCGGGGCGGGAGAGTCTCGTCCGTCTCCTCGAAAGGCTTCGTCACAAAGTCAACCGCAAATGTACCCTCAACAGCCCTGGAGTCGGCGTCGAACACATGGCGCTTGTAGTAGATAGGGGGGCCGTGTTGCTTCGTCGCCGTCCACATCGTTTGCACGTGGCCATTGAACAGGAGCGGGTTCATCTGGCACGGCGGTATGACCTTTTCGCAGACCTTGAGAATATCGGTCTTGGAGCCATCCTTCTCTTTCAGCGACAGAGGTGCCGGCGAATGCGTGAAGTTGATCTTGGCTCGACCTAGCCACTCCATGATTCGGAGATTTCGGGAGAGTGACGCTCGAGACAGATTGGCTTAAGAAGGAACGGTGAGTGGCGGGAGTGGCGCCTCTAGGTTGTTTTTGAAGGTTGGGGTCAGGTAAGACAAGCGCTCAAAAAGTCACAGAGTGATCAAAATGCAACCTTTCCTCAGAAAACGGGACGAAGTTGAGAGCTATCACGTTAAAATTATATATGGCCATGTGAAAATGGAGGACAGAGACTCAAGTCATGACGGTGGAGCCCCCAAGGGGCCCCCAAAATGCCCCGTAGCTTGTTTGCTACCGCTGGGACAAACACCAACGGCGGCAGAAAGGCAAGCGGACGACTTGTCTTCTTTTGGTGCAGCACCGAGGCTCATTCCAATGAGGTAGATCGGCACCGGGTTCACCGATCGCCCGTCCTGCAGAGAAGGAATTCGCTCCTATGCGAGCATATGTACGAGTCCCGAGAGCGTGGACAAGAAAAACTAGCAGTTGAGCAGCCCAAAATACAGAGGCAGCTCGAGTTGAGCCGAGGCACAGGCTACTTAGCCACCCAATTAGAGTGGGCTGTTGAGTCGGACATTTAACTCATTCTTGGCCGACTACGTAGCTTCAGGAGGCGAGCACTCCTAGTGTTCTCTTCTCGGCCAGTCGAGGCGATGGGTTCAAGACCATCAGTCTCAGTTACGGGCTTCTCGCCCGCTTCCATGAAAATGACAATCGTCGAATGAAAAGAAGACAGGTACTGCGTAGGTTCTGGCAACAATGTGTTCCAGCCAGGCGAGACGGGACCAACCCAAAGCCGCCTCGAATGTCATGGGTTCGGTGTCCCGTGCACCGGTCGATGACCCGACTACCTAGTCTCGTCTAAGTGGATCCCCTTCCCATGCACGTGTAATTATGTAAGGCGTGCAGGGGCTCTTGGGCATCTCCCGCCAGTGGTTCCTGACGTGAGCCTCGCGACCTGCAGGTGCGGCTATTGGACAGCAACCGCGTCGCAACAATCAGCCCAGTTCTTGTCGCAGTCGATTCAACAAGGCGGCCATCGAGACGATTTGTAGCGACGTCTGCGCCTGCGCTCCCTATGCAGTCCCAAAGATGACCTACCGGGGCTCCTTGCCTTCGGGGCAAGCCTTTAATGGCCAGCAGCACCTACCTCAGACATACCACGATCCGTACGGCAATGGCAACTCTAACGGCCAGAACCAAACCTTCCAGAATGCCTCCTATGGCAATCTCGGACAGGCGCAACCTTCCCATGGCAACTTCCATCAATCGCCCGTTCCTTCTCCCATTGTACCTCCCGCGCCCGCGCCGATGAACATGCAGCCAAACGGCTACGGCCACTATCCTCCTGCCTACGGCGGCAACTTCCCGCAGCAGCAGCAGCAACCGCACCAGCCGCAGCCGCAGCAGCACTATCCCCAACATCAAAGCCAACAGTCCTTTGCCCACAGCAATGTGATGAACTCCCCCTTTGTGTCTCCCCACGTACCTCACGCTGCTTTTCCTCCCCAGAATACTCAAGCAGTGCGATCGCCCGCCCTCGTTACAGCATCCGTGCCGACCCCAGCAGCGCCGACCTTCGCCGAGTACCCGCCGCACACGCCGCAACAGCCGCAACATCAAGCCCAATACCAGCAACACTTTCAGCAACCGGTCCAGCCGCAGCCTCGTCATCAGGTTCAGCAACAGCCGCAGCACGTACAACCGCAGGCGACGCAGTATGCCCAGTTCTCTCCGCCATCAATGGGTCACAACCAGAGTGTCCCCGTTCTAAATCAAGCCTTCGCGGAACCCTCGCAAGTACAACCGAGTCCAGAGCCCAACCACGCGAACTCTCCTGTCGTCCAACCTGCCAGGTCCCCCAGTCTGGCGAGGAAGTCGCCTGCCATATCGTCTATGAATTCTCCGGCGGTGTCATCGCGGGGTTCCCCGGCACTGTCCACAAAAGCGAGATCCTACGATACCACCGCGATCCTCATACACGTTGCCGAGGAATGCTTCGAGAAAGCTCACCGCGGCGTCCAAAAGGTCGCTGCGTCGTTAGCGGAGGAGCAGGTGCGCGAATACCAAAAGCTGATCACTACCGGACTCGCCTGCCTTGAGGCGGCTTTCCAGAGCAACCGTCTATCGCCGAGACAAGAGGCCCGGGCACGGTTGAGATATGCCTCCATTCTCTGCGAGGAGACTGAGAACCTTCAAGAGGCCGAGACGGCGCTCAGCAAGGGTATTACTATTTGCGAGAAGGTTGGTTCCACACAGCTCCGCCGTGCTGATCACCGTACTGATATACCCCTAGCATAGATACGCTGACCTGAAGTACTGCATGCAATACCTGCTGCTTAAGGTACTTTTTCAACGAAATCAAAAGGCGGCCTTCATTGCCATTGACAGAAACATATCCGACTCTCAGACGTGCGTCGCTCCCGTTATAGTGAGAACGTGGATATGCTGACTCATGGAACAGTTTCAAGCACCATCATTGGGTCTATGCCTTCCGCTTGCTGAAGGCTACATTCCATGTGCATGCTGGTACTCCTCCTGATGCCCCATTGCTGGAAAATCTTCGCTCTCTTGCGATAATGGCAATTGAGCGTCACGATAGCGCAATGGTAGTGTTTGCTTCTCTCCTCGAAGGTCTCGCACTGCTTCGGGTGATTCGGTTTGATACGATTGAGCGTGTGCAAACCTGCCTTGCTCAGGTATCGAAGTATCAATTCGACCCGATTGTTCGAATTCCGCAGCTAGAAATCTTGACATTGCTTCTCGATCTAGCCTGCAGCATGCACCAAAAGACGCCGGATATCTTGATACACAAGCTGAAGTCTCTTCAAGCGAAGCTGGATGACAACATGGGTTCTTCGACATGGAGCGACTTGAATCCTGAGATTCTGATCCCAATCAACAAACATTCGGCACCAGCCGCTATCCTGAGTGACGACACGAGCGCTATTCTCAGAGCAGGGTCATCGAGACACGATTACGTGGTGATGACGTTCATGAATAGACTCGAGATTGTCGTTTTGACGTAAGTCTCCCAGAGCTGTTTGCATAGGCGCAATGCTAATGCCATGCAGTTATACCTTTAGTGGCCTTGCCGGCATGTACAGACCTGGTCCAGAATCTAGGAGAAGTCACGAGTTCTGGAAGGAGGGGTTTGAAGTATTGGCGAAGTGTGAGTCTAAATGTGGTTCAAATTGGACTGTGTGCTAATTCGATCGAAGGGAACAAAGAAGTGGTGCCAAAGTTGTCTGGCTCGTCCCTGCAGGGGTCTATCGAGCAGGCCAAGTGGAGGACTGAGATGTTCTGCTATCTGCAAGCTCTGACTGGACTGTACTTTGCCACTCATAGCCAATGGTCTAAAGTCGAGCAGTGTGTGGCTCAACTCCAGCAAGCGATTACGCCAGCTGTCAACGACATTTTCAACATCTTCTCGCTATACCTTTCAGGAGTCTACCATCAAGGCACGGGCGACCTTGAGACCGCTCTCATTCTATTTGAGGACGAACGGCTGGACCTACTGGCGGGTTTTGGTAATTCCAGCGGCAAGAAACCAGCATACATGGAGCTGTGCATTCTCGCTGGTCTGAATCGTCTTTGGATTCTCCAAGATCCCGCATACCGCGATTCAATGACTTCAACCGAACTCTTGGACAAGTTGAGGGGGCACTGTATCGAGCACCAGGACCCAGACATCCGGACTGCTTTCAATCTTGTTCAAGCAACAGCTCAGACCAATCCTCCTCCGTCAATGCACCAGATCAAGACGAGCATCACAAACTCGCTGAATGGCTCAAAGGTTACGGGGAACACACATTGCTTGGCGATAGCCCTGAGCATCATGCGGTACAGGCTATTCGACAACGTGGTGGGAGAACAGGCTCTCAAGAGCGCGAAGGCAGCTTCCACGCAGGCCAAGCGGAGTGGGAACTTGCTGTGGATGAGTGTTGCAGATGGCATGTTAGCCGACTCTTTTGAGGTACAGGCAATGTTTGCAGATGCCGAGGCAGCACGACAGACGGCGACAGTGTATGCATCTTACGCGTTGACAGGCAAGGAATAAGCTTCGGTTGAGCTTCGTTTGTAGAGGGCATAGGATCTGGCGTCTGGAACGGTATTTGGTTTGACGTGAGTTGGTGGTTGTTTGGGAACGCATAATACCCCCCCACATGTATCGCTTCCGAGCGAAACGGGCGGCTACTGGGCTGATATCACCCATTTGATCCCGTCACAAAAAAATGCCCTTAATCGAATTCCAAGTAAAAATTCCCGTCCAGTGTTGCTCGCAGGGCTAAAGAGGTGAGGTTGTTTCAGACGGATCATAGATACACTCCGTTGCGTTAACAGCGTCCACCCCCACTTTTTATTGAAATTACGCACGTATAATCCCTATATATATATATATATATTTACTTAACGTTATATAGATATTTATAGTATAGTAATTAACCTATTCTAATAGCTTTAATTAATCTATTTTCATTAAATCTTATTATTTAAGGATATTATAATACCTTTTAAATACTACTATATAGCTTCGTAAGTAAATAATAATCCTTTTAGGTATTAATTATTTATTATTTATTACTAATAGTATTTAGAAATAATAATATATATAATAACTAGTATAAAATACTACTAGAGATCCTCTTTAACGCTCTATTTTACTATTAATTAGAATTATTATATTTATTAAAAGGGTTTATTAAGTTATTACCATTAAAGAAGTTATTAAAGAAGCTATTACTAAAGTTATTATTATTAAAACTAAACTTAAAATTAATAATTTAGTAGTAATTAAATCTATATTATAAAAAAAGTATATACTTAACTATAGCTTTTCTATTATTATAAAGAGCTCTAAAACTATCCTACTACTAAAAAGTAATAATAATATAGAAGAAATAAAAAAAAAATCTATTATACATAATTTAGCTTTAAAATACTTTACTTTTATTAATATTACTATTTTAATTAAACTTAACTTTAGTTAACTTAACTTCTTATTAAATTACTTAATTTATAGATAATATACCTATAGCTTCTTATTATAGCGCTAATAATATATTTATATTATTCTATAATATATTTAAGGAAGAGGATAATATAGGTAATAAAGAACTAACTCTACTATAAATCTAAGTTACTTATAGCTTAACGCTTAAGGTAATAGTTTATTTATTCTTAATTTAACTAGCTATATAAAGTTATACTATAAGTTTTTTTTCCTGTTCCTTAATAAATATTATTTTAGTCTTTTACAATAGTAATATAAACTTTTTATTAATTAATTAGTATAAAATAAAGTAATGAACTAGGTTAGTAATACCTCTATAAGTAAATTAACTATCATAGAAGTATTAGATATATACTTTATATCTCTATTATATAGTTATATATTTAAATACTATTATAACTATAATAATTAATAGTAATTAAGGTTTTAGTAATAGATTTAGTGCGTTTGGCGTATAATGTAGAAAAATACGTATTATAGCGTAAAATTAGCTTTTTTTTATGTTTTTGTATAAGCGGGGAAAAAAGGGGGGGCGGACGCTGTCAACGCAACGGAGTGTACTATGCAGTACGTACAGGGATCAGCATGGCAATTAAGGTCGTCCCGGCAGGTGGACCCGGTCGCGTCAATCATTGCGCGCCGTAGAACCAACAAAAAAAAAAATTCAAGACCGATTACAAGCCCACCCTCTTGCACAGTTCCCCAATGCGCCCCAGGGAACTCGTCGACAATCCACGCAATGTTCCGTGCGAACCGTCTGCGTATTCAAAGCCTCAGGGTATCGCATGTTTGCGTGTCCTGCAAACCATCTACAGCATCGCCATGTAGAGTTCGACCTCCCTTCCTCACGAACGCCACCCTTGCTGGTGGCCGAACGTACTCAGACGATGCCCAGGCACCAGATGCTTCCGAAGCCGCAACGGCCGACTCGACCGACGAGCAACTGCAGAAGCCAAAGAAGAAATCCAAGGGACCTCGCCGCCCGATGACTCCCCGCCGAATCACTCCAACGAAGAAGACAGGGACTTCGGATCAAACCCCGCAGGTCTCCACGGGCGAGCCGACTCCCGAAGTTATCATGGATGTCTATAAATCTTTACAGAGCCTCGAAAGAAGCTATCGTTCGATCAACAATAGGATGGCTGGCCTGCACAGAGAGGCGACAAAGTCCCCCGAAGACTCCGACACGACCGGGAAGGGGGAGAAGCCTATTCTCTATGATGCGTCGCTAGTGCGACAGACAAAAAAGCTGAAGGCCAAGATTGCCACGGTCAAGGGCACTTTGAACGTTCTGAAAGATGTTCTGGGCAACCAGCAGATCCCTCTCGAGAGCTTGACGAAACGACCGAGCGAAACAGCATCTTCGCCTCAGCCCGCCGGCTCGAAAGAGGTTGGAGAATCAGATGCGCAAACGAAACCACGAAAAGGCTCAAAGGCACCGAAGAGTTCAACCAAATCGCAGGGAATGTCGGAGCAAAAGGCAGCTGGGGAGAGAAAGGCGGTGCAATTGACATCGTTGGCCGGTCGCTTTGCTCTTGCGGCTGCCGATGCGTCAGCATCTAGCGCTTTTACCAGTTCCCCAACATCGAAGACACACGACGACGGAAACACTAAGTCGGCCGATCCTAAAAAGAAAGGGAAATCCAAGCGACCCTTGAATGTCGAAAGAGTCCATGCGAACGAGCTGGCCCTGCAACCGGTGGAGCAGGACATGCCTGAAGTACCAAAGTTGTCATATGGTCTTGATAGAGCCCTGTTCAATCCTGGGGTTTACCAGTTGCAAGACCCGCACTCTCGAGTCTACAACTTCGACCCCTACCTGGCAAACATCATGCCAATCAACGAATTTGACTTCAATGCGCTGAAGAAATATGTCACTTCTTCAAAAGACCAGACTTTGTTTGGACTTGCTTCAAAGCTGGAGAAGAGGTACTGCGGATCTACCTCGAGCATGACAGCGATGCTATCACACTTTCACTTCCTGCTTTCTGCGTGGCGGCCGATCAATGCATCGACCTTGAGCCAGACCTTCAGAGCCGAGAATTCCAACTTTACCCAAATCATGCGATCGCCAGCCGCTACATTCCTGCATCTCCGCGATGGGGTCTACTCCATCGATGCGGACAAGGAATTCGATTTTGCTAGCATCCTTAGTATGCTAGGAAAGTCTATGGAGAAACTTTTAACGCTACCACGAGACGAGTTTGAGAGGTATAGAAAGAAGAACTCGGATCAGATTACGGAAGAGGAGCGGAATGCTGAAGAAGCCTTTCACTTCACAACTTTCGGAGACTTTCTCATGCGCTCACAACTGGACGCTTATGATTCACGCTTGCCTGGCACCGGCATGTTCGACTTGAAAACTAGATCTGTTATCTCCATTCGGATGGATGCCACGGGATACCAGAAGGGTCTGGGTTACGAACTTCGGAATCGATTCGGTAACTGGGAATCCTTTGAACGCGAATACTACGACATGATTAGGTCAACGATGCTCAAATACTCTCTGCAAGTGCGGATGGGCCGAATGGACGGTATCTTTGTGGCATATCACAACACTCAGCGCATCTTCGGTTTCCAATACATCAGCCTAGAGGAGATGGACTTGGCTCTTCACGGTACAGAGGACAAACAGCTCGGAGACCTGGAGTTTAAGCTTAGTCTTCACCTGCTCAACAAGGTGCTAGACCGTGCCACCAAGCGTTTCCCAGGACGTTCAATCCGCCTTCACATCGAGACTCGGCCGACCAACCCTCCACTCATGTACATCTTCGCAAAGCCTGTTACGCATGAACAAATCGAGAAGATCCAGACGACTCAACATGCAGCGATTGCTGAATACGAGAAGGAGATTCTTGGACTCGTCCAGGAGGGAGAGCGTGAGCAACTGGAAGCTGAAGACGTAGATTCAGAATTGGAACAGGCGGCTGAGGAAGAAGTCGAGGCTGTTGTGGACGGAAATAGGAGTCAACAGCTGCAGACCCAGGAATTCTGGGAAGAAATGCAGGAGAAGGTGGATGCAGCTATCGAGGATGATGCCTTGGGTGTCGACCACGTGCGCGAAGCCATTCGCGATGCTCTTCAGCAAAGCGGGTTGCTAGAGGCAAGATCTCCCCAAGAAGCGGATACTTACGTCGATGCCTTACTCGGAGTTCTGGTCCGCAGCGCCAAGGATGTTAAGCAAACCAAATCCACGAACGTCGAGAGCGGGTCATTGGCAGTCGAAATCGATGCGGCAGGCGAAATGAGTGTGTCAGACAAGGCGACCACAACCGATGAGCTCACGGAGACTGCGCAGGCAAACGCGCAGGCAGCTGAGACGGAGCTGCTGCAAGACGTTGAGTCTGATGCCGCCGTCGAGGAGCAGGATTCAGCCGCACGCCGGTCTCGCGACACAAGTCTTAAGGAGCTCATTCTTCGCCTCGCCCTAAGCGTGGATGAAAAGCCCGAGTACGACGATATTCAAGCAGCCGACGAAGACGCAGTCTCAGACGACTCTAAGCTTTCAAACTTTGGACTGATTCTCTCGGAGCTTGTAGCCAAATCGAAGGCCAAAGACAGCGGTTTAACTACGAGAGCGGATGAGATCGACGCTCCAAGCAACCCCTTGACAAGCCCGGAACATTCAAGCCAGGAGACTGTCGAGCGCGGACCTGAAGAACAGGAGGATGCGGACGATGAGCTTTTGGGTATGCACTTGACAGTGCGGAACACCGTCAACGGAAATGTGGTGGAACGTCCGGTCTCCAAATCCGAGAGGCTTGATTGGCAACTAGAGTACTCCCTCGATGAAATGGACGTGGCACAGGCTCGGAAGCTTTACAGGCGCCTGAAAGACAGGCGAAGAAAAGCTCTGGAAAAGGGAGACGAGCACCGGGACACTGAGTGGTACAAGATGTTCAAAGGGAATCTGAAGAAGTTCAGTGATGAGGGTCGTCGATATCGCCAGGAGAAGGACAACATTGAGAAAGATTTGCCGGTTCATGTCTTCGGCAAGGATGAAGTCATGACGTACGACGAGGCGTTTGGATATTTGAAGGAGTGGAGGAGGCACCCGCACGAGGAGCTGAATGGTAACGAGTCGAAGGAAGGGAACGTTCTTGATCTTAAGGACGTCGGCGCGGAGGAAAACAAAACGGAGACTGAAGAGAAGCAATCCTCGTCATAGCGAATGCACGACAAAGAAAACTTGTAAACTCATTGTATATAATCACCTGTACAATAGAAGCCTGGGAGAATGACGATGTATCCTGGTTATTCATCTCTGACCATCACGCACGTGATTTGGCGTCCACACGTCTTTGCGGGAGGTTTGTCTTCTTTAGAGTAGACCTCTATTTTAGCTGTGCTAGAGCGACTACGTTTCCTATGAGCTCATGTGCACTCTACCTTACCTTACTGTCGTCGCCGTCATCACCTGTATCGTCATCGTCATCTCTGCTGTCGCCGTCTCTGCTGTCGCCGTCTCTGTCGTGATAGTCCTTTCTACTGCCGTCATTTTAACTACTATCTATAACGAAGGTATAATTCGAATTTTAGGTATGACGTATACAGGAAATCCAGCCGCGCAGTCACAGGAAAACCACGCGATCTCCCTTACTACTGAAGCTCCACTGGTCCTCAGAGACCAGGTTACCTTCAGAACGTTCAGGGCTTGTATTCACTTCTTGATTCGCAAACCACTAGCGAGAAACCTCCCAACCGAGTTGACAATACACGCCAACGTTCTAAACGCCACTTCTTTATGTTCTTCGCTCACTTCGCACTGCTCGTAATGCCAAGCCTCGGATGATTGGGTGCCGCCAAGGGTTCATGCACGATGCTGACGCTGACCTCTGTCCCAGCCTATTTGAAGCCTGGTCTCAGCGTTGTTTAAATCTTTCAACCGCATTCAGGCTTTTCGAAGATGCAGTCACTCTCTGTCACTAGAGGTTCTCGACTTTCATGTCAGATGCTCGAATCTATCATGTCTCCTGCGGTAGACTCACAACCCGACGAGGTTCAAGCACACTTGAGCAGTCCTCTTGTCTCTGATAAGCAAGAATCATCAAGGCATTCGTCCCGTCTACGAAACTTCCTCAGGAACTGGCAAAGACTGTCTTACATCTCAATCCCGACCTGTTTACCTGACATAGTCACTTTTCATCTCTGTGGACGCTGCCGCGAGCTTGAGGAGAGACTTCTGCGCCCACAGCTACCAATTATCAGTGTGCATGATCATGAACTGGCCGAGTTCAGATATGAACATCACGACTGGGACACTCTAAAACAGTCATCTGAAAGAGGCTGCAGACTTTGTCAGGTTTTCAGAGCCGGCTGTCTAACCCAGTTTCGGGAGAATTCCTCAGATAACAGGCTGGAGACCATGAAAGAAGTAGACAGCTGGATTCAGAGCCACGCGTCAGGACCAACCCTTATTGATGGTCGTGTCATAAGAAGAGCGCTTCGCCAGAGGTCCGATGGGCGCACTAATCTGGAGACTAACAATCCGACGCACAGCTGGGATTGCAGTTTTATTTCCTTCAGATTCCTCAGCTTTGAGAAAAGAGCCGGCTTTCTAATTGGGAATGATGAAGGCAAGTTCGTTAGTTATTTCTCCCGAGAAACAGACCGAAAGCCAAGCCTTCAAGGATGTCAAAATCTGATTGGACACAGGAAATACCTCCAGCTTACAAAAAGGGGGGTTCATGGCCAGGAAATGTGACAAAATTCCAGACTTGATGCTCGCTAAGCAATGGATTTCGCACTGCAATCACGACGACCACATTTGTATAGAGAGATACACGTCTGAACAACCAGATCAGAGCGAGAATCCCATACGTCTTCTGCAAATAGATAAAGATGCTCACCGGGTCCGGCTAATTCAAACAATTCAAGGGGAAAGATACGAGTACGTCACTCTAAGCCATCGATGGGGCCACAAGAAGACCGCATCAACCAGGAAGGAAAATGTCCACAGCCACGTACACAGAGGGATTCAGACGTTAGATCTCCCTGCAACATTCAGAGACGCTGTTATTGTGGCACATACTATTGGATACCAGTACTTGTGGATCGACTCGTTGTGTATCGTACAGGACGACACGCAAGACTGGGAGCTTGAGTGTCCTCGAATGGCATCCATTTACCAGGGCTCCGTTTTGACCATAGCGGGAACAGCAGCGATAGACTCTCATTCCGGTTTATTGAGAGAACGGGAGTTTCTTGGGAACCCTTCATACCAAACGAAGCTGCGATATCGCGATGAGCTTGGCAATGCCCAGGAGCACCTAACTCTGTACTACCCAGGACGACCCTCTACCCGCGGTGGTCCCCATGACACCTTCCTTGAGTTACCTGAAGACCATGCTCGGAGTTCAGTACTGCAAAGCCTCGGTTGTACGCTTCGCGACACCCTCTCTGAATTCCCCGAAGTGCCGGACCACAACTCCGTACTGCAAGGCCGTGGGTGGATTTTCCAAGAGGGTCTCCTTTCGCGCCGCACGCTCAATTTTGCTCCAGGACAGATGTACATGGTATGTCATCAGGGTGCACGATATGAGACGAGCCTTTATCAGGGGGCGTTCTCTCATCCTGAGTCAACTGTAAACCCAACCTATCCTCCCGTTCATGCAACAAGGTGGGAGACGGATTTCGGATATTACCGTTGGTGGAGGGGAACAGTTGCAAAGTATTCGTCGTGCCAATTGACCACCATCATGGATCGCTTGCCAGCATTATCGGGAATCGCAAATCGCTTCAAGCCTCCCGAGCCGGATCAATACCTTGCTGGGATATGGAGACATGATATCCTGAGATCTCTGCTTTGGAGGCGCAGAGGGAAGCCACACAGCGATGCACCTGCTGAATATCTTGGGCCCAGCTGGTCTTGGGTGTCTGTACCAGCCAGAATCGAGTTTATATACGTTGAAGACGGCAGTACATCAGTATCTTGTGCAAGTTTGATGTCCGCTGTTACAGTGCCAAAGGGAGTCGATGCCTACGGAAGAGTTGCCAGTGGAACGATATTGATTCGAGGCAAGGTATCCAAAATAGCCTTTGAAGAAGCTGTTCAGAAGGACGAGCAGTTTTTGAAGCCACGGCCTGTCATTTCCAGACCTGGTTGGTACGAGCCTCCAGAGTTCTATGTTGACGACCCCGGGTGGACACCTCCTGTATCTGGATCTGCAGAAGTAGATGATGCTCCTGACGACGAAACATACCCAGAACCCCCGAGATTTCTGCTCATGCTGATCAGCATTGTGCGGTTTATTGGTGGCAGGGCATACCTATTGGCTCTGGAGCGAGTGTCTGGGAAGGAGCTCATATACCGACGGCTCGGTGTTGTCGTCAGGAATCAGACGCGAGTCGACATTGATGAATTTGTGGAAAGCTTCGAAGATTGGGAAGAAACTGAGATAGCTATCATTTGACACAAGGGATGATCGAGACGAGATTGTTACAACCATAGATTGGCTTGCAGCTGATGAGTTCGAAATTCCAAATTCCATTCGGAAGGCTACTTCATGAATGCGAGTGGTCTAAAACACAGTGCCATCACTCTTGATGATGATGGGACTCGACTTCGTCTTCGGCCTCCGCTGCGCCGCAACCTCACGCCCGGACTTCCACGTACCAGCCTCCAGGAGTTGCGCCATGCTGAGCTGAACACCATCACCCATGCGGGGTTGGATCTTGCCGTACAGCTTGTCAATCAGCACCAGCGTCATGGCTCTCCACTCAACAATCACATCGTCTCCCGCATCAAACATGGGCAGCTCTTCACCCGATGCTTTCAGTCCGCGGTCGAGCGTGTCTTTCTTCAGGACAAGCACACCGAGATCGACGAACAGACCGCCGTTGCGGTATTCTGGTAGAGCGGTCAGAGAGTCTGCGTTGGTCCATTCCAAACCCAAGACCCTCTGGAACGGAACCATCAGGGAGTAAGTAAGCCATTGAGTGAGCTTATGGAAGGGTTGGATACCCTCTGCGGGGTCAGAGCTGCCGGATGTGTTCTTGAGAATGCTCAAAGGCCATGCGTCGCCAATCGGTGTGCCATTGATTGTCGTACGGTCCTTGGGCCAGCAGGGAATAAGAAGAGTTTGGAGGGTATCCCAGAGGAAGAGAACGTCGAGCTTAGCGGAGTCGCCGGCTGACTTGATCAAGCAGTCTGAAGTTCCATTAGTGGGGACTTACATCTAAGTTATGAAAATACGAGACTTACCAACCAGGTTACCTGGGCGGCCTTCAGCTCCGAAGACATCTGGGTGAGCGAGCAAAGAGCCTCCCAAGCTCCTGAGAAGCGCCGCACGAGAATCAACTCCCAACATGGGGTTGCTGTCAGACACTTGGAAGCCCTTTGCAAGCTCGTCGGTCTGGAGCTTCTGCAGCCCCTTGCCTATTCAAAACATGTAAGCTTTCCATACACAGAAAAATAAAGAGCCGTAGTGCTTGCCATCGACTATAGGAATGGATCCTGAGGTATAAGACAAGGACTTGAACATATGAAGACTGGCTACAGCGATTCCCTCACTACGCTCATAGACTTGATCGGTTCCGGGCTCTGTATATCTCCAGTGGTCGCCTGCACCAGCATCCAAAAGTACGGAGACAAAGAAGAGGTCGATGAGACGGCGGGTCACTTCAGTCTTGTCGCACCCCTCCTTCTTCCACTCCTCTATGATGTTGGCGACGCGGGGCACATTTCCGACTTCAAAATGTTGCCAGCGCCCGTGAGGAGGGATGGTGTCAAACTTGTCTGGGCCGTAATCACGCTTAAGGTGACATGTTAGTAGGAGACAAGACTGAGAGAATCGGATATCCCTTACTTTGATCACAGAAGCAACGAAGTCAACAACCTCATCCAGCTTATCTTCCCGAACCTCAAAGTGGCTCAGCTTGCCAGACTTGGCCGCTTCTCCCACAATCTTGGACCGATCGCGGACAGCCTTAAGGGAAAGCAAATACTTGACTTGAGAATCCATGGTGAATATCGATGAATGGTAAAAGGAAATAGGTTTGGATGAGATCAAAGAGTGTGAAGGTGGTCGTTCAGCCGCTGCAGCAGTGGTAAGCCGGGGAACCCCGCACTCATATAGCACTCGTGACAGGCCTGGTTCAAGCCACTTAGGCGGTGGATGTGCCTAGCAACAGGGCGCTAGTGACCTGGAAACACTGATGCATGCAAGGGATATCGGGAGGCTCCGACGAGCTTATCTCGATTACAAGAGGCGGTGGCCCCCGGGCAAAGAGGAGAACGGTCCACGACTCCATCAAGGGACAACATTGAACGTCGTGATTTGACTCGAATTGCATTACTTTTAGTCAGACCCCTTTGCAATGAGCCTAGCAAACAGTGGAATTGATCCTAGTTATTGACCTGGCAATGCGGGGTAGTGACGTTTCGAAGGCCAAGATGCATTACCATCACGCGCCGCTGAGCCCCGAAACGCGACGGATATGCATGCAGGCCCATGCAGACAAACGTAGCTGTCTTCATTAAGTAGTTTGTCACTGCATCAAGTTTGACAAAGACTAACTTCTCAGTCAAGCGTACTCAACAGCCAAGACAGCGAGAAACACGTTCCGGGTCACTGATAGACTATCGACACCAGTTGTTAACTTCAATGCGTGATAATATTTACGATGGCCCCAGAGGTATCTATACGACTGTTAGCAATGGCGACCCCGTCCATTTGAAGTGACGACAGACCATTGCAATGTTCTCGACCTATTTTTGACCAACTCCCATGATGTTCCTTTCCTTAACGCCTGCTTTGCATTACTGTGATATCCCATTGAGGGCAACTCGATACCGGTAAAAGCGATCAACATCCCTGAGCCATTCATCGCCTTGGGAAACCGGGCGGGTTGAAGCCCGGAGGCGGCATAAAACCCGCAGGAGCGGGAGGAGTTCCAGTCTGGCCCGGAGGAGGGACGGGAAAGTTAGGCGGAGGCGCAGCGAACCCTTGAGGCGGAGGACCGCCGCTAGGAGGACGGAACCCGGGGGCGCCGGGGTGGAAGTCGGCAGGGTTGGTGTAACCACCCTGGCCTTGGGGCGGACGTGCTGGCAGACCGGACGGAGGAGGCGGGAGGACGTGACCACGACCGGCCCCGGGTCCTCCCATATTGTGCGGCGGCGGCACCGCATTGTACTGCGCAGGTCCTCGAGGGGGAGCGAATCCGGCAGGGGCCCCAGGATTAGGTACGGGAACTGGTAGACCGTTCGAGGGGTCGAAACCGGCGGGCGCAACGGGTACGGCGCCTGCAGGAGGGCCATTCCCGTTCATCAAGAAAGCTGGCGGTACTGCCTGGATCTCGGGCACGATGTTCCTCTTCTTCGCCTGTGCAGCCAGTTCACGCTCCGCTGCATCACCATGCCTCTCGCCCTTTCCGTCCTTCTTGAATGCATATTGAACCGAGACTTCCTTGCTGGCAATGTATTGTCCGTGCAAGTTTGCTATAGCTGCATCGGAGCTCTCGAAGTCGGCGTACGAAATAAAACCGAAACCCTTGGAGTTGCCACTGTCTTCCCTGGCAACCTTCGGCAGGCTGACCAGCGGTCCAAAGCGCGAGAACGTGTCGTACAGAATCTTTTCGTCGACCATAGGATCCAAGTTACCAACGAAAAGCTCGGCGCCAACTTCTGCCTGCTTTTGCTTGTCGGCACTGGCTTTGTTGACGCGCAGCGATTTGCCATATAGCTTGATACCGTTCATCACGTTCGCGGCGTACTCTGCGTCTCCGGGGGTGCGAAACTCGACGAAACCGAAACCTTGATGATTCTGGGTGACGCGATCGCGGGGCATGTGGATGTTGTGAATGGGGCCCATCTGGAGCATTATCTCGTAAACCATCGCCGGGCTCGCGCGCTCGTCGATGTTTCCGATGTAGATGGTCGCATCTTTGTCCTGTTCCCTACACAACCAGATGGTTAGCTTACTTCTCCATGCGCTTGGATCGAGACGCACCAATGCCTGTTCTGCGCCATTTTGGTTTTCTGACACTCCTAGTGCGATCAAGAACCCAGAGGTAAAGAAGATGAAATGCGTGGGTAAAGGTGTGTTTGGGCGAAATGACAGCAGTTGGCCAACCTCCCGCCTGGAAATTTTGGCCTCGACATGAACGCGGTCGAGCTGCGAAAAGGTACGTACCTTATCGCATTGCAAGGTCCGATAAGAAAGCTTGCGTGGTTGTTCCGGCCCCACTGGAGTCGCGAATTTTCCGGTGAGGCAGCTGAGAAAAAGTTCAGGTCCAGTCCAGCGCATCCACCATCGCCCGTCCGAACGCACGACGACGAGACCCCGCGTATACAGGCGAATACCCCCGTCGAGCACGAGACTTGACCGGATAGACCAAAACTTCACACGTCCAAGTCTGATACCGCCGTGAATATGTTCGCCCTCTCCGAAGAGTCCAAGGTACTACAGCGCCCCGCAGCTTGCATGCCGTCGCATCAAACAGAAACTCATCATCGATTCTACAGGAGCGCATTGGCAAGATCATTGAGATCTCCCGCGTCGCCATTCACTAGTATGCTTCCATCACATTTCCATGACTTTTGACCAAATTACTGACAGAGCTGTAGTGGCTACCTTCCCTTGATCCTCTACCTTGGTACGAACGACATGTCGAACGATAGATAACCATCGACCTGAAACTGACTTTCCAACCACAGGCTACACTCGCAGCGAGCCTCGCCCGCCTTTCATTCGGTATGCTTTATTTTCACGGTATTTGTCGCTGACTTGAAAGCTAACCCTTCGCAGCCTCCTGTCCCCCCTCTCTTAAATGACAAGCGGCTCGACGTCAACTTTATGTACTATACAAGGCTTTCGGAAAATACCTTCAGGCAAGCTGGTATTTCAGGGATGAAATCATGGATATCCGGCTTGGAAGGCTTGGGAGGAGAAGGCCACGGCCTCGACGAACTGTACAACTAGATATGTAATCGAATGAAACCTCTCTGACGACCCAGACGTTTTCCCGTATCATGGATTGGTCTCAATGCAATGGGAGTGAGCTTTCGAACAGAAATCTGGAGTTGGGGCCTGTCGATCGACCCTAAGTCGGAGACCCAGAAGGACTCGATCTAGGGGTCGACTGCGCTTCATTCCAACAGAGCAAAGATACAGGATGGGCAGGCTCAAAAGCAGGTCAACGTGAAGAACAGATCAGTGGGGCAGAAAGGAAACGCTCCGTAGATGAGCTATTCTGCGTACGCCCTCAACGCCGAAAACGTTGTATTGGGTAATGCGCAATTGATGACCGAGGTGCGCCTGTGATTTCTAAGCCTTCCGAATGTAAGAGATCGGCCCAAACTGGAACATGCACCCATCAACACTGCCGTGACAGCTAGAGTCACTGACGTCTGCTTCCCTCGTCACGATGAGCCGTTGAAGAAGTCGGTTGTGGCTAGAGCTCCAACTATCGTGGCGGAGCCGCAATTTTGCGAGCTAAAAAATGACGTAGCAATTTTTTGTAAGCTGCTGTCAGCCACACTAAAGCTTCACTCACTCAGCTACCATCTTCAACTTCCACCTCGAGAGCCGACGTCGATAGACTGCACGAGGTGGGTTTACATCTGCATTTTGAAATGTGACGGAAGGTCTCGTTTCTATGTCAGACAGCAAACATGCGGGCCTCTCACCCGCGCTCGTCGAGTCCATCGCCGGACTCTCGGCCGGCTCAGTCGCGACGTTGACGGTTCATCCGCTTGATATCGTTAAGACTCGGATGCAAAGTAAGTAAACCCCTTTTTGAGATCTGAAATCACAGAAGACTGACTGAATACGCAGTCCACAGAAGCACTGCCGGAACCTCGACCAGCCTGACCACAATTTCCCTCATCCGCAGTCTCACCCAGAACCCGCGCCCCATCGCATCCCTTTATCGCGGACTGACGCCTAATCTCATCGGTAACGCCTCAAGCTGGTCAGCGTTCTTCTTTTTCAAGAACCGTGTTGAGCGCGCCATTGCGTACTGGAAAGCCGGGCCGCTTGCGACCTCACACGGCTCAGGCGCAGACTCGCGAAGTCTGACGAAAGAGGTGCTCTCAACGCAGGACTTCTTCCTCTCATCCGCCCTCGCCGGCGCCCTCACCCAAGTCCTGACGAACCCTATTTGGGTGCTCAAGACACGCATGGTATCATCTGATCGCACCGCCGTGGGCGCGTACTCCAACATGTGGTCTGGGGCGCGCCAACTGTACATGACTGAAGGGTTGAGAGGATTCTACCGAGGACTCGGAGTGAGCTTGATCGGTGTTTCGCATGGCGCGGTACAGTTTGCTGTGTACGAGCCTGCAAAGAGAATGTACTTTGCCGGCCGGAGGCAGAAGGGTGACAACGGGGGCCGGCTAAGCAACGAGGCGACCGTTGTCATCTCGACAGTATCGAAGCTTGTGGCCGGTGCTGTTACCTACCCCTACCAAGTCCTGCGCAGCAGACTGCAGAACTATGATGCTGATGAGCGGTTCGGACGCGGAATCAGAGGTGTCGTGAGGAGGATATGGCAGGAGGAGGGATTCAGGGGCTTCTATCGAGGCCTGATGCCGGGTGTTGTTAGGGTGATGCCAGCTACCTGGGTTACGTTCCTTGTGTATGAGAACGTCAAGTTCTACTTGCCTCACTGGGCAGAGTAATTTTAATGATAGCGATGAATCAAAGGCTATCCACTCAACGTCTGAAACTGGTCTTGATGATGTTGACTCGTATGCCAAAGGTCGGCTGTGAACAACGATGGCGTTCTCGATCATGTATGAAGCTCGCAATGCTTCAACATATGATTCCAAACCATGATTTAGGGTTTGAATCAAGCCGGTCTTTCCACGGTGCTAGCATCAAACCAAGAGACGCTGCTCATGATGCAGGGAAAACAGCGACGCGGTTGGGGAATCAAAGACGGCTCATTTCTCAAAGGAGTTTCTGATGAGAGCCGAATTGGTTGAAATCATTCATCACTTCAACTCATGCGCAACCAAGTTTTTGAGCCGGCCGATAGTAAACTTATCAAGAAACGTGGTCTGCTACCTGCTCCAGACAATACGCCACGCTGATGCGAGCTTCCAGCATACTAGGTCAAAGCTCCCTGCCGTAGCTTTGAGGTGGAAGAGTTGAGGCGATCACCATGTCTATATAAATAGTAACGGTCAAAGGCTAGCCACAGGATATGCTCTTCTCACATTCCCTTGAGGCTGCCCAACTTGAGTATATGACTGCGGTAACGAAATGTAAAAATGCATTGCCCATCAACTTCTCAAGCATTCGCAGTACGATACTCAGTGAAACTCGTCGGCAATGAATTATGCGCCCAATCGGCAACAAATATAGCTCTCACAGTTGCGGAAAACAAAGCAAGCCACGGTTCAAATACAGTCTACCACCACAGCTGATGCATAATCTCACACTTATGAGTTGAGGCCATGAGAAATATCTCGATGATGGACTAGAGGGACGAAAGGATGAACATCAGATCAACCATGTCGAGTTTCGTGTTAGCTTTCGATCAAAGAGTAAACATCCTTCATGATTTTATAGGTCCATTGTAGCTATACGTATCAAAGTGGTCCAGTGTCGTGGATAGACCGCCTGGTGCAGCTTCAACGCCCAGAACCCAACGCTGCTATAGTTGACTGTCAATCACACCGACTTTCGAAGCATACCAGGTTCTTCAACGATATTCTCAAAAGCTCGCCAACCATTGACGTAATGCGATATGGGTGACACATTCCACTGAAGCTTCACTTCCTTGGGGAAATAGAAACCCCCTGAAGCCGCGATGATGTGAGGTCGAAACAAGGCAAGATGAAGCGAAGAAACCGCCACAAAGTCTTGGTTTCTTCGTCATCAGATTAAAGAACAAAAGTGCGTATAATGATGCAAGATTTCTCATTTCCTTGACGCAACCTAGTAATATAAACAGCGGCATTACCCGTTTACAACTCAGTGAGGCGAGAAGGATCTCTCCCAAGCTACGACCAAGAACCCCAAGAAACAACGGAGAAACACGGCCGAGTCCTTAATATAATCAAATCCCCCGAGCGTCCCCCGTTTCATATGCTTCTATTCTTCGATCCAAAGGACCCTTGGTATCTCCTCGGCCCTCTTGACGAAACATGACTGACACCCTCGACGATGAGCAGCATGTAGCAGCATGGCCACCGCCACAGAACGCAGAGAAATAACAGCCGAGGCTTACGAAGTACTTTTCAACTCTCGGCACTTCTATCACGCTTCATTTTGACCGCAATCTATCCCAGATATTGCGGTACATCCCGTCAGCCGCCAGCTGTCAACACGCATGACCTCGAAATCAGGGGGTGGTGAAGAGGAAGATCAACATCGAATCACGATCACCCTTTCTCCCAACTCCACTACCACAAAAAACAACTCACCAGTCAAAATTCAGAGCCCATCCACGAAGGAATAGAAGACCACTGTAGAACCCAATGACACAGACCTGCCCATCCAGTACATCCCACGATCACAGCTCAGTAGCGGGCGCACCCTTTTCAGTGTCCACTCCGAGACAAGAGATTCACCAGAAAGACACACACGCAAACCCGCACACCCCTCGAAGCCCCCCGTGCGAAACATGGTCCTCTCCTCACAGCAGAAACATCACCTCGGCCGCCGAGACCGACGGATATCATGATCCGTCTGGGATACACCCAACCAGCCAAGCCCACGTCCACATAGCCAGCCCAAAGAGGCCACTCACACGCAAAACCTAATCTGCTATATCGCCCAATGCCGTGCAAAACCACCCCACCTCACTTGTCACTCAGACAGGAGCACACCCTCTCACCGCGTCCCCTCCCGGCCTCTCCCCGGCGCCCACGATGTCCCCGTGAGTGATCAGAGTGGTGTGAAGGACACGAGACCCAGAGGAAGACAGAAGACACCTCCACCCCTAACGGTCCCTCCCATCGGACGGGAAACCGCATCGGCGCAACCCTCCCTAAACCTCCCACCGCGGAAAGCCGCATTACATGACCGTCCGGGAATGCATCAACGCATCTCCCGCCTTCTCATCTCAATGCGCAAATGCATCTTCCTCGAAGGGTTGCTCCTTCGAATCGGAAGCTTCCAGAGATGCGGACTCAACGAGAGTCCAGACACACTATGGCCCCCTAAAAGGCAGGCAGGGTCCATATTGGTTACACGAACAAGGCGGAAAAGAAAAGGGGCCAGTCAAGCAATCACGATCCTGTTGCTCTTCTCGGCATCTTCCTGCAGTGATGCGTTGAAAGGAGGGGTAAGTGCAGGATCTCACGAAAACTGTCAAAGTCACGCCGCGTCAGGAGCGAGCAGCAGGAGCCGGCAGAATCTGTCACATTTCACAAGATCTGGGGGGGCTGGCTGTCTGGCTGGCTTGGGTCACGGTTGGTCGTGATTCTCCCGGGTCGGGGTGTCGTCCGACTTGAGACTGACCACGTCGGGGCCTGTAAACCTCGTCATTGTGAGCGGTAGAAACGACTTCTTCATGTCATGTTTCGCGAAGCGCGAGACTGTTGGACCAGTAGCGATGGAGAGAAGGTAGAGAGAAGGGAACAGAGGGGAGGGGAGTGTGGTGCAGATACAACGTGTGCCCAAACTGTAGCTCGGCGCGATATCAATCGCCAGCCAGCCGTAAGAATCCCCAAAGTCCGATCTGCTACCCAAGCATTCCTCTCCCGATCTCAGACACGCGCGACCACGCAGTCAAAGCTACACAAGCACTCATTTCCTCCATTCTCGTTCCAGTTATCCCCGCGACTTGTGTCCCCGTTGGGCCTGTCTGTCCGTGTGGCCGCCTCTCGAGACATGGCAAGAGAGACATGTTCAGCAGTAAAGACATGTACCTAGTAGAGAGACACATTCAAGAAAGAAGGAAAGGCCAAAGAACCTGCAACACGGTCTCTGAGGAAGAGAGGAAAAGAGAAGAAGGGCGCGGGGCACCAACAGCTGTTGGCATGTTCAACGGCGCGGATCCGAAGCTCCGCGGGGGCGCCACCTACGAAGAGACTTGGACGAGGCTTTGCTTTGCGCAGAAAAAGGTGAGATGTGAGGGGCGAGACCGTCCTAACCCAAGGTAGACAGGCAAGGACAACATGTGCGCAGCTATCCCCAACGTCCTTACCTTGACCACCTGATTCCGAGACTCCTCACTTTCTGGATCCTGCTCCTCATGTACTTCTTGCTCCGCGTGCGTGTGTCCAAGCTTGGGGGACCGCAGGAATGCTCGAGCAACGGCTTCGCAGGACGGCTTGGACGACCTAGTGGGAGCTTCAATCTTGCCAGCCAGCCATTCACGATACAATGACGGTTGCGCAGATCGCTGAGCTCCCCTTCTCCCTTGCCCACCACGCTCGGCTCCAGAACAAATCACGCAAAGCCATCATAAGGGTCCAGCCTCTAGCGTGGCAAAACTGCCGCTTTACTCCGTAGGGGGCAACTCAATATGGCTCCACGCCGGACGTTCGACGTCGACCTGGGCGGCGCCGAACAAGCATCACCCCTACTCCGAGTCCCCATTCCGTCTCCCGACCACTGATCAACGGCGTACTTGATAGTTGCCATTTTAGCAGCGCAATCCAGTAGAGATTCAGCAGCCGTCCTCATGCGCTGCGCCGCCGTTGGGGGGTTTCCAAAGTCGGAGGCCCATTGACGCAGAACAACGTGAGTCATCTGATATGGTTGATCCAGGGCTGTAGCCAATGGCTTGCAACGGCGACAACTCCGAGTCCCGAGTCCCGGCGTCCCACACACATCGCAGCCTGTCCCAGAAGACACAAAGGAGGAAAAAAAAGTGTCCGCAATCGTTGGAATTGCCACGAGGACGGGAAAGCGGGCGGCGGGCTGGCTCCCAGCGAAAACGACAACGTCGCTACCTAGCGGATCGTCTAACTCCACCCTCGCACTCGCCCCCCGCGCGCGAAAGAAAATGTGATTGTGCGACAGAAGCTTTTCGCGGGAGGGAACCCGAACGTCGCGACGAACGAATCTGTAACGGCCCTCTTCCAGATGATCAGGAGTCATGTTCCCCCTTCCTGGCCCTGTCTGTGTCTGTTCCCATGCAACACAGACCGCCTGGAGAGGGGATAGAAGAAAAAACAACGAAGGGACCCAAGACGTTGTCAGGATAACGTACTGCCGTGCTCGTTTATGACAGAGTTTAGGCGCTCGGCCGGGGTTCAATTCGAGGGAACGAAAAGAGACTCGCCAAAGAAGCCTGTCAATTAGCGGGACCGTTCGCGATGACATCGTCAAAAAGGGTAGCGTGAGGGAAAAAATGAAAGAGGCTTCCTAGTTTCCTCGCTTTGGCCTGCCTAGCTGGAGCTTTCTGCAGCGTCTCGGGCGCATCAGATTGTCGCATTGTCATTCCTCATCTGCATATGGGCTGCCTTACAATCGCGATCTCCCTCTGATGACGGAGGGTCGAGCGGTGGGGAACCGAGGACGTGGGTGATGAGATGACTGATGGGCAAGATGTGATCGGAGGCGAGTGATCGGACGCGATGGTCCAGTATGGAGGTGCCGTTACCATGGGTTTACGACGCAGGACGCGAAGCCTATTGCGAGCAAATTCTGACTTGTCAGTGTCCGAGAGCGCACTGCGTGTGGCCATCGGTCCAAGTCGACGATTTGAGACTATCGAGAA